ACACCCTCATGAACACTGAGGTTGTCATCAACACGGCGACGCTCAGTTGTCTGAACCCACGGAAGACACTACAGCTTAGCCACTGGATATTTTCTCCATCGAGCCACGAAATGGGTCTCCGCTCCAAAATCAAATAGAATTCTCTTGACCTGGTCAGATGGCATTCACATTCCTCGTACTCATGTGTTCTTCGGTTCTTGTCGAAACCGAAGTCCCTTCGGGTCTTTTCCGGGGGGGGGGGGGGGGGGGGGGGGGGGGGGGGGGGAGGGGTTTATGATCCGCAGCGCTTGTACGGCGGAGCACCAGCCCTAGGAATGCCCGCTTCCGTCATCCTTTTCCTATGCGGCGTCTGCCTGCATATTTTGGTCTGTTATGCACCATCGCAGGAATTTTCGTATACAATACGAGCTGCAATACGATGTCGCTCCTGTTCGTATCATCATCTTGTCGATAGCAAATGTTGAACCTCTCGGCTCCACCTCTACCTTCTACTCAATGACACCGCGCTGTAGCCGTGTACCCATGCCGCCGCAGAATGAGCTTTCGTGGAAGACACCTCTATACGAATGGACCTGAAGTTCAAGGCGCATTTGGCGTTGACAGCCTGCCTCTTACTACCGTCGCCCATATAATATCCTACCTCGAGGACGATGCGACTTCACTGGCGCGCCTTTGCCGCACATCGCGCGTGCTCTATTACATGACGCTCCCGCAGTTGTGGAAACATGTGGTGTTGAGATCGCACTGTGCCGTCCACTATCGCGACGATGTCCCAGAAGGTCTCGGAAGTGCCAGCCCTTTCTCCATGGGGCTCAATGCTCTCGTCACCCGGAATGTCGCAGCCCTGGTCTCCTCGCTGGTGCTGGAAGGGGACTACAAGAGCTTGGATCTCGAAGAGTACTCGAGGGCTGGTCGGGTTTCGGAGAGCACCATGATACTCAACATAGCCATTCGCGCCGCCATAAATCAATGCATCCAACTGGAGAAGTTCAGGTCCGCCTCCTGCTCTCCTGTACACATGGACACCGTTGGAAGTCTTTTACTGACACGAGACTTGCTGTAGGTGGGATCTGAACGTGCGCATCCAAGCCAATGTGTACGCCGGCCTGGGGAAGCTCTCGAGACTGGAGTCGCTATGGATACGTTTTCAGACCAACAGGCTACCACAACCTCATACAGAGATCCCAGCGCTCCCGAACCTACGATCGTTCACTTTCACCCACTACGACCCAATGTGCTACCCGGACGATGTGTCGACGCTGTTTCTGAATTCCGAGAAGCTCGAGGTCCTCAACATGCATTTCTCTCCTCGGATGAGAGAACAAGGCGAAGCGTCAGTGGTGCTAGCCAGGTTTTTTCGGAAGAATATGAATCATAACAAGAAAATTCGGCTGAAGCACGTCGGAGTCTACAATCTACTAGCGACCTCCGAGTCGGCCGAGTGCATGGCAGCTATGGACGCCAGGACTATCGAGAGTTTTACGGCGCTCAATACTTTTGGCGTGGACGAAGACGAACTGCATCGAAGTAATACTCTCTTTATCGATCGGACCTGGTTTCTTCCTAATACGAAAGAGGCCCACAACACCAAATGCCTCCGGATGGATCAGCTGCACAAGATACACGCGCAAGAGATAGCCACGTCCCCGGATCTGGAGCGGCTGTATTTGATCAATGCCCGATACAGGCGTGACGGTGTCAACGGGGAATCCTCACCGAGCTCTGTGGATGCGTCACCGCGCACGGTCAACGGAGACACTAACCGTTCGTCTCGCAGTACGCCAACCTATGCAACAGCACCCATGATGAGCCTTCGCGACGCTTACCTGGACAGCATCTGCAATGGCTGCGGCCCGAAGTTGAAGCATCTGATCTTTCCCGCGCGTTGGCCATTGCATAGTGCATTGACCGCTAAATTGATCCGGTCGTGTCCGAATCTGACTCAGTTTAGCGCCGCCATACCTTGCTCGGATATGGAAGTGCTGCGTATGGTCATTCCATTCTTGACAAAGTTGTGGGCGATAAGAGTCGTGGCACCGAGGACCCATGGCGAAGAAGGTGAAAAGGCACTTGGGATTTTCAATGCTTGCATTAACCAGCCGGACTCTGTGCTTGAGGAGGACATCGCTAAGAGTCTGAGGCAACGAGGCCCGGCCGGAGGTGTGCCTGACTTTCCGTCTTTGCGGTATATCGGCATGGGGCACAAAGTATGGGAAGTTGGGTCGGTGTACGAGGAGAAGGTCAAGGTGAGGAGTCCCGCGCAGATGAACACTCCAGAGGAGAGTAGTGACTCCTCATATTATGAAGAGACTATATATCACCGGAAGTTGAAGAGGATCACTGAACGAGACGTCTCTGATGTGGAGATCTGGAAGATGGATACGATGGATATCGCCTGAGGTGGGTATCCGACTATCACCAACGTCTACTGGGGTTTCCGATTATATGTCATATCCATAACGACATCAAGTTCATTATGTTATCAGCAAGAAGTAACGATTGAGATACTGGACACGCATGGGGTGGTACATGCAAGAATTGGACCACGTTTTCATGCGGAGAATCAGAAAAATCGCCTCGTGGGTGGAAATCCTCTGACTACAGAACCACGAAGTTATGTCAAGGCTATTGAAGGAATCTTACACCAGCCGCGCTTATGAAACCTTGATATTGGACCACTGTTCACTGGACAGCGTTCTTTCATCAAGGTATAGGGTCTACAAAGGTATCGGTCAGGGGGGCTCTCCACTGTTATTATCTTTGTGTTTTCCTCAGGTGAGTTGTCACTCAGTGTTTGAGGCCTGCAAGGCACATCGCCCCAAAAAGTCTGCAGCGTCTCGTAATTCTGGTTTGGACCGGTGTATGTGCATGTGTACTCTATTTACAATGAATCAATGGGTCGATTTGATGGAGCGATGGGCAAATAGATAGACGTATGTCTGGTATGGGTGGCCACAGGGAGTGGCGTGGACGGCGCCAAACATGGTCATTGGGATCCTGATACTCGACTCTTAATCACTACGTATAAATATTAAATCTCTAATCTGCCTCTGCAATAGGACAGTTTGAAAGGTCTCGAGCACACGGCGACTTGGTGGTTCCTGGTCCCCTCTCTCCACCCAGACCGGGCAAGAGGCTGAAGGTCAAGGGGGGAATAATGTGATTGGGCTGAACCCAAATCGACTGTAAGTCATGAAGATCACCTCACGGTCATTCCTTTCTCAAGGTACTGAACGTTTCTTGTACAGCAAGAATCGGCACTTGACAATTCACCCTCCAGACGCCTCCTCCAAAGATTCTGGGGTCGCAAGAGGCCCCTTGAGTTCTCGCGGATGCCCCTGCAGACGCTGAGCAGGATCAATGGAGCCCCGACTGCATGCACGTTTCGCCTCCTGCAGAACCACCTCGTCAAAGTGCATTTTACCTGGCCCGCGAGCTACGTGATGCTGCTCAGCCTCGATGGCCATCCAGTAAGAGTTGCTCTGGCCGGACAGGACGAATTGTACCAACCCAAAGGTCTCAAGGCCCCTTGGCTCACCGCCTTGATGTGCTCTCTCTGACAGGGACTTGCCACGACCTGGTACCCATGCTTCTTTTATCGTTCAGTTTGTCTTCCATTCATTGTCAATACTCAATTGCAGTTCAATGGGCCTGCCAACGATAATCCTTGATTTTGAAGAAATTCGAATGTAATTTCCGGGTCGGTCCAAATCATGGAAGTAGGAGAGCCGTCGCAGCAGACCAAGGTAGATCCTGCCTCACTCCTGGTCTGCAAATGCCCTGGCTCCCGCAAACGATATCGGGTTCGATGCAGCGTCTGTCGTGCTCCTGCAATTTGGTGCTCATCTGAGTGTGCAATGCATCATTTTGACAGTTGTGTCGCGAGGCGACAGGAGCATGCTGGATTACTGGGTTTGTTACCCACAGACTCTCCAGGAGAAGCTGTTCCCATCTGTCCTTGTGGTAGCAATGAGACAACAAAGGAATGGCATCGATGTGGCATATGCTACAAATGCCTGTGGTGCAGCAGTACTTGCATGATGCTGCACTGGCGACGCCATGTGCTACCGTGCCTCCATCGCCATCTGCACGAAGTGTCACAGTCAATTATATATGCAGACCCAGTTGATGTCTATGATGGCCTGACTATCAACCTTGGCCCATCGTTCCAACACCAGCATCCTGCTTATGGCTCTTGTCCCGTATGCCAACAGAAAATGTGGGTTTGGGTGATTCCACCCAAAGCAGAAGCAAATACCTCGAAAGTATGTATGCGGGGGTTGATGGTACACGTCAAGGAGCTTCCTGAAACTGTGAAGGTAAAAGCACTCGACCACGGACTGCGCAAAATGAGAGAATATCAAGAAGAATCGAAGACGGTGCTTGCAGATCTCCAGCACCTGAACCCCCTTGTGGCCAAGAGGATTCACCCGAAGGCAAGGGCAGTATCAAAATTTGTGTTACGCTTTGCTGAGGTCACGGTTGGCTTGTGGAAATGGAACGACACTGACCTCCCAAAGACGGTTGACTTCCCCATGGCTGTACTTCAGGACTGGCGTCTTGCTCAGGATCGACATTTTGCCTCACATGACCTTCACTCAACCAGTTTCATCGCAGTGAGCTACTGCTGGCATGGAGATTCCTGGTCGACCAGTCGCTCTTTAACAGACATAGGCGGCCCGTTGACTTGGGAGATGTGGAAGGCGATCTCGCAACTCCGCCATTCAGAAAACGAGGGTATTTGGTTGGACCAGTTATGCATCAATCAGGAGGATGAACGTGAAAAGCAGGATGCTTTCTATGCCATGGATCTCGTCTACCAGAGCGCCCGACTGGTTGTTATTGTCCTTGAAGATATCTCCCTCAGCTTGGCAGATTTGGACTTTCTTCGCTTTGTGTGCCGACTAGATTTCGACGACCAGAGCAACACGTTCCAGCTTTTGGCAAATATCACGAGATTTAATGAAGTCTTTGATAAGATTTGGGCGGCACGGTGCTTTTCACGGGCATGGTGCATGCAGGAATATCTCAACTCTGTGGAGTCATGTTTACTGATCAGCATCAGCGAAGGTCCACATGTTAACGCAGTACCATTTCGGAAACTTTTGTCCGCCCATGAAGTGATACAGCTCTACTGTCCTACAAGGCTTGCTGTGGCTGATGACAGCTCCTTTCTTCTGAACTCCATGCTGTCAAGAAGTAAGAACTCACCTCTGAACAGGGTGGTGATTCTATTTGACATCGAATTACATCCTTCACCAGCAACGTTTAGCATGAGGGAGGTTAGAGCGGTACGAAACTATTCGCAATTGCTTGCTCGATGTTTGGCCATGAATGCAAGAGTAGAGACTGACAAAGTGGCAATTGCTCTGAACCTCAGCGGACTTGGTGTATCCTTGGACACTTCAGGTCTATCAGTGGATGAGTGTTGCTATATATTCTCCATATTGACGCTCATGAGAGGTGACTGGAGCTGTTTATGCAACACAGGAGAATTTTTGCATGCTCGACGCAGTCTGGGTTCGCCTTTCGGACTCTCGACTAGCTTCGAACGACCTTTGCGACACGGTTGGCTGCGGCGACCGACGTTGGCCAGTGGTGATGTTTCACAGCTTGTGTTTCCAAAGGCTGGCAATGGGTACCAGAGACTAAAAAAAGGTATATCCTTTGTTAAGTTGCACATGGATATGAGGATCCTCTCTAGTGAATGGACTTGGAATCACGCAACAACCAGGTCAAAAAGGACCGCTGAGACCTTTGCCCGGTCAGAACTTTGTCACTCAATCGTGGGTTTCCTTTTCAAAGAACTAGAGAGTTCATATTCCTACATACTAGAGCGATGTCTACCTGCCGTTGTGGATTGTGGCTCTGACTGGCTTCGTGATCTAGAAGGCCAGATACACAGCGCACGGTCTTCAGACCCTTTGGATTCGATAAAGAATCAGCGAGCCGAGGTCTTATCTCACGATTACAATCTCGACCCAGAAGACATCGACAAGCTGCTAGAATTTGTCTTGCAAGCAGTTTCAGTACTATTTCCCAACGAGCCTGAATCTCGACGTCAAAAGCTTTCGCGTCCACTTTTACGGCTGATTGATTTTCTATGCTACAATAACATCCCGTATATATGGCGACTTTCGAGCAAGGACGGTAGGTATCAAGCCGTATGTGGTGGGCCGTTCCCAGCCAGGCTTCAACAAAACATTAAGATAGGGATACCACTCGCGCTTTTGGATTCCACATACTCTTTGTTCAACCGCGTCTGGGTTTTGCGACCCTGTGAAAGTGGAATGGAGGTGAGGGACAAATTCAGGGCTCTAGGGTTGGGAGACTTTCAAGACGAAGCAGGTTCAGTGGCCTATTTTCACGATGAAGAGAACGTTACCATCGTTGGGCCCGTTGATGACCCTAACACGCCCAGGAATGGCGATGAACCACCAGCACTGATCGCTTCTTTGAGCAGGAAGGTCATGGTGACCCTTGGTCTGTCCGATGATGAGAAGCTAAAACAGCGTCTTCCAAGTACCAATCCCGGTAACAAGGACACTTTCCACCTGGCCCGGTCAAAGACAAAGTTCAATTGGCTCGAAACGAATAGATCATCATTGTTGTTGAGTGATCTGGTGCAAATGATGTTCGGATTGGGGCTGGTTTGGGTGCTGATACTGGTGACGGAAATAGTAGAACAGTTTCGGCAAGAAGCGGAAGCTGCCCAGTAGAGTTGCTGAAATCGTGTGCATCTGGATGGAGTCAAGGGTGGTCAACTGGTCATCAAGCAATTCATGAGCATGACAAGGGACAGGACAAATAGATCCAGGTAATGGATGAAGGGCGGCGATATAGATTTCGATCAGTCATCTACCTCGTGTCCTGCTCTTTGTTTTCTTCGCCGAGATGATATATATACATGGAGATCTCACCGGCCCCTCTCACCACCCTCTTGACGAGACCGTAGGGTTCCATCCCACTGCTGTTGTACTCCAATCCAACGGGCCGTAGTCGAACCATCCCATCCCTCGTCCGGGCATGGTTCTTCCATAGTTACCAGTAGTACTACTACCGGGCGAAGACGATGTGTCCCAGAGACCTGGAAAGCCCAGGCCCGCGGTCATACCGTTGGCGCCGTACGTGAATGTCGCATCACCACCACCACCGCCGCCGCCGCCGCCGCCGCCGCACATGTTGCCTGCCTGCATCTGCATCGTCGTGGGATTTATCGTGCCCGCCGGTGCTGATGGTGTGGTTGTGGCGCCGTCTTGCGCGGACGACGGACCGGGCTGTGTGTTGGTGTCCGTAGTATTGGCCGTCGCCGTCATCGTTTCGACGAACGATGATGCTTGTAATTCTGCTAGTTTGCGCTTGATCTTGACGACGATCCTTGGTTCTTTTTCTTTTTCTTCTTCTCCTTCTTCTGTCCGTTCTCCCACTCCTCGGTGGTGTTGTCGGTGTTGGCACGGTGCTTCTCCTCCTCCTCTTCCTCCTCCTTCTCCTTCTTCTTCGTTAGCACTTTGATTCTGCCCCACGTTCCGTTTCCGCTTCGCGTATCCCTTGTCGCCTCCTTCTACATTATCTTCACCCGAGCCTGTACGAGTGCCGCAGCCGCAGGACGTTGCGGCGACCCGCGCATTCCACGCTTGCAAAATAGCCCCCGAAAAGACTTTGAACAAAGGATTGGCGTCGTGTTCCACGTCAGAGAACCGCCCGTCGTAGTTGTCACTCATCACCGACCAGGCCTCGTCGGCGTGCGGTTGCATGGGCCGTCGTTCCAGGTTGCGCACAATGTGGATGTACGCGGGAAAGGGGAAGTAGTTGTGCATGTACCATGTGTAACCCTTCGTGAGGGGCGAAGTTATTAGCGCCGTGTCGCATTCGAGCATGCGCATTGCGTATGTGATCGCTTGATCGTGGTGCTGGTGAGAGTCGTTGTGGGTTGTGGCGGTGCTGGCAGTGTTTGTGTGGGAGCTGGAGTTGAAGCTGTGATTCGATCTCGTGGTTGGCATCTGATTTGCAATTGTCAAATTGCTAGCTGAGGCTGTTCTCGACTTCGAACTAGGATTTGGATTTAGCTTAGGATTTCTGGCCGAGTTTGCGCTTGACTTCGAGTCACTAGCTGTAGCTGTGGTTGTGTTTGACGATCGATCTGACGACGCGGTTACGGACGAAGAAGAGTGTCTTGCGTGGTAGTCCAACAGACGGTTCCTGGCGAGATGTCCCCGTGTCCACCATATCGTCATAAAGTGTAGTGGATTCTCAGGGTTACAATGTCTGAGGTATTTCTCTTCCATTAGTCGCTCGAGTAATGTCAATTCGTTGTCATGACTATCATTCTGGTGCGGAGGAGTGGTGTTTGTCAGAGCTTTGAGCGCCGGGTTGGTAAAGTCTAGATGAAACGCGCTGTGGCGGAGAAAATCGCTCATTTCGCTTCGAACGACGGCGAACAGAGCCTCACAAGGATAGTCGTGTGGCGCGGGAGCGGAGGTCATTTCTGCTCGGATGTCTAGATCGCTGATGTTCAGTGGAGTTTTACAGTCCCATACTGGGGAGAGCATGGTGGTCTTGTAGTCTGACAATTCGCAGATGCGATGGTCGAAGATGACGAGCGACCACCATAGTCGTCGGCGCATTTCGGCATCCAACACACTGCATTTCGCGTTGGCGCTCTCGTTGTGAATACCGAGTCTCTGGGCTATGCGTACAGCGATCCCGAGCATGGACGAGACGGAGCGAGGGTCCGTTCCTGGGCGGAAAGAAATCTGAAGATAGTCAGCATGGAGAAGCGAATCATCGCGAAAAGATAATAAGAAACTTGGGGCTAAGGGCGGAAATAGCCTTGGTTAACGTACCAGGTAAAGATAGAATGCAGTAAGACAATCAATGTCATCGGTTCGCAAGACATCACATTTCAGAAGAGCTTGTTCACATCCGAATTGATAGCTTTTCAGGAGGTTGTCTCGTGAGACCCCAAATAGTGCTTGACAATCTTCCTTGCCGAGACTTAGTATAGAAACGCAGTATATGCTGAGCATGAGCGCTTCTAGAGGCGGCTCTATGCTGGTCCTGTTGCTGACTGCATCGAGGATTCGAGACTGTAGCGTCGGCGTGTGCGTCACTGCTAGTAAAGGGTTGACATTCTCCAGATAGATATGCCAAAGTCTGAAGATCTGAACTTGTGGAGGGTGGAAAGGACCAAGGTCGACATCTGTGGTGCCGAAGCCGAATAGGGACCGATTGATGCTTTGGGACATTTGAGCCCATGCCCCCCTGACGACTTCTTTGCGAACGATTTCGTGCGGATACATGTTTCCATCGTCAGCGTCGTCGTCGTTCCCGCTGTCTTCCTCAGGTTCGAGAGCCCTAGGCTGTTAAATTGACAACGTGTTAGATACACTGAGGAGGATGTGATACTGTTGGGCACGTACATTTGGGCTCATGGCCTGCCAAAAGTCCCTGTTGCTGTTAATTCGTGTGCTCAGGAGATTAGGAGTGTCCTACCTAGGTTCATACACTGTGCCAGGCTTGACGCTAGGCGTGTCATCTGGGTGAGATCTAGGCTCTTCTGTTCTACGCCTCTGTTGTCCGTCACTGGAGCCATGGTGCCTGTCGTCCCTAGTATGAGAAGCATTGATGTCTGTTGATGGCGAATGGAGAGGTTGGAACTCGATATTGTTCTGCCGCAAGAGACTCTCGTAAATTCGAAGACGGTTCAACAAGTCTCGCTCAGCAAACCTTCGACGTCTCTCGCGCGGGTTCTGGTCAGCCGGAACACACTGCGAGCCGGACCTTCTACAGTTGTTGCAGGGAAATTGTCTGTCGCATTTGACTTTCCTTTGCTGACATAATACGCACGCCAGGATGCGGCGCGACTTTATCGGGTTGCCGGCGCTCCCTGGAGATGATGCTGGCACAGGGGATCTTTGGTCAGAGGAGGACATTGTCGGTCACTGTAGGGAGGCATCAGAAAGATGAGAGAGGGAGAGAGACAGAGGAAAAGGGCAAAACCGCAGAGACATGGAATCCCTCGGGATGTTGAAATGTCCGAGCCAAATACAGTAACTACTTGTCGTGGCGCTCGGACTTTTCTATTCCCCGGGGCGACTGAGTGAGAGTCCCCAACTGCAAGATCTCAGGGCTCGTGTGAGGAACACGACGCAAAGAAACTGGGGTGGCCATAAGTACATGGCCGTGTCCTGTCAGAACACCATGTTGTAGCGTGTTCTCTGAGGGACGCACCATCACACCACCCATCGGGCGTACTATCTCATTCCATTACCATGTCGACGACACTTCCACCTCGAGAAGAAGCAGGAAAACCCAAGACGATGTAAGGGTCGTGCGGCCAGGACAATGACAACTAATACGCCGACGCGGAAGAAAACTTCAAGCACAAGACTTTCCAATTCTGGACCACCATCTCGAGTGTATACGCAGCAGTCTTTCTGGTTGTACTTGAGCGACTCATCATTGCCACTGCTTTACCCAGCATCACCAACCAGTCCCATTTCATCAATGCTATCCGATGGTATGGCAGCTGTCTTGTGATGAGAAAGCAGAGCCCCCGAAGCTGAAATTCTTAGCAAGGCTGAGAGTCGTGCGGGCGAATGGCGTCGATCGGTGGCGATGACCCCGGCCACACAGCACCATCACCGTCTCCAAGAGCCCCAGGTGCCCTCGGGCAGAAGTTATTCCTTGAAGCAAACGCCCAATCCCGAAGTGTTAAAGTAGTGATAGAGAAAGCAAAAATTAATATACACTCCAAACAAAGCGACGGCCGCGGCCAAGTCCGCGATAAGCACGCCGCGACTGGGCGGGTTCTTCTGCTGTACCAATAACACCGTCCTCATTACTCCGTGCTGAACGCCTTGTTGTTCTAGGGCGGGCTTGGAAAATGAAAGTGTTATTGCAGTCATTCAAAGGGTAACTCTGAAAACATTGTATGCTGCATTCGTGAGAAAGGAGCCGAGTAGAGTTCTCAGTGGACACCGACTATCTCGGCGCGATGAGTGCGAAGAGGATCTCACTTCTCGAAGTGAACAAACACAACCAAGACGACGATTGCTGGATCGCTCTAAATGGCGTGGTCTGGGACATGAGCGGGTTCGCCGCTAGACATCCCGGAGGTCGTGAAGCCATCGAAGAGTTCTTCGGTCAAGACGGCAGTGAGGTTTACAATGGCATTCACAGCCCAAGTATGGCAGAAAAGTTTCTGGGTCCGAGCAAGAAAATTGGCTTGCTTGAGGCTGGTGTACCAAAGACCGGCGGCGATACGGGCAATGTCCCTGTTGTGAAGCCTGACTTGGAGACGATCATCAGCGTCTACGAATTCGAAAAAGTCGCAGAAGCTGCCTTCCGGCCGAAATCGTGGGCGTATATCTATGGGTCCACTGAGAACGGGCTCACCAGAGTTGCCAACCAAGATTGGTATCAGCGAATTTGGTTCCGGCCACGAGTTCTGACGGGCGTTGGAAAGGTCGACATCAGCACAAGCATGTTTGGTCGAAAATGGGCCTCCCCGATTCTCAACTGTCCGTTCTCGTCGGCGATGCTTGCACACCCAGATGGTGAACTTGCCCTGGCTAGAGCGATCGGGCCCAGTGGAAGTCCTATGTTGATTCCTACGATGGCATCATATTCCATCCAAGAAATCGTCCAGGAGCTTCCCAAGGGACACCCGTTCTTCTTCCAACTATATGTGCATAGCGACCGGGAGGAAATGAAGAAATTGCTTGACGAGGTAGCCAAGTTCAAGCCTCAGGGTATTCTTGTCACAGCAGATCTGCCGGTCATGTCGAAGAGAGAGGGGTACACGAAATTCGTGGCACTCGAGAACCAGAAGAAACAAAAGAGAGCGGTGGACGTGGAAGCGTCACAGAGAGCGTCGCAAGCAAGCATTAATGCAGACCTCAATTGGCAAGATATACAATTCATCAAGGAATATACAGGCTTGCCGACATTTGTCAAGGGAATCCAATGTGCGGCAGACGCGAAGAAGTCGCTAGAGACTGGATGCGCTGGGATATACATCTCAAACCATGGCGGAAGAGCTTTAGACACGGCAGCCCCATCGATTCTGGTGCTGCTGGAGATCCAGGCGACTTGTCCGGAGATACTGGACAAGCTGGAGGTTTTCATCGACGGTGGTATTCAGAGGGGAACTGATATTCTGAAGGCCATTTGTTTAGGAGCAAGTGCTGTCTGCCTGGGAAGACCTTTTTTTTATTCTCTGGCATATGGAGAACAAGGCGTGAAGCATCTGATCAAGAGTGAGTGCAGACGTGTCAAAGAGCGACATGTCCAGCTAACACATTCCCAGTTCTTGAGGAGGAACTTGCCACTGCTATGCAGCTGCTAGGCATAACGAGCCTAGATCAAGCACATCCTGGACTTGTCAACACTGGAGAGTTGGAGGCGTTGATATATCGCGGCGAGGATCACCCCTGGGCTCGAAAGCCTCAACGAGCACGGTTATGATGAACGGAAGAAGATGAGACTAGAAGTGTTGATGCGAGGAGGAATGGCCCAAATATGCAGGAAGAGATATTAGAGATGCTTGACAATATATAATCTAGCACCCGGTCTTGGCATGCAAAAGGCGTCTATTATTTGCCTCCGCTACTCATCAATTTCGTTTCGAGCTTGATTTTTTATTCCTTCGTTTCTTTCGCAATTCGTGTCGTCAACACCACCAGATACCTGCTATATGTTCGACCATTGGTTTTGTTCTAACGAAGGTATCATGCATGCAAGGTATCATGCATGATTTCATCCAGTATATTTCTTGTTGCAACCCGGAGCATTACACCCCTTGGTTCCATGACGGTGCCGTTCGAGCCCGTTCGACGCAGAAATCCCTCTTTTTATCATTATTGCTTCTATCTATGCTAGAGCTGGCCGTTTCATTTTGCCCCAAAACGAGTCAGTGTGGACAGGGAAGCTAGAATAGTACCAGGTCTCGATCAACGGCCAGATGCAAAATCTGGTCGCGGGGCTTCCACGGATCTCTACTGCTGCAGCTTCTCAATAAGCTCGTGGGTTGATTTATGTGGAGACAATATAAAGCTGGAGTCGCCGATTCTTTATTGTTCCTTTCCATATTGATACAGTCGTCTAGGATGTGGATACATAACTTCATGTGTGAAGAGGACAATCATGCTCAATGAAAGACACCCGCCCTCGTCATGACTGCGCGGAAATCCTCTATGTTGACGCCTTTTCCGATCCCCTGCCCTCCATTTGCCTCGAGTATCATAGCCTTGAGAATGTCGTCGCTGACGTCCTCTTTCAACGTCTTTGCCACGATCCGTAGATCTTGGAGTCGAATCACCTGCTCGTGATTCGTAGGGTTTTGGCCGGGATGGAACAAATCAAACGCCGTTTGAACCTCTTCGTCCTTTGCTTCATCCGTCTTTGACTTGAGTTGAAGAGCGCACAGTGCCAGAAAGTGCGGGTATGTCACGTAGCCTGATGAGTCTGGATCCAGGGTTTCGATGAATTCCTGCATTTCTGTCTGACTCTTCGGGGCAAGACCCTGTGCCCTGCAGCGACATCTGGTTCAGCAACACCACTCCAGCAACCTGTGGAGTAGGGTACGAGGGGGACTTACCGAAGTGCATCCTTCACCTTGCTGGTAGGGATGACTCCTTCTTTCTCGTCCTCATATTCCTCCACGTCGTCCACGCGAAATAGGTTCCACGCTTCTTTGATCTCGAATTCTTCTTCTGCAGTGATCTCGTTCTCCTTTGCAAGTTTGGAACGTCGAGACTTGGTTGGTGCCGACGCAGAAGTCGAACCTCTCGAGGCGCTGGCTTTGCCCTTGGCGGGCGTTTTGCGCTGTGGCTAGAAACTTGTCAGCGTGCATCGTAGTTTGAACTGCACAGGAGAGAGCGCACCATGGCTGCAGGGGCAAGTCAGTTCTCTGTCACATGTCTAGAAAGACGAGATATGCACAGTCAGTGGCATTGGATAGAAATGAGCGGGAATGTTGTCGGGGTTGTCGACGTCGATGTCGAGGCAGAAGAGGCTGATGACGCCACATTGAGTTAATCCGAGATGTGGCGCATTCAGTTAATCCGGCCTGTGGTTGACGTACCATTTGACGCCTGCTTCATCAACACCAACACCAGCATCGCATCCCTTCGTTTATTCCCCCATAGACAGTGTTTCTACCCCTCGGCCGGCTGATGCGATAGACATTTATGAGCCTAGATCATTCACCATGGACGTCGAACTCTATGTCTACGACCTCTCACAGGCAAGTCATTTTTCTCTCGGGTATCCAACTCCCTTACTGACCGTGTCTAGGGTATGGCCAGACAATACTCCATGGCCCTGACGGGAGTACAAATAGATGCCATCTACCACACAGCAATTGTTGTCAACAACGTGGAATACTTCTTTGGCCAGGGTATTCATAGAAAAGTCCCCGGGTCCACGCACCATGGACGTCCGATGAAGATCATCCCATTAGGTCAGACAGACCTGCCACTCGACGTGATCGAGGAGTACATCGAATCCCTTGAAGACATCTACACGCCAGAATCGTACGATTTGTTCGTTCACAACTGCAACAACTTCAGTCAAGATTTAGCCATGTTCCTCGTCGGCAAGAATATCCCCGACGAGATTCGAAGTCTCCCAGAGACATTCCTCAGAACGCCTATCGGCCAGATGCTCCGTGGCCAGATCGACCAGTCTATGCGCACAATGACCCAAGCACCCGACGCAGTGGCGGGGAGAAATGTTGCAAAGACACCAGCGACGTCGAAGCCCACGCCAAAGCCTACGAATGGTGCTCCAATATCTTCTACACCTGCAACTAATGGGGTGGTTCCCAAAGTCCACACGCCGGCCATAATCAACGCACAACAAGTACGAGATGAACCCGGCCACGTCCATTATGTTTCCTCCATCTCCGAACTCGATACGCTCCTCTCATCGGCTCGTCATTCGTGCGCCGTGATATTTTTTACATCTGCAACATGCCCTCCTTGCAAGATAGTCTATCCGACCTATGACGAACTAGCCGCTGAAGCCGGGACGCGAAGTGGCGCCAAACTCATCAAAATCGACATATCAGCCTCCCACTCTGCCCATGCCATTGCCCAACGCTACTCTGTCCGAGCGACACCGACGTTCATTACCTTCCTCAGAGGTCAGAAACAAGATGAATGGGCAGGTGCCAATCCGGCACAGTTACGCGGCAATGTTCGTCTCCTGCTTGAGATGGCACGGCCTAAACAACATCAGCACGCGACGTTGAGATTGCCGTCTCTTCAACGGCTCATCGAAAAGCCGATACTGTACTCGCGCACACCACCACTCGATAAACTTCTTGCCAAAATCGGACCGACTTTCTCCTCGCACCAGTCCGTCCAAGACCTTGTCTCGTACATCCGCACAAGAGACGACAAGGGTATGACAGAAGCACCGCTGCCAAATCTCCACTCATTCAGCGACTACCTCACTTCGTCATATGCGTCGCTTCCTACCGAGACACATTTTGCCATTATCGACCTCGTTCGTTGTGCGGCTGTCGACTCACGCGTCTCGAGCTTTCTCGCCACCGAGCATGGCCACACGTTGCTCAGAACGTTGTTGTCTCACGGCGATGATTTCTCCAATGCACCATATAATATCCAATCCACGAGTTTACAGCTCGCGTGTAATTTGTTCAGTTCGAATGTTTTCCAAGAACAACTATTTCGCAGCCATGAACCCACCCACCCGAACGCAAACGGCAACGGTGAGGGGACGAAAGTCCAACTAAAGGAAACGATCGAATCACTCGCGTCACAGTGTCTGCTCTCCCCACACCTCAATGCCCGATCCATGGCCGCGGCGCTGGTTTACAATCTCTCTTCGTACGTGCATAATGCACGCATGCAGCCACGTGAGGAAGGAAGTTCCGAGGACGGCGCCGATGAAGAGACCACGGCCGCACCGAGCGACGACCTCTCTGCGGCGTTGTTGGAGAGTATAATTTCGTTTGGGGATGTTGCTGCGAGTACGAGTACGAGTACGAGTGTGGGCAATATCAAAGAAACGTTACACGCCCTCCTCCTTGCGCTGGGTATGCTTCTCTACGCTGCCCCACCAGAGAACATGCTCTGGGACCTGTGCCAGGCCATGGACCTCCGCGAGACACTGAAGGGTTTGAAGAGCAGCTCCAAGTTGGGCGTCAGAGATGAGCCATTGCTGAAAGAAGTTGGGGATGAGGTTTTAGGGAAAGGTGGGTTCTGAGTAGGAGTAGGTGCAGGAGCGGAAGAGAAGGAGCATATGAATGGAAGGCAATTTAATGAAGATCTGTCTAGACTTTCAGGAGTCATCCCCTCCTTGAGATGAGTACACGGTGAGCATTGAGCGGTGTACTTAGGGATAGATGACTTTGTATGTACGAATGGAATGACCTTGGATGACTTGTGATACAGTATCGTCCGGAGCGCAGACTGCATGTATGAAGTGATGAACGTAGCAGGGGGGGGTTCAGTCTTGAACGTTGACGGACTCTTTTTCTACTCTCCGTGCCTGTGTTCCTTGCTTGTGTATCCACCTCAGGCAGACAATAGGTACACAGCAGACAATAGACAGTGAAAGGTAAAAAAGAGAAAACAAAAAAGGCAATCGACGATCACGGTTCTTCTTCATCGTGGACTCTTCCGGTGTGGTGATTTACCTTGAGAAGCATTCATTACCTTCTGATGTGAGACACCTGAGACACTCTCGTTTCCTTCATCTTCGCGTTACCTTTCTTGACCTCTGGTACCACGTACTGTACGACATGTCCTACTGCACTGAACGAATCGTGTCTACCAATCTATCCCCTATGTACCCCCTCGCAGACCCCAGTAGTAAGAATCATGAAAGTCGACAAGAAGTCTACCCTCACGAGGTGATTGATTCACCTTGCCACCCATTTTTTTTTGTTTCCCCATATCATCTATCGGCAATTAATAAACTATGCACAAAGCGCGACGTATACCTGCATCCTGCATCCTGCATTCTCTGAGTCCTGCCTCTCTCTCTCCTTGTTTTCACGCCGTCGTGTCCGAGAAAATCATGCTTGTCGAAATCATTTCATATTGACCCGGGAAAAGAAAAAAAATATACAAACGCCCCTGAGAAGCCAATCCGGAAACAGGTCTAGAAACACACACGATAACACCACCCTTTCCCGGTGGTTCACACAGTGACCTCTTGAATCCTACACTCCCAACCACTTCCGGGCTCGAGCAACGGCAGACTTGCACCGAGACACCATCCCAACTCATTACCCTTGATCTTCTTTGCGATCTTGACCTCACGATCAATGGGCATCTCGTAACCCGTGTGCAACAGCGCAGTCATAAAGTTCAAATCAAGACACCACTCTGGCCGATCGCGCAAATCGGCCAAGGCGCCTTCAATGCCGGCGAATGCGTCCCAGTGCTTCTCTCCCCCGCAGACCTTGTCCGTGAGGTCGTGCAGTTCCTTGATCGTGAAGGACTCGGGCATGCCGAGATCGTGGGTCCGGTCATAGAAGTAGGAGAAGATGTACACGTCTTCGCGAGAAAAGGTCTTTTCCAGAGACGGCTGGTGGACACCATTGAAAGAGCACGGAGCCAGAGAGCACTCCTTGTCCTTGTACAGAATGCCTTCGGCCAATGCACGGCACTGAGCCGGCAAGGCGTCAACGGGTCCTTCCATGATCACACTGTGGTCGCCTGCCAGTGGGTGGTCCGCCGGCATGGTGACGTCCACTTTCTTCTGAGTCCCAGGGGTGATGCAGTGGTTTGGGATAGGCTTGCTCAACCATTCCCGCGAATTCGGGTTCTGCTTGTGCATGTGGTCGAGCACTGACGCGTGCAGAGCCTTTCGTGCAGACATGAGTCCATAGCCTAGATGCGAGTGCTGGTACAACTCGAACTCGCGTCCACCAAACTTCAAACTGTACTTGTGGTCACCTTCAGCCATCTTAGGGGGCATGCCTCCGTGAGGACTGTTCTTAAAAGTCGGCTGGAAGACAATTTGGGTCGAACCGCCACCGAGATCAAACACGGCCGCGGTGGGCGTCTCATCGGGCCCACCAATCTTGCCGAGAAGATAGTTCGTAGTGATCCAGGCATAGACACCTTCATCCTCGCCCTTCATGATCTCAACACCGCCCTTCTCTTTGGATACGACAGGGAATGGGTACACTGTCTCCAGACGCGTCCGGACGGCATCGAGAATCTTCTCGCTCATTTCGTCACCCAGCAATCGCAGACCAGCTGTGGCTTTGACCGCGACTGGAGTGCAGGACTTGTACTCCTTGGGGACCGAGTCCAGGGCAACCTGCATCAAAGGGTCGAGGCTCTTCGCCGCGCCTTCAGCGTCTGTCTTGTAGGAACTCAAGCCTGAGCCGCCAGCCTTCTTCTCAGTCATTTTGAACTCTTCGTTCTCCAGCTCAGGCGTAGGCCCGCAATTGTTGAATTTGTAGACATGAATTCTGCTGCCCGTGCTGCCCGCATCAATCATAATAGCATACTGAACGAGTGGTTTAGAAAGATCGTGAGGTTTCGTGCACTTCGTGGTCGGTGAATTCTCCGGGGTGTAGATGTTGCTCGTCGTCGAGCCATGGCTACTGCCCCCCGAGAAGAACAGATATAAAAGAAAGATCAGAGCGATGACGCCCCCTGTTTTGACATATCTGGCCTGCCGACTTTGAGTCATCCAGGCTTGCTGCAGAGACTCCAGATTGAATTTCTGGCTGAAGCCGCTACCCTGTGAGTGGCGGCCGCTCTTCTCGAAAGGATCCCAGGGTGTATTGTCTGCGCTGCCGTTGGCCGAGTGTCTCAGCGGCAGTCCGCTAGATACGGAGCGACGTCTGGGAGAGGAACCGAAAGGAACGTAGGACCAGATGCCTGCTCGATCGGAGGAGTTCGAGGATGACATAGGTAAGGGGAAGAGAGCGTGGTGAGGATGTGGGAGAATCGAAAAGGAAAATCGGCAAGGGGAGGGAGATGCAGGCCAAAAGATTCGAGATCTGTTCGCTTGATCCCCTGCCGTTGATGGGATTCAGTGATTGGCGAGTCGCCGACGCCACCAGCACAAGAGACGAGAAGGTCGAGATTCTGGGGAAACTTTTCTGGCGTCTCCAATTCACAGTTGCGCAGGCCGTCGACTTTCGTCCCTGATTTTGCTTCGTCTTGTATTATTGTTCTGTTGTGCTTGTGTAGTTGGATGCAGCGCGCTCTGGTGTCAGTCAAGCCGCTGCTGCGGCGAGCTGCACCGTGCAACGGCCCTCAACTTCGATCATTGCCACGACTACCTGCTCGCGTGTCGAGGAGATGTTTTGTCAACACGCCCACTCTCGCTGCCGGACCTCGAGGGCGGAAGCCTGGCACTAAAATAAAGATTGTCACCATCGACGACAAGATTGCGGAATCGTTTACTCTAAATGAGAAGATCGAGACTCGCTACGTGCAAGAAAAGACGCCCGACAACAAGCTCTCCGAACCAAAGCCGCTCGCCCAGCTACTTCGCGAGATCGATCGGTCCGAAAGCTATGTCCTGCAGCTGAGCAAGCCTGGAGATGGCAACCACGCAATTGTACAAGTGGTGCAGCGCAAGGACCTGATTCAAAGAATCAACAGTAAAGAGACGGCGGCTCGACAATCTCAGCTTGCTCAGAAGGAGAAGAAGCCAAAGCAAATCGAGCTGAATTGGGCCATCAGCGGCAACGACCTTCAGTTGAAGATGAAACAATTAGAGGATTTCTTGCGGAAGGGCAAGAAAGTCGAATTGCTGCTCGCCGCGAGAAAATATCAAAGAAAGGCAACGCAGCAGGAGGCTGAGGAACTGTTACGGACTGTGCAGGAGAAGCTTCAAGAGATTGGAGCTACAGAGGTTGTTCCTATGCAGGGCGCCTTTCCCAGGCAGGCTACAATTACAGCGAAGATTCCTTGAGACGGCCAGCCTTCTACAATGAACTGAAAATGACTGATTGCGTCTCTGCACAACGCAGGCAATGTCGCGCTCACTATGACGCCGGCAAGTGGAATCCCAGTGTTCGGAGGTCCATGTAAAGGCTCCTGCAGGAGTTCAAGGGGGGAGCACGACGAGCGCAGACATGACTTGCACCCTTACGGCCGTGATACCCGGCTCTAATGGGCTTTTCCAGACAGACGGACGAGGGTAAAGCAGTCAGGTGAATGGTGAATCTGGCTGACTCTACACCCTGCTCGGCCTTGCGTACAGCATATTGTTCACCATTCCAAGCGGTGGAATCAGTCCACTCAATGGCCTTCACATACAAAGTGTTTGCATTTGTAGATATCAGAAGGCATTCAAGTTTTGAACGTGGGGACACGGCGGAAGTGAAAACTTCTGTGTATTCGTAACAACATTATACTACCAATAATGATACATATCAAGTCGGAGTCCATCTTGGCCCCGGCGAAAAGTGAGCATGACTTTGAGAAATGGCACTGTCAGTGTCGACCTTGAACTGAACACTGACTTCCCACTTCTGACCGCTGCTCCCCGAGCCATATCCTCCACTCAGCCTGTTTCGAATAATGCTCGAAATTGTTTCTCTGAGCTTGAGTAGATTCTCTTCGGTCCCAACAACTCTCAGTCTCAGATTTGCCATGCCCATGCCATAGTGCGCCTGCCAGAACTTGGCTTGTTCCACGCTGCGCACAAGGGGTTGAGCTTCGATGGCCTTGACCACCTCGGCGACATCGGTGGATCTCGATGGAAGTGACATCAAAAGCATCGCTCCGACGTTACGGCCCAAATGCACACCCAGAAACAGCATGCTCAGCGCAATGCTCAAGGAGAGGATCTTATCCACCCATTCGTAGGTGTGCAAAGACAGCAAAGGTAGTATCAGCATGGTGGCCGAGCACGACAGCGTCAGAAAATGTGACGGGTTGCTCAACAACGACGGCAGGTTCTCCATAGCGGCAAACCTCATGGCTTTCCCAATGCGAGCATGATTCTGCAAACCAACAGCGGAGACAAGGGTAGCTGCCAGCGCAATTAGCGCCGTCAGGTCAATCGTGCCAGTGGTAACACGGTCGTGGGTATGTGGGTGATGTGGCTCATGCCCGATTCCCTCCAGAGCATGTTTCGCGTTGTGTGATATCAGGTCGAATCCAAAGAAGATCAACAGCACAGACAAGGCAAATCCCGCAATGACTTCCATGCGCTGCAGTCCGAACGGATGCCTGACGCTCGATCTCCCCCACACCTCGAAGTTTGAGAAGATTTCGACCAGGACGCACAAGAGGGCACCTAACGAATCGTAGAAGATCAGGTGCGATAGAGCCTCCATCGCCGCCGAGCCATGTGCATTCCACGCTGTGTAGCCTGCTACCGCCATATGACATATACTCCAGTAGAAGCGGACATTCTGGTCTTTCGTCATGCTTGCCCTGCACTCTGCGAACGTGGGGATGGGCAGAGAGTTCGGGAGGGCCAAGGGTGCCCGAGGAGGAGGCTCCAGGAAGATCTGATGCGAAACACTGCTGTGTTTGTACTTGTGACCACGTCGCTGGCCAATGTTGGACTTTATGATGGGCGACTTGGCCATAGTCGCCGGCTGGAAGTTGAAAGGCCCCGCGCCATTGGCATTGTGTTTCAAGGGAGTACCCGGTGAAGATAATGTCGCCCCCAACGAGCTCATGTTTTCTCTTTCGGCATGCAGAGGCGAGAGACTGTTATGGTCAAAGAGTGTCTCTGGATCGGCGGCAGCGAGGATCTGTGGTGAGGAGGGTTCGTCTGGGTCAGGGGTGGGAGTGCGAGGCGGGATTGGGAGCGGCATGGTGTTGGCCATGTTGGAGAGGGAGATCCCGGTGAGGCGTGTGCCCCGTTACAGAGGAGGAAGATGGTCGAGACGGCGACAACTGGTCGTCGTCGTCGACAACGTAGGGAGCTTGCGGTGTCGCTGTGTTTGCTGCGTGTCTGCGGAGGGAGATGAAGAATCAGACTCCGATTGGCCCAGACGTCGAAGTGCCAGGAACAGGGGAATAAACACCATCCCATGCATCTTCTTCATTCCTCATCATTCCCCCTCGTCTTCTTATCGTGTCTTCCACTCTGCGATGAGTCGCAAGAGTCTACGGTTCAGTGGATGGAAGGTCCCCGAGTTGTTCTTCTGGTGATTCTGCTGCTGTTCATCTTTTTCACTCCTGATCAGCCCGCCCGACGACGCTTTCAAGTCGACACGGATCGAATCGAGGAACGCCATCAACGGGAACTCGATGTCTTGACGAATTCATCCTATGGCCACTTTGATGCCACGGCAGACAAATGGCTCAACTTGACCGGCTTCCGGGATACTGATGGCTATCAATGGGAACTCCTCCCTCGTGCGCGGTCGTTGAGTCAGCAGCAATATGAACATGCCTGGAGCGGCATCGACCTCAACGATGGATTGCCCATCTATCAAAAAGTCACTGGAGAGATTCGAGGGAAGTTCTCTCGTTTGGAGAACCCACTTCCACCTCCAATGCCCAATTTGACTGTCATCGACCCGAGCAAGGATTACATGGTGGCTCGATTCGAAAGAAACATCACCGAAGATGAAGGCGAAGTTAGTTTTACTCTCGTCGATTCAACTGAAAGCCACGACCATGGCCATGAACCATCTACGATCAAAGCCGAAATCTCCTTGTTCACGGACTCGTCTCCGGGAAATGGATGGCAGGCAAAGCTCCAAGGGGTCCATCTACCGTCTGGTCAGATCGTCATGTCTACCACCAGCTCGAAATTCGATGCATATCCAGCTCTGCCCCATTTTGCCCTCAATGCGGATGCATTCAACGCATCGCGATATGTCATGAATGAAACAGTACACAATTACTGGGACAAGACTCTCGAAGACGTCTCGGATGGCTTAGCGTTCGCGCCTCAATGCGAACTGATTGTCTGGTTGCAACCGTTGCCTCACATATACGAAGACCAGGGCCCGGGCGAAACCCACAATTACCTTGATCAAGTCGAGGAGGAATTTGAACATCCTGAGGGTGCCCCTATTGGTCGCCCGCCGTTACTCACTTTCTCCGTCGTCATCATGTCCCCCGACTGTGGCTACATGCTCAGTGCCGATGCAATCTTCGGACCCAAAGTCGAGACGTATTGGGCACTCGCGCAACGTTTGATCTTCTCCTTCATCATGGCATTGGGTCTGCAAATTTTCCTGCTGAAGCGTCAAATGGAAAAAGCGGCGACACCATCGACGAGAAGTCGGATTGCTTATCAAGGCATTGTCATCGCCGCGTTAGGGGACGGAATGCTGCTGTTCGTGCTGATAGCATTGTTGATGGCGGATGAGGCGTCTTTTCTCATGATCGCTGCGGCTGCGTTCCTAGCGTGCATCCACGTCGCGTTTCTAGAGGTTAAGTTTGTCTTTGACATTTGGACGGTGCAGGTGGGCGATCCTCAACGAGCAGAACAAGAGAGGCGGAGAAGGACGGCCGCGGCGACGACGCAGAATTCGACCGCAACTGCAACCGTCACTCCCTCGCCTGCGCCCGCGCCTACGCCGACACCTACCACTACAACAAACACGCCTGCAGCTACGAGCGCAGACGGCACAGTCGGTCTTCCTCTTCCAGCCACGGCTCCTCGACTCCAGGGTGCCACACCGATATTTTTGCCGTCAGACCAAGACCCAACCATCCCCGCGGACGTGACTAGTCCCCGGGCATCCTTTGCCGCCATCTACTCGCGCTTCTACTTCTCCCTCGTCATGTTGATGTTTTTCTCCCTGTGGGCGCTGTCGTGGCCACGGACGCTCCGGTCGACGTACACGAACCTCCTGGTCCTCGCCTACTTTTCCTTCTGGTGGCCTCAGATCTACCGCAACGCAATACGCAATTGCCGCAAAGCCCTGAGTTGGGAATACGTCATTGGCTCGAGTGTCTTGCGGCCCCTGCCCATTTTATACTGGTACTTTGCCGACCGCAACATTCTGTCCATCGACGCGAGCCCCGTGACGGGTGTTGCCTTGCTCGGCTGGCTCTGGCTCCAGGTTTGCGTTCTTGTGAGCCAACAGTTCCTCGGCCCGCGGTTACTGGTTCGCGATTCCTGGTGTCCGCCGGCCTACGACTACCATCCCGTCCTGCGCGAGGACGACGGCGACGTCGAAGCCAACGGCATGTCGATCGGTCTGTTGGCGTCGGCGTCCGAGGCCAAAGACAAAGACGACAGGACGAGAAAAGTGTTTGATTGCGCCATTTGCATGAATGAGATTGACGTGCCTGTTGTTTCCAAGACGGATTATAGATCGGGGTCGGGAAGGGGAAGAGGTTCGGCCTGGCTCGAGCAGAGAAATTACATGGTCACGCCGTGTCGCCATATTTTCCACGCGGAGTGTTTGGAGGGCTGGATGAATTTGAGACTTGTTTGTCCTGTGTGTAGAGAGGAGTTACCACCGTTGTAATTCTGTGATCCTGTATACCCTATAAGTTGCTAGCACTACTGTCATTATTATTGCTGGAGTCGCGAATATCACTCATATCACTTTTTTCTTTTTGGGAACACATAAATATAGATGGCGTAGTCCAGTACTGGCTTTGGGTTGGTTGGTTGGCTGGTTGGTACGCTCTAGACGAAGAGAAAGCCTCTCGGCGAAGGCCGAGAATATAGCAATGTATAGCGTACGAGGAGTGAATTGATGGTGTCGCAAACGTTGTAAGGAGCGTCAGGGCGTCGACGATTGCCTGGGGGCCATTAGGCTAGTGATGCGTGAGTATTTGAGCTTGTAAAGACCGTCGTCGGACTGTTCAACAGGGTTGCTTGCTTTTTGGTTTCGTTGCATGTGTGTGATTTCGTCGTGGTCGATCTCAGGGGTCAAGTGAGGTAAGTAAGGTACAGTACATGCAAATAATTGCCTCTGTATGATTGCCAGCCGCCGTCTTGAAAATCACAGCGTTTCGAGTCGTTCGGGGGTTTTTTTTAAATCATCACCATTCTGCGTTCTTGCTCACTGACCCCGAGTATTCATTCATTCTGTCGTTACGCATCATCACCAACCTGAAACCACATTCACCTGAGTCCTTTGTCTGAAGTCACGACTACTGAACCCGGCATTCAACCCAATACTTCCCTCCGGAATGGTCCACTGTTGAGTGTTGGTGTCCCAATAACTCAGGTCGCGACGAGCCAGATCGAACTCGACAGTCTGGGATTCCCCCGGCTGCAGCAGGACCTTCTCGAACCCGCGAAGAACGTTGACGGGGGTAGGATGACCCTCGGCGTCCGGCACCTGCGGGAGCGACACGTACAGCTGCGGCACCGCGGCGCCGGCCACGCCGCCCGTGTTCGTGACGGTGACGGTGACGGTGTACAGCGTCTCCCAGAGCGCCGGGTTTCCTCCTGGCGGAACCTTACCTGGGGACGGTGGAGGTGGAGGAGTTGCACCGATGACGGTGGTGTTGTTGTTGCTGCTGTAGGGACCGCCTCCGCCTCCTGCTCCACTGGCGCCCTGTTGCTGTACGGCTATCCCGGACATACTGAACGTCGTGTACGAGAGGCCAAAGCCAAACTCGAACGCGACAGACTGGTTCTCGTAGTCGAAGTGGCGGTAGTCGATCAGCAGGCCCTCGGTGAAGTTCCACTGCCATGCGTTCGGGTCCTCTGTTTCGAGGAGCGCAGTGGAATTCAGGAGGGGCGCAAAGTCGTAGTCACTCTCGTTGTGCGCGATGGTGTAGGGAAGTTTCCCGCTCGGGTTGACCACCCCGTACAGGATGTCGACTATCGAATTGCCTGACTCCTGACCGGGGAGGTGCGCGGCCAGAATCGCCGTCACGTTCGGGTGGTCCGCCCACGGTAGCACGTTGATCCCCGCCGAGTGCGTGACGACCACAGTGTTGTTGCAGTACGATGCGACCGACGTGACGACTGCCGTGCTGTTCCAGTCTGCTTCGAGCCCGGCGCGGTCGGCGCCTTCCGACGCCCATGTTTTGAGAAACACCAGACACACCTGCGGCACGGGCAGCACACCGGCCAGAGTCGAAGGCTGCGAGAGGAGAGTGTTGTTCAGCACGTATTGCACTAGTGTGCCGTCTTGGGCGGCGCGGGTTTTGATCGCTTCGAGCGGTGACACCAGATACGACAATCGACCTGTGCCGCTTCCTCCGGCGACGGCGAGGGTGCCGTATTCTGCCAGGAGATTGAAAGAGTGTTAGCCATAGACATAGATTGTATCATCAGGTAGAGCAGAACTGAGGAGAGCAGAATAGACTGAGACCAGAAGGGAGGAGGCAGAGGTGGGGGAGATGAACTGGGAGGCCTGGTGTTGTTGTCCTGTAATGAAATGGTAATAACTAAGGAGACAAGGTCACCAACTCACCGTAACCATCTGAATTCCCGAATGCTCCCCCAAGGGAATATAGTCCATCGACCACGTCTCCAGCATCATTGCCGAAGACGCCTATTGAAGTCGGTGCTTTCAGCGGGAGTGTGTTGTCGACGTTCTTCAAGAGTACGGTACCAGCAGACCCTAGGTCGCGAATGAGCTGACCGTGGCCATCACGGACGTCAACGTTGGATGCGCCGAGATTGAACTGATACTTGTATGGAGGGAATCTGGAGTTCAATGTCGGCTCCTCGCCGTCGATCGGGGGGTATTCGTCCTGCTGGAGGAAGAAGTACGGTGTCAAGATACGTAGTATCATATCGTCTACCCGTGTTTCGCTGAGAGAGCCGTTGTTGACTGCCGTCGTTATGTTGCCGCCGAACAACGACGCAGTTGAATCTCCACTGAAACTGATAGAACCTGGATATCATAAGCAAGACCATAGGATCTAGTTTAGGAGGGACAAAAAATGCATACCAGGCATGGTCATATCCAATCCTGCATTGATCGAAGCGAGACCGGAACGCGTTCCTCCCTACAACACAATTAGTAGAGAGACATCAACGAAGGGGTAGTGCCCAAAGGGGGGCTCAATGTCAACGTGCCAGCCGGCGGCTATGGTGGTGGGCGTGGATCAAATTTCACTCACCCAATCGGACATGATGTAGCCCTGGAACCCCAGTTCTTCCTTCAACAGTCCATTCTGGCTCTTGGAGTTCTGGCAGGCATAAGATCCATTGAGTCGGTTGTAGGAGCACATGATTGAGGAGACGCCCGCCTTCACGCCATTGGCAAAGGGCCACAGATACAACTCGTGCATTGTGCGGTCATCAATGTTCGCGGAGAATGACTCGATCGTGACATTGTCAGGAGACAGGCTCGGATTGCGTTGGGTTTCTTGCTCGTTGCCGATGTAGTGCTTGAGGCAGGCCTGGACACCACCCTGCTGCATTCCCGTGATGGTCTCCCCTACTGCAACGCCCGTCAAGTACGGGTCGGGAGAGAAGCCTTCCCAGTTTCGACCACCATATGCAGTACGACCGAGAGGGCCCACGACAGGACCAAGAGCGATGTGACTGCCTTTACCTTTAAACTCGGCACCCATATAAAGGCCTCGCAGATACATTAGGCTTTTGTCCCACGAGGCAGCAGCTGTGAGCCCTGCTGGGAAGACAGAGGCGTAGGTCGCCTGTCGAATTGCCAAAGGGCCATCCTGGAGACAGAGACCGTCGAACCCGAGGCGAGGGATGGCACCTATATTGCCAACACAAGGGCCCGAAGTGCCAGTCACGAGCTGGGCTTTCTCTTCCAGGGTCAAGTTAGCGACAAAGGCTTCAGCCCGGGCAAAGGCGGCTTCCCAGCCAATACCCTGTGTTTGAGGGCTCGGATAGACTGGTGGTGACGAGCCATAGTCAGAGTCTTGAGCGACAACGGCGAGGTCGCCGAGCAAAGCTGCTAGAAGGGCTGTCAAGACGAGCATTATGGCCATCTGGAGAGTAAAGAACGGGCAGAGCTTCGAATGCGAGAAGTCATGGAGATGCCGCGTCACTCTTATACAGACTGCTTCACCTGGGGAGTTACATAAGTCCGGACTCCTCTTCGGCTGTGTTGCTTCACTCTTGTATCGACTACTTCACCCTCTGCTGGGGGAGTTACTTAAGTCCAGACAAGACTCCTCTGCGGTTGCAGTGCACTCACCCCACATGTTGCTATAGGAGGAGCAGTTTGCTAGCTCCACAAGTGTTCTTCGCCGCTGGGCTCTTCACTTGGTTTCGGCATCGGTAGAAAGCTGTCCGAGCGGTTGTATTGGCTCGCCAGTCGGGGTCGTGGAAGCTCAACACCTCGTCATCGTGCGGTGAAGCGAAGCCATTCACTGCGACTGCGGAGGAGAGCGTGGAACAAGGCACGAATCTCGGTAGATGGGGGGTTTTACTTGCCTTGTATCTGTGCCCTGCGTGGGTTAAGGAGGTGAGTTGTACTGATATCTGAAGTGCCGTGTATGACTAGCGAACTATTCACCAACCGATGTCGAAGTCGCGGTCGGTACCAGTACGAGTACATTGATTGCCACCCACATCTCCTGCTCGTCCTGGTTCAAGAAGACCTCCACTGTGCATCTCTGGTCGTGGTCCGGCACACCACCGCCGTATGACATGAAATGCGGTGATTTTGGTTCTTGTCGATTCTTCCATTCTTCTATGCGCAGGGAGTGGGACGAGAAGCTGCGACAACTCGCACAGTGCGATGCTCGAGCAGGGAATCGATCCTCCCCTGCAACCCACAAAATGATCAGCTGCCTGGCAGAGCAGGGTAACGTACCCCGCAACGAACCCTTGCAGAACAGAACGTGAGGTGGACCGATCATCTCACGCTTTGCAGTTTGTGGTAAGCGATCGTGGCGGTGGGTTGGACCGGCAAATTCTGCGATACTTGTGACCTTGGTATTGCCGAGTTGAATGGTGGTGAAGGCTAGAGACAAAGATTCGAGGAGCAGGACAGAGATGGGACGAAGTTGACAGGGGCCCTAGGAATTCCTGAGGGCGAAGTCAATGAAGATACTCGTCGTCGTTGACAAAGCAGAGTAGCAGATGTATCATATCGCGACGTACGTGCTTTGATCTACCTAAGCATCGCCAAGTTCAAGCCACACGGCAGCTAAATAGATGGCTTTCGGTTTGTGGCGTTTTCTCTTGCATCAGCAGCAGCTTCTGGTGTGCTGATAAGGAAACTATACGGATGGATGATCTGGCCTTCGACCTCTGGGGAGAGCTTGACGAGTAAGCCACCGAGTACATGTACACATCAAGCATGTCTCGCTCGTCATGACGAAGGATAGACACTAAGAGTGGAAGAAGTTGATGATTGTTTAATCGCAGACTTGTGTTCTTCGTACAACGAAGTCACCGAAACAAGTTCTGGCCCGTTGAGCGGAGAGCTCCGACGAAGGATAGACACTAAGAGTGGAAGAAGTTGATGATTGTTTAATCGCAGAACGTTCCATGAAACCTGGGCATGAAGCGTTCATCATAGGCACTTTCTGTCTACGCCGACACCATGGCGCCATTCAGAGACGAGGACGCGGTGGCTGTCAAGATCCTGGAGCAGCCATGGCAGGGCGAAAAAGTCCATCAAATCAGGACAGGCAAGATAAAACCGGCCTTTGGGATGAAAGAGCCATCGGCCATCTTCAAACATATCCGCACCGGACCCATCAAGGTCACGACGTTGGGCTTCGAAGGAGACGAACACGCGTACGAGTTTCATGGCGGGCCAGAAAAGGCCTTGCTGCAGTACAGTTCGGCCCACTACACGCGGTGGAAGCAAGAATTGCCCCAGAGCGAAGACCTCTTCGTCACGGGCGGCTTCGGCGAGAACATTGTCGCAGAGAATGCGAACGAACGCAACATGTGTATCGGCGACGTGGTGCGCATTGGGAACGTCGTCGCTCAAGTCTGCGAACCCCGACAGCCGTGCTACAAGCTGAACCACAGGTTCCAGGTCAAGGACATGGCGAAACGATCGCAGGACATGTTCCGCACGGGATGGTTCTATCGCATCCTCCAGCCGGGCACCATCCAAGCCGGAGACGAGATGGAGTTGTTGGAACGGCCCAACCCAGAGTGGACGGTGGCCAAAGTCCAATACTACCTTTATCACGACATGAAGAATGAAGACGCCATGAAGACGCTGGTCGAGATCAAAGAGTTGGGCGCTGAGCCGCGGGGCATCTTTCTCAACCGGCTGAAAAAGCAGTACGAAGACCACAGTGGCCGTTTGGGCGGCGTGGCCATGGACATCTGGACCGAGTACAGGCTGGCGGAGAAGAAGAGGGAAACTCCAAGGATTGCCTCCCTTGTCTTTGAGGCGATCGAACCCCAGCAGAACCCCGAGCCCGTTCTGCCAGGAAGTCATATCAGACTGCGTCTTGGTGGGAAGCTGGTGCGCGCCTATTCCGTCGTGTCAGGCGACTCGAACCGCTTCGAGTTGGCTGTGGCACTCAGTGAGACGAGTCGTGGCGGGTCACATTACATTCACAACCGGCTGAAGCTGGACGACGTTCTACAAGTCGGCAAGATCACCTCGAGTTTCCCTCTAGCTGTCGACGCTGACAACCACATCTTCGTCGCTGGCGGGATAGGTATCACGGCTTTCATCGCATCTGCCCAGCACTGTCGCCGGATGGGATATTCTTACCATCTGCACTATCTCGTGCGGAACTCGGAGGATATCGCCTTGAGAGAATATCTCGCAGAATTTGGCGAAGACGTCACGATCTACGACAAATCTGCCGGCAAGACCTTCGACACCAAAGATGTCATGAAGAAGGTCAACGACCGGGCACACGTTTACTGTTGCGGATCCGAAAGGTTGCAAAAGGCTGTCACAGACACCGCGGCATCGATCGGAATGAGCCCCGCGAATCTTCATTTTGAACAGTTCGAGGTCCCTACGTCCGGAGACCCATTCACCGCCGAGCTCGCAGATTCAGGGAAGACGGTTGAAGTGCAAGGAGAGAAGACGCTGCTTGACGCGCTGCGTGAAGCGGGGCTCGACGTTCCCTCGTCGTGTGAGGCAGGGAATTGCGGTACGTGCAGAGTCGTCGTGAAGAGTGGTAGAATAGAACATAGAGGCACGGGACTGATGGAAGACGAGAAGGCTTCGGCCATGCTAAGTTGTGTGTCTAGAGGGGTTGGGACGATCGTTCTAGAGTTATGATGACCTTACAATAACAGTGATTTATGGCTTCTGGTGATGTACCTATATGCCTGTTGTGGAGTGCAATGTCTCCTCGTACCCACAGTCCTTCTGAGACGCAGCGTCTAACACCCCGAGTTTGCAGTGATTGTCGCTAGCTCATTTAGCTTCTCCGTATGCTCGCAGGGACCGCACCGCTTTCTAAGAGTTCTGCTCGCGAAAGGTTTGCCTCTGACCTTCTCTCGCCTTGAGACAGATGGAGCACAGAGAGATCACTGCATGTATGCATACCGTGATGACTTCAGCACATAGTAACTTCAATTCATTACCAAACCAGTTCAATGATATAACCCTGTAGACCTTCAGGGGTCATGTCAGCTTTGGCCCTGTACATCGACTCGTTGAGAACACTGGTACGACAGAGATGCATAAACCATGCTGGACTTTGAGGACATCATGTTTCCAGTATAGAGCAGAAGCCACATCGCTGGAATTGGCCTCGTTTCTTGAGATTGGCTTGAAAATAATTTCCAGGATTCAATGCGGCATATTTTGAAGCACTGTGATGCTGACGTCTCCAGCTCCTCAAAAGTCTGGCCAAGGGAATGGGAACGAGGACCACCGAGGTTTGCATCGGGCAGCTAACCAGAGAAGATGCTCTGACGCTGTTGTCATAATGGTGCTGGCGGGAAACCATGGAACCGCAATCCAGCCGCCCGAGAGATAGGTCTTCTGAGAAGGCTTGACACGAAATTAACCAGACGAGAGGCGTGTTTCTCTGTCATTCAACGCAAGTCACCAGCATGATACAACGTACATTTGTATGCCTTGTGACCAGGGGTAGATTCTGCAGAGGGTGCGGTGTCATATTGAGGTGTCCACCTAATCATATGGACCGCATCAAGTGTCAGCAGCATGGCCACCTTGGAAATTTCAGAATATACCAGTTCGTTCAGTGCGGTTGCCTAGACACTGTTAGCGGTATCAAGTCAATCGACCGGGCAGCGGAGGAAGGATTAAGAGATAATCTCGTTGGCGCTGGAAGCTCATCGTTCCCCGCCAGGTTAAAGAGCAACTGCAGAAGGAGTCCCTACAAAGGAGCATTACTTTTACATTACGTTTCTGTCTTTGAAGGGTTGCATACCTGTCCGGGGTTTCTCTCGAGGGTCGAGTCAACTTTACTGCTCGAAACGGTAGACTGGCACTATTTGATCCCGTGAAAGCAGATCTGTCGGATCCCGATCGGAACTCTCCGTCTTAGGAGATTGTAAGTTTCCCGCTATTTGTTCTTCCTCCGAAAGAATATGTGCCTCCAAATGCATTCAGAGAAAGAGAGATTCCCCGTTGCGAAACCCCCAGAAGGACAGTTGGCGAAAAATCTCCCAAGGCCAACGGAACCCGTGACGAATGGCTGCGGCACTGAAAAAGGGCATCAATCGTTGCAGGAGTTGACAATGCAGACCCCTGATTAGGCCGGGGCTATCTCGCAGGATGGTCCAATCGCAGAGCATTTTGTTCAGGCAGATATGCTGTATCCGAGGTTGGAAGTAAAATTGAAGCGCCCGGCAAGGCTGATTTTCTTTCACACGAAACGAGGAAGAAGCGCAGGGATCTTGCTTCGGCGCTGACGTCCAAGCTCTTCTCTCGGAAATTGTTGGGCTGTGGAAGAAGCTGGAGATACTTGACACACCCGCATGCATGCCAAGGTCTTGGGATGCGAGTGTGCTGAAATATCACTTCTGCAATACGAGGTCCGCACGAATAGCATCTCAGAGAGCACGACAGGCTGATTCCATCCCAGTCCCCGGTGCATTGAAGCTGAATCCCTCATACGAGGGCTTCGGTGGCCTCGACCTCCTGTTTGCGAAAGCATCACTTGGCAAAGCTTCAGCCTGGACAAGCCTCAGAGGGATGCTTCGCCAAAATCTCAGAGGCTATTGGCCGCCGGACTACACCTGTCCACCATCACGCATCGCTGAGGAGGTCTAGGCTACCTTGGAGGTCCTTTTGAGCAACCTGTTCTTTTGTTCCCGAGGCTGACTGACTCATGGCTGGCTGAGGTCAGGAGGCATTTTGGCACCTGGCCCAGACATCCAGTCCCAAAGCTATCGAGGCTCATGGATCAAACCCGGCTACAAAGACATTCTAGACCGCCAACATCGCACTGCGCTGCAGATACTTTCGGGGAGCATTGTGTCAATTCGAGAGACATCACTGAAGCGGTGTGGCCGGTGAGGCAGACAGATGACAGGATACGAGATCAGCCAGGACCTGGGTCGACATGAGAGTTTATGGCGACTTCCAGCTGAATGGCAGTCGCTTTGGACCGAGTCCACATTGAGCTGTGATTCCGGCACAAGGAATGTTTGTAGGTGCAAGCTGAGGAGCTAGCATGCACTCTGAATGCGCTTTGGTTCAATCTCCCATCTATATAATTTGCTGATGCCCAGACGCCGAGAGACTTGAAGCCCCAACGATTCTCACTGACAATAGGAGTTCCCGTTCACATATCATCTGAGACAAAGAATACTACTGCTCCTTCTCTTGCAGAGAACACCACCAACATGGCTTCTATCAGGGCACCACTTTCGCACTGCTGCTACATCATTCCACCCCATATTCTCAAGGCTATTGCCAGTTCTCAAGCTGCGTCCGACCACTCTCGGGCTCTGGCAAGCAAGACCCTGACTCACATAGCGTCGGTTCGCCAAACCCGCGCTGAGATTCAAGCCAGCTTTGCGGCTGGCCAGCCTCATCCACGCCCGCAGGGGATTGTTCCGAGCCATGTCTTCCAGGCCATCCTTGACTCAGACGCTGCCTCTGAGGAATCCAAGGAACATGCAAGACACCACCTGGCCGGGATGGGCGCTCTTGCGGCCGCCAAAACGACCCCATCCCATCCAAAGCCCGTGCCCAAGCCGATGCACCTGTTTCGAATCATCTATGATTCGCATCAGTCGGCCTCGACAGATGACATAAAACTATTCCAGGAGGGCAACGTTCCGGCCAATGCTGACGTGTACGCAAAACAGATCTACGACAACTTCGGGAGCACATTCAAGTTCTACAGCGAGATTTTCAACCGAAACAGCATTGATGACGCAGGGATGAACTTGATTGGCAATGTTCACTTTGACGACGACCCTACCACTCCAGGCTACGACAACGCCTTTTGGGATGGTACCCAGATGTGCTTCGGAGACGGAGACCCGCAAATCTTCAACACTTTCACCGAGAGCTTGGATATTACCGGTCATGAATTGACACATGGGGTGACAGAGAAAACTGCGAACCTTGAGTACGAGTATCAGTCTGGGGCTCTCAACGAATCCATGTCCGATGTCTTCGGATCTATGGTGAAACAGTACAGCCTCAACCAAAAGGCCAAGGATGCAGATTGGTTGATTGGAGAGGGCCTCTTCCGGAACTCCGAGGGCGCTCGAGCTCTGCGTGACATGGCCCATCCTGGTACAGCTTACAAAGACAATCCGTATATCGGCAGTGACCCTCAGCCAGCGGACATGGACCACTTCGTCACGTTGCCAAATACTGAGGATGGCGACTGTGGTGGTGTCCACATCAATTCGGGTATACCCAATCGAGCTTTCTACCTGGTTGCCACCGGGATTGGAGAGTACTCGTGGGATGTAGCCGGGAAGATCTGGTATGCGGCATTGACCGATCACGGTCTTAAGGGTGTCAACACACGTAAAGCGTTCAAAGTGTTTGCTGACCTGACCATCAAACACGCTTCCGAGATCGGTGGTGCCGACGCTGTGGCAGTGGTGAAGAACGCCTGGACGACAGTCAAAGTTCTGTGAATCTGGTTGAATCGACGTTGTACGCTCATTATCAGGCAGTCTCGTGTATGTGTCGTGACGGGTGCCCCGCAACATTTACAGCTACGTTATGCTTCATTGCTTGCCATTACTTTAAGCTGTCTTTGGGACCTGAGGAGTTCTACTTGATCTATTTTCTCTCCGTAGATGCTTCGGAGGCCCACTCTGGAAGAGGGAAGGGTCCACAGTCTATGTCTTCAAGTTGTAGCTCATAATGCGGTCAGGGATGGCTCGAGGTAATGGCTCACCAACACTGCAAATGTCAAAAAGGTAGTGCCTAGGTATCTTATGCTTTTAGGGCGTTGTACCTTCTTCGCCCCTCCTATTGCCTTTGTTCAGGATAATGCGGAAGACACCAAGCAACTTCGATCGACACACACTCAGTTTCAATAGGCAGTAGAAGTGCTTGCTCTTCAAAGCGAAGAGTCATTGTCTGCTGCTTGCGGTTGCAACACCAGGCCTTGTTGATGATCTTTGAAAGAGAACTTGTCCTACTTCCGAAGAGCCAAGGGGGCGGCCAGAGTACATACCTCAAGGTCCATAATGATTTGAAGCGCGTACTCCCCCTAACCGGAGCGTGTGTCTACCTAGGCCTACGCCTTGACGCGTGCCTACATGCCTCCCTGTAGATAACTAGGTAGGTACCTAGGAGCCCAAGGTATCTATCTGTACCTCCAGGATACGAGTATTGACAAATTCGTTTTTCTTCGTGGAACCCATTGACGTCCACACTGTTACGACCCAAGCCCAATTAGGAAGCGAGGCAACTGCCGTTCTGGGAGTGCAGATGTTGACCACGTGACTCGCCGCGACACGTGAGCACATAAGGGATATGGAACCAGTGCGGCAGTCGGAAAGAAGTATCTCCGATCCCGGCACCAAATTACAACGCAACGATTCCACACCAAACGAACCGCGAAGAGGTAAACGTAAAGTGCGCAGGACAGCTGGGGCCGTCACGCAGTCAACATCATCGTCTGAAGTGGCACAGACGATTAGCTTGGACCATTGTAACGCACAATATGCGGCGCAAATCTACGACGAACCTGCCATGATCGGGTCGAATCGTGGCTCCTTCGAATCCTCCGAACGGCCAACCCCATTCCCCAAAATCGAAGATGAACTGAGCGCCCAAGAGAAAGAACAAAAGGAAGGCTCGAAACCGAAACGTTTACGTGACGGACACAAACGATCTACGTCGGGCAGCGTCTTGTCTCGATTTGCCTTTTTGCGGACCAACAGCGACCAACAAGACAAAAGTGACAGCGTCGATCGTGATGGCTCCGACACCATCACCCACGCCCACGGGCGGGGCGCCATGGCAGAAGCCCAGGCCCAGACGAAGAGGAAGCGCAAAGGTTCCTTGAGAAAAACCGTCCTCGGAAAAGGAAGAGACAGGAAGAACTCTGACAAGAAAAGCCCTCTTTCAAGCACCCCCGATTCCGCGACCCTGACCAAGACGACGACGCGGTCGCCAGGGGACGCGGAGGCACCAGCGCTTTTGACACCGCGAGCGAGTCAAGAACCGTCAAGTAGTCCCGCATCGCCCGACTCGCCGCCTTGGTCGTTCCGCACACTCTCGCGCGTGTCCATCCCGTCGATACGCAGCAGCATTGCGTCCATCGAGCCCGCGTCGTCTGCCACCTCGATCACCAGCCCGACCATGCCCACGGACGCGTCGACGGATGACGAAGAGCTGGTGTTGCCGCCGCGCATGTCGGCGCTGAGGAAGATGCCCTCGTCGACCTCGTCGTCGTTTGGCGACTCGTACTTCCCGATCCAAGACCCTGTGCGTCGCATGTTTGCTTCCCGCACCCGCTCACCGCTCGCTACCCAGCCGCAGTCGATCGCCGGGACGCCGCCGGAGGAAGAGGGCTGGGACTATTCGGAGACGGCATTCTGGGGCTACGTGATCCTGGTTGTGACGTGGATCGTCTTCGTCGTGGGCATGGGCTCTTGCTTCGATATTTGGTCGTGGGCGTGGGACGTGGGAGAAACACCCTACGCGCCGCCCGAACTGGAAGACGACCCTACCTTGCCGATTGTCGGGTATTATCCTGCCCTGCTGGTCTTGACGTGTGTCATGGCCTGGGTATGGGTTGTGGTGGCGTGGGTTGGTATGAAATATTTCAGACACGCAGATTTCAAAGGAGATGATGGATAATAATAATAGTGAAGACCTGAACTGCACTGAAATCAAGGCCCGTAAATATGGTATCTTTTGCATTCAAAGATCAAAATAAAATCATCGGGACGCCTCGCTCCTTGCTCCTGGCTCCATGCTCTTGTTTCAATCTGTTTTCGTCAAATGAAGACACGTCGGTCCCGTTGTTACCGGCTCTGACGCTCTCTAAAACCGAGGTACACAATTTTCCTTTTCCTTTTCCTTCCCTTCCATGCCCACACACACCATTGACCGTCATCCCTGCTGTAATCCATCCCATCCGAATGTGCTCGTCGTAGAAGTACGAGTATAGCATACACACTTCAGTTCAATTTGTGAATCTCACGAGCCCGGCCGGCGGGTCCCATCCCATACCACGCCGACAAGTCTAGTCGCCCAGTCAAGTAGCAGCAGGAATTGGGCCGTTGGGTACAGCTCCCTTCATACCAACCCGCCTTGCTTGACAGGCTGAAATGTGGTCGTTGGGAAGCAACCCGCCCGATCCGGTGCGCAGACTGAAATCTTCCATGTTTGAACGCACTCTGTCCAGATCGTCCTTGACAATGAAACCGCCGCCAGCTGTCTCGACTTCGTTTCGAGGGACGGGTGTTCCTGGGATCGTGGAGGGTGTGATGGTCCCGCCACCAGGCGCCTTTGACACCAGACCCTTGGACCTGGCGAAGCCGGTTGATCGCTCGGTCGAGGGATCAGGGTCGTAGAATTCGTCCTTGATGGGCCGCACGTAGACGGTTTGCTTGCAGATGGCCACGATGGTGTTGGTCGGCACGGACAGCCAGTTGTGGCGCTCAAAGGTCAACGGTTCACTGGCGACCAGGACCACGTCAGAGGCCTTGTCTCTGCGTTCCATCCGGAACTGGCCTTTGGTCTTCCCTTCGACCCACGCCGTGCCAGATGAGTAGTACAGGCTTGCGGCTGCGTCGGTCTTGCTGCTGACATAGCGAGTGACAATGACCGAGTGGCCGTCGGTGACGGCGAAATTGAGAAGGCTCCTGGTCTCGACATCGTCGAGTTGATGTTCGGCTGGGACGGCCTTGACAAATGCATTAATCTTTGCGATCGTCTTCTTCATGGCTCGTCGTAGTAGTTTGGTGTCGAATCCGTCCTTGGGTTCGGAGCTTGGATCCACCCCGTCCTTTTCCAGCGTGTCGAGAAACAAGGCAAACGCCCATTCAGAGTCTGTGCCGCCTTTGACCCCCAGAAACCACTTGTCGGACAGGCTGTCGGCAAGGGGCCGTTTGACGTATTTCCATGCCCCGATGTTGCCATTGTGCATCCACATGAGGGTGTTGTGCTGGAACGGGTGGCAGTTATTCTCTGCAAGAGAACCCTCAGTTGTGGCGCGGACATGGGCAAAAACCAGCCTCGAGGCGGTTTTTGGCGCGATGCGTTCCAAATTGACACAGTTCCATGCCGGAAGAGTAGACGTGAATATGCATGGATCGGGACCTAGTTCGGGCTCAGTATACCATCCTACGCCAAAGCCGTCGCCATTGACCGGACGGCGACTGTCGAGACGGAGTCGGCTGTCATAAGATTGGGTCAGAATGCTGTGTGAAGGTTCAGTGATGAGCTTGGAGAGAATAATTGGCTCTGAGCCTTTGTAGACCTATTGCGAGTCAACATTTCATTTCCTCCGGTGTTGGGATCAATGTGCAGTGGGCTTACCATGAATCTACACATGGTTTGCAAGGTATGAAGGAATGGCACTTTGGAAGATGATGCAGATCAATGGAGGATCAATCGTTCGTCGACTCTGAGTAGCATTATTTGAAACAGTGTCACAGGTCAAGACTTAGGAGTTGAGGTTGAGGTGTAGAAGCTGTGGCGGTTGATGCCCAAAGGACGATATCGATGCCTGAAAAGAACCAAACGCCTTCAAAACGCCGATAGGTTTGGAGGAAAAGATAGAAGGAGGAAGACGACCGTAAAAGGATGCTCTTTAATATACAAGGGGTAACACATGCGTGTTTGCTGCTGTCTGACTCAAGAACGAAACATTCACCGCCATCTTGGTCTATGACTGGACTGATCGATTGCGAAAGAATGTCGTATCACAGAATCTATGCTCCGCCGGACGACTTTCCCGCACTACATACTCCACCGCACAATCGCCCTATCAACTCCGAACGTCATTTCTCCTGCCGGTGGCTCGTCAACTCGGATTATCTTGCGCGTTCCCGAAAACATCAAACCACCAATTTACGTCTCGTATTTCATCGGGTCGTTCTCCCAAGTTAGTGTTCCATGATCAAAGTTCAATGAAGACCTGTGATGAGTAGTAGGCTACTCGCTGCGAGGGCCGCACCTTTGCTGCGCCAGTCAACGGCGCGTCTCCTTCATAACAATGCCCTCACTAGAGCCGGAGGCCTTCTGAGGCCTAATCGACGATTTCCTCAACGAAGTTGGCCCCTGGGTTCAAACTCGATTCACAATGTCCCCGCCGTTCGATCAATATCGTTTGCCAGGGTGCTCCCAAAACTCGCACTCAAGATGGCTCGGTTGCCTGCCATGTTTGGGGCCAGCATGTTAGCGGGTTTGGCATACATCCAGTACCAGGCTGCACAGGCGGGGAATGCTGCGATGGACTTTTTAAAAAGAGCCGGAGAGACAGTCACCGACACATCAACGAGTCTGTTTAGCGGAGCCAAAGACATTGCGGATCAGATTGGGACTGGCTGGCAGCGGACAAAAGACGAGGCACAGTGGCCTGAGTGGTTACAAAACCTCTTGGAGAAGGGCGAAGGCTCTGGTGACGGTGGCTCCGAACCCGAAGGGCCCGATCATTCGAAGGCTGCTGCTGCGGTCGCTGCTTCTGGGGCCGCTCTTGGACTCGAACAATCGGACGAGGAAGACGAACGCTCAGATCCGGAAGCCGCTAGAGATGACCAGATGATGGTTCTCACGAGGAAGATGATCGAAATTCGAAGCATATTGAACACTGTCGGCCAAGGAGGTGCTCTGACTCTCCCGTCGATCGTGGTTATTGGGTCTCAGTCATCAGGAAAGAGTTCAGTGCTAGAGGCCATTGTCGGCCATGAATTTCTACCCAAGGGATCAAACATGGTGACCCGGCGACCCATCGAGCTCACCCTTATTAATACACCGGACGCAAAGGCAGAGTATGGCGAATTCCCTGCTCTGGGCTTGGGCAAGATCACCGACTTCTCTCAGATCCAGCGCACACTCACCGACCTTAATCTGGCCGTCCCCGCCGAACAGTGCGTTACAGACGACCCCATTCAACTTTCGATTTACTCTCCGAATGTTCCTGATCTGTCTCTGATTGATCTCCCGGGCTATATCCAAGTGTCAGGGAAAGACCAACCACCAGAACTGAAGCAGAAGATCTCCGACTTGTGCGATAAATACATCCAACCACCAAATGTTATCTTAGCTATCTCGGCCGCCGACGTTGATTTAGCTAATTCTACGGCACTAAGAGCCAGCCGAAGGATCGACCCACGCGGTGAGAGGACAATCGGCGTAATCACAAAAATGGATCTCGTTGATCCAATCCGAGGCGCCGAAATTCTCTCCGATCGCAAGTACCCTCTACGGCTGGGATATGTTGGTGTTGTATGCAAAATACCACAAACTGCCAGTTTGTTCTCTCGTCCCAATCAAAACGTGACAAGCGCCATTGTCAAGAACGAAAACGCTTATTTCTCTGCACATCCTCTGCAATTTGGTCCTCACACAGAACTGGAAGTTGGTACGCCCACTTTACGGCACAAGTTGATGCATGTCCTAGAACAGACCATGGCAAACAGTCTCGCAACCACTCGAGACGCCATAATCCAGGAACTAGAGGAGGCCACGTACGAATTCAAGGTTCAGTACAACGATCGACCCCTCAGCGCCGAATCATACCTTGCTGAAAGCTTGGATAGCTTCAAACATTCCTTCAAGGAGTTTAGTGAGCAGTTTGGCAGACCACAGGTTCGGATGCTGTTGAAGGAGGTGCTCGACCAAAAGGTGATGGATGTCCTCGCCAAGAGATATTGGAACAGACCTATCGAGGATCTCTCTCCCGTGCAGTCTGAAGCAGATCCTATAACGGAGTTACCAAAAGCCGACCCCGGCTCGCTGTACTGGCAGAGAAAGCTCGATGCTTCAACATCTGAGCTCACAAAACTTGGTGTGGGAAGATTGGCGACCACCGTTGTTGCCGCAGAGCTTCAGAGCCACGTGGACAAGTTGATCGCCTCGTCGACATTTGCTGCGCACCCTTATGCACAGAGAGCTATTGTGGACGCCTCATCCAGTATCCTCAATGATCGCTTCTACAGTACCAGCGATCAGGTGGAGAATTGTATCAAGCCATTCAAATTCGAGATTGAGGTGGAAAACAACGAATGGGCTAAAGGTCGAGAGAACATTGGCCACGTGCTAAAGACTGAACTGAAAGCCTGTGAGTCGGCCCAGCGGCAATTGGAAGACAGTATAGGCAGGAGAAAACTCAAGGATGTCATGGGCTTCATCGACCGTGTTCGGAAGGGAGAAGTCGTGCTCGAAGGAGACGGCGCAGGTGGAGCTGGGGGTTTTTCATCGGCCTTATTACAACGAGGTAAGTATCAGATTTTAAACTTTACAACAGTATGAGATTTTGTCTAACTGGTGATGATACAGGCCGGGAAGCTGTCTTCCTCCGCGACCGAGCCGAAATCATCAAGATGCGGCTCATGGCTGTCAAGTCAAAGCAATGTTCCAACCTCAAGAACAAATATTATTGTCCTGAAGTGTTTTTGGACGTCGTTGCCGACAAATTGACTTCTACTGCTGTGCTCTTCCTCAACGTCGAGCTCCTCTCGGAATTCTACTACAACTTCCCACGAGAATTGGACATTCGGCTCGGGCGACACCTCAGCCAAGCCGAAATTGAGCGGTTCGCTCGCGAAGATCCCCGCGTCCGCAAGCACCTGGATGTCATCAACCGCAAGGAGAAGCTTGAACTTGTGCTCGAGAAGATTGAGAGTTTGCGGCAATTGGAAGGGCGGACAAAGCAGCATTCCAAGGTACCGCCGGTCGCCAAGGAGAGAGGTCGATGGAGTTTGTTTTAGTCATGTCAAGATACCACGTATAGTTCTTCTTGTTGGTAGCGGGCGTTGGGTTTGTAGGTAGATTATAACGGATGTCGCGATGCTCCTCTCGTATCCTAGCAGAGATCTCGGGTTGCCTTTCTTTGGACTGCACCGACTCTTTCTCTCTTTCATTTGGACCTTTTTGGTTGTGGTTTTTAGCTGTAATTGGAACCGGCTCGCGCAATACCGGAGTTTTCAAAGGTATCGAGAGGGATGTTCGTGTCCGGTGTGGAGTTCCAGTCGACCTGGCCTGTGACTTCCTCGATGGCACCATTGACACCGCCGAGTTTATCACCAAGCTTGACGACGGAGAAGCGGACCATACGTGGGTCGAGCGCGAGTATTCGGCGCATCTCCTTCTGGACCTTGATGCTGCTGTCGAACTGCATGATAAAGTAGTGGCCCTGGAAGTGCTGAGTTTGATGCTTGACGGTCGGCCGGGGGAGATCGAATTGACCCCAGTTCTTAATGCCGCGGATGACGCCTTTGTTGTCTAAGATCTGTCGGCCGCATATACGGGCGATTCTGGTTGAGAGACCGTGTCAGATGAAGATGGCGGACGAAAGAGCAAGTATGGAAAATATGGGACTGAGTACTTACTCTTTGACCTGGCCCAGGTTGCCCGGCCGGACCTGTGGGAGGTTGTTAGTTGGGGATTTTCGTATGGGGGACATAGTAGAGGGTGATGGTGACACGTACCACTGCTATTAGTTCGTAGAGCATTGCTGTAGAGAGAGAGATGCTGTGTTGTCACTGCTGCACGCCCGGTGGTGTGTGGACATGGGATGCGGTTTTGAAAATGTTCTGGCGCAGCTGGGAGCTACGGTCAAGCATTTGAACACTCCTCGAAGCGGTGGACTTACTACGGTCAAGCAGTGACGATTATTGCGTAGTTGCTGGGACACTCAGCCAATGGGCAGCATGGATTCTTTAACTCTTCCGGGGCAGCTTAACCAGAGTCGCGGGAAAGTGCGTTGCGGCTAAGTCACCGTGAATCAATTGATGGAGTATTTGCTGCTCGAGAAGTCTACTCACACTTTTTAAGCCGACAAAAGGCGGTTTTCACCTTCGTGCCACATACAAACTCTTGAGATCCCGTTTATTGGCACGGCAGCGGTCGCACACAAATATCACGCACAATGAGCACCTCTATGGCCAGCAGACTAGTGCCCTCCGTATCGAGGATTGCGACGAGGCGAGTCGCTGTCAAACCACTGGCAACGACGTCTCGAGCATGCCAATGGAACGCCTGCGCATTCAGGAGGACATTTTCCTCGAGGCCTGCTTGTGGGTTTTTCACTGCGCCAGCTGCGCCGCGGAAAATGTGTTCACAAAGCTGACGTTGTGTCATAGTATACATCAAAAAGTACACCGAAGACCACGAGTGGATTGAACTGGACACCGATGGAAAGACAGGTACTCCTTACTTGTTGTCATGGTTTTGCACCGGTACGGCCTTACTGACCTCGCCGCTAGGAACGATTGGTATCACGGAATACGCGTCGAAAGCTCTCGGTGACGTCGTTTATGTCGAACTCCCGGAGCTAGATATGGAGGTCAGCAAAGGCGACACCATCGGTGCGGTCGAGTCCGTCAAGTCGGCATCCGACATCTTGACTCCTGTGTCGGGAAAGATTGTAGACCACAACAAGGTGCTAGAAGAGAAGCCAGGGACGATAAACAAGAGCCCCGAGGGTGAAGGGTGGCTGGCCAAGATTGAAGTCAGTGACCTCACGGAGCTGGACAGCTTGATGAGCAAGGAAGACTACGACAGCTTTGAAAAGGAGTGATCTTTGGAAGGTCGAATTCAATCGACAAGCTTTCAGGTTCATGCTGTGCCATGAGCTGTTTTGGATGGTGCGGAACAAAAGATACCTACCTATTCAACATACAAAAATCCAGAGGTGCAGGACGACGACCTTCAATGCTCGTACAGATTTGCAACGGTACGATTACCTAGGCACTGGCTGATTGATACAGCTGATTCTGTGTTTTCGGTTTGCAAGTATACAGTAACAATGTGACCGGTTTGTACAATCAGATTCACCCAGGTACACGAGCCGTGAAGTACGAATAATGCTTACCGTATGCATCGACGAAAGAGTCCCTTGCAAGCTGGACTTGAGTACCAGAAACAGTTGTGGTGGTCAGACTTCTGGTTTTTGGTCTTTGATTTGGCTCTCTCTCTCACAACGCAGCTCGCATTCTGCAAGAAAAACGCTCTGACTGGTATCTTCAAACTTGCGAATGTGGTAATTGGGGCTAATGTCGATGTCTGCCTCGTACCCGTTATCACTATCGACCTGCCTAGGAACACAGCATACTCGACTTGCAATCAGAGCATTTGTTCCTATCTCCCTCTTCGGAGCTACGTGCCTCGAAACCATCCTTTGAACCGGCTTCACCCAGGGACGATGACAGCGAGTTTGGCAGTTGATGGGTCTTAAGCCTGGCACGGATGATAGGCATCCCCTTCTTTGACTTCCCTTCCTAGGGTCTAGGTAGGTACCTAAAGGTAAGACATTTACTTGACGAACAGTAGTACACCTCGTCATCCCTCACAATATCTACCTCTCTATCAAGGTTAAGTATGGGTCCCAGTTGACGTCTATTGTCCATTAGATTGTACACCATTGGCGCTTATTTCTTCCTCGTCGATGTAGCGCATCACATATTTCGCTGGCGTCTGTTGAACTAAATGTCAGTTTTTGACTTCTCATCAACCTGGGGCTTGATGCTGAACACACCTTTTGAAAATTCTTGACAATGTCAGAAAGATCGTCAAGAGACGCCATTTGTACCCGTGGCTTGACGGCCCCTCGAGCGACAAATTCAATGGCGTCCCAGATATCCTTCCTCGTCCCCACGGCCGATCCTATGATGCGGACATTCTTCCCGATTGTCGCGAGCGGGTGAATCCTCATCGTCTGATCGGGCGGGGGGATCCCAACACACACCAACGCTCCGTACGGCCCGACGAACCCGAGTGCGGCCTCGTATGCTTTGGCGGAATTCGCCATGACGAGAACCGCCGCGGCGCCGCCGTTGTTGGTGCCCGTCAACGACTGAATATCGGCGGGCTGCACCACCGCGGCGTCAAAGTACGCTTCGGCACCCAACTCGAGACAGTATTCTCGTTTCGACACGCCCAGGTCGACGGCGATGACGCGGTATCCCATCGCCTTGGCGTACTGGATGCCCAGCGCGCCCACGCCGCCGCCGGCCCCGGACACCACGATCCACTGTCCCGGAGTGGCCTCGCTGACCTTGATGGCCTTGAAGGCCGTGACGCCGCCGCACAGAACCGGGGCGACGAGGTGGTCGGGCACCCCCTCGGGAATGCGGATGATGTAGCGCGACGGCACGGTGGCGTATTCCGCAAAAGTCCCGTCGCGTCTGAGCCCGGAGCACAGCATCTCCATGCACCGCGCTTCGCCGCCCGGCGTGAGACAGCAGAAACACCTCTCGCAGATGTCCCGGACCCAGGCGATGCCGACCCGTGCCCCTACATCGACGAAGGACGGTGAGACGGCCGACCCAAGCTTGACGACGCGGCCGACGCCTTCGTGGCCGAGGATGTCGCGACAAGGCCCCAAGTGTCCTGATGCCATACCGAGGTCCGTCCCACATACCCCGGAAACCGACAGGCGGACGAGAAGGTCGTTGGGACCGATCTGGGGAACCGAGACGACGCGGGTTTCGAAGTGGTATTGAACATTGTGAGTGTGAGCGTGAGTGTCAGTGTTTGTGGGTTCTCTCTTTTTGCGGTTGTAACTTGGAAGTTAGTCGGTGATGTATGAAGAGGAGGGAAGATTGATGGTGGTGGTGGTGGACTACTACTTACCACGAGGACTGACACTTTGTGGGTTTCTGGAATATCCATGACGCCCATGGTGTATTTCGTATGCTCACTCGCTCGCTCGCTCGCTCACCCACTGTCAGACTGACAGACTGACAGACTGACAGACGTGCGCACTTGGTAGCAGGATGTACCGTTGGACAAAATAGCCCAGGTAAGTATGGGCGGGTGGTGATAGAGCACGAAGATAAACAAAGTAACGTGAGATCCCCGGTCAGGTAGTCTAGACACCGTACAGACAACCACGTATGTAGGTCCTTGCAATACTCGCTCGCGCTGTGCTGTGATGTGGTGTGGCTGTTTTTATCTCTCTTTCATTTTGTCAGGATGAGAAGGAAAGGAAATCTTGTAACCGCTTCAACTTTTCAATGCCAGGGGCACATCAGGTAAGTGGTCGATAAAGGGCATTTGAATCATAATTTGAATTGCCTAACTAGTGCGTAGGCTCGTATCTTTTATGTTAGTTATGCTCGGTGGTGGGAAAACAAACTTTTGTTACATATTTGCCTAGCTCCGACTCGAAAGAGGCATGTGTTTGGGTTGTGTTTGAGAAGAAAAAGGTTCTCGAATCTACTCTGCTCTGTGCTACCGTGTGTGTGTCTGTGTGTGCGTGTGTGACTAGGCTGACTTTTTCCGTGATCAACTACCGTGTCTCAAGTGCTACATGGTTAACTAGTCCACGGTGGAGTTCTCCCCCAGACCGTAACTTAAATAACTCGTCAAGTGCTTCGGTACTTGCAAAGATCTGGGCGGTGTGGTGTGGCCACGGGCATGTGGTCTTTTTCTTTTCGGATGTGGGATGTGAGGGACGGATGTGGATCCGTGGGGGAGCCCGAAGGGGAGTGAGGGAGGATTGATTTGTGGAGTGAGTACGGGAGTATGTACGGAGTAAGTACTCGTAGATGCCAGACGCCCAGATGATGTACCTCGGCACCTCCCAAAGGGCTCCTTGTACAGTCTACCGCCTAGGGTCTCTTGTTTACAGTCAGCGACCTACAGGCACTGATCGTAATGTACTGAGCCTTGTAGATAGAGAATGCTTTGCAGGTGTTGTCACAATATGTGTGTGGGTGGGGCTTATGATTAAAACTGTGTAGGTCCCAAGGTACTGTACCTACCTACGGGCGACTGGGGACTCCGGCCTACTGTTCACCGTGCATCCTACGGCATTGCTCCTTCGGTGCCTACCTAGATCTTCATCATACTACGAAGTCAAGAACTTGTCTGTCATCAGAAGTTGCTCGTAACTTTGATCGACGTCTCGAGCAACTAGCAAGAAAACGACAAATATTATTCAACTACCTTCTCGTTCTGCAAGGTCAAAAATGACTTGATGCCAACTAAAGATGTGTATTGTACCTAAACTTGAACATTCGACCCGTTATTCTTACTTTATGCACCCTTCGCTTCTTCTGCGTCGTCTTCCCGGGTGCCGTTCCTCTTCAACTCTTGCAGAATCTCCTTCCTTCGAACCCGATCAGCCACGGCGGCTCGGTCGCCAAAGACGCGATCCATATCTTCCAGGCTCCTCCCCTTTGTCTCGGGAACGAAGAAGTAAGCCCAGACGAAACTCAGGGCACAAAAGACGGCGAAGAAAGTGTACGCGCCGAACCCGTGTGTGTTCTGGATCAATGGCGGCGTAATGAGTCCGATGATGAAGTTGTTCAACCAGTTGCTGCATGTGCTCCATGCCACGCCCTTGGACCGCAGTGAGCTGGGGAAAATCTCGGACGGCATTGCCCATGGTACTAGATACAGTTTGGTCATACATCAGTAAATCTGCCCGTCATTTCCGACGTCTGTAAAGGGAGAGATGTGATCAAGAATGACGGTGACAGTGGAAGGGGGTGGGAAATTCTTACCTGGTCCATAAGTACATCCAAAGGCCAACATGTAAAAGAACAAAAACCCCACGGCTACCCATCCTTGACTTTGGTGATCTGTCCAGTCGTCGTAGTACAATCCGACCAGAACGGCGATGACAACGTGCGCTACCGTCATGCACACGCTACCGATCAAGAGAAGGGGACGACGACCGTAGGCGTCCATGGTGTAAAGAGACGTAGCGACGCCGACGAGTTGAGTCACGTTCAATACCCCACCGAGGACAAGACGCATGTTGTAGGTCATGCCGAAACTCTCGAAAAGGGACGGAGAGTAGTAGATCTACTGAAGTTAGAACTCACAGCAAGAAAATGAGTCATTGCTTGGTCTAGGACTAGAGACTTACCAGAGCGTTGATACCGACAAATTGCTGAAAGACTGTGAGGCACAAATTTGTAGAAGATGTGATTAGCGAAAAACCAAAACAAACCATAACCAAAGGTCAATAGGTGATCGGCGGGAAAACTAAAGCAAACCCACACCCAACCAAAAGGAGATATGCAATTGGTGAAACGTGAAAAGGAGGGACAGTAAGTAAAAAACTTACACATCAACCCGACACCGACCATGGTTCGGCGCCAGTACCCTTGTTTCCAACAGTCAAGGTACGACGCCATCTCAAGTTTGATGGCTTGTGATCGGCTCCGTTGGCCTGGGGAACCTAGATTCGGATGCTTCTGCACGGTGATTTCTTTGTGGAAAGCCACTTCGGCTCGAATGTCGTACCATTCCGCCTGGACTCTAGGGTCGTCTTCAGGAACGCGTCGAAGCTTGACGAGTGCCTCGAGAGCTTCGCGGTCACGACCTTTCGATGCTAGCCAGCGAGGCGAGAAGGGGATGAAGAGCACAGCAACTCCAAGGAGGATCGCAGGGAAGATTTGTAGCAAGAACGGAAGTCGGTAGGACCATTCGCTGCCGATGTAGCGTGTGCCGAACGTGAGCCAGTAGGCGCAGATGATGCCGAAGACAATGGAGAATTCTTCTAGAACCAGAAGTGTGCCTTTGAAGGTAAGGGGAGGTATGTTAGTGACGGATCAAAGATGGCCCTGGGATCAACTTCAATTCCCAGATTGGACGGCCTGGCACATACCTCGAATCTCGGGTGGTGACACCTCGGCAATGTACATTGGGACAACCATGCTTAACCTGCGGTGACAAGTCGTCAATAGGTGCCTACTGTATGTAGCCTGAGTAGGACGTTGGGGACACGTACATGCCGATACCAATCCCGCCGATCAGTCGACCGACGATGAGCATGGCGTAGTCTTGAGCAGCGGTTTGTAAGACGGAACCAACGACGAAGATGCACACAGCGACGCATATGGAGTATTTGCGAGAGATCTTTTCGGCGATCCAGCCTTGATTGAATGCGCCTATAGTGAGGTGTCAGCAAGATGAACGTTCAGTGGAGCCTGGAGAAGGGCGATCCTTCCCATACCGATAAATGCTCCTAGCTCGATCATGGCAGTCATGAATCCTTTCCAGAATCCACCACCACTCGCCGTATCAGATACTCGAGGGAAGCGATCGGTGAATTGGTCCATGACCAGGATGATAGAGATGACGCCTTGGTCTGGAGGAAAGGCGAGATAAGTGTCAGCCTCGCGTGAGTTGGTTCGAAAAGGGAAACATGGGATACTGTACCATAGCCGAAAAGGAATCCACCGAGTCGTACGACAAATGCACAGAGCACGACATATTTGGATTGGAGAGTACCTCTGAAGCCTGTGAGGAGTGTTCTGTGAGTACAAGGGTTGATGCTGCATGATTCACGTATCACACATCCGCGTGAGTGAGGGAAAGGGCCTTGTTGTTGGTGTACCCACCAGGCTTGACATAAGTCTCTCGCAGCTCGACAAACGTGTCGTCGTCAGCTTCGGGATGGTTGACAGTTACGCTTTCATGAGGTAACTCGGGGGTTGAGTCTTTGCGCATGTTGTGTATGGCGCGACGTGGAGGGAGGGTTTGATCGGCACCAGTATGCGCAAGTACAAGCACATCAATTTATGTGTTGCAGTACCACTGTCTGTCGTTCTGTGTGTGTGGTGGACCTCGCTGGGTCTGCATGTCTCCGCAAACAATGCGGTGCCAGGAGTCTGGGCAAACAGAAGTCTTGTTGATGGAAAAACGATCGAGACCCAAGAAACCATGAGCAGCTAGATAATCGTCGGAATGTTGGGCTCGCGACAAAGTCGAGCTTCTCCATGATGATCGTCTTGTTGCCTCGTGGTTTGTGCGTGATCGAGAGTGGTATGGGTGACACACAGAAACACCCTGGATACATACTTCCATCTCCTCCCATCTTTTGGATCAGCATGACATCAATAGCAAAAGACTGTGACAAGAGGAAGAAAAGCCCGGGATTCTCCACTTGGTGTTGTGATCGACATTGGCGGCAGAGAAAAGAGATGAGGTGTCGTGTTTGGAGCACGAACGAACAGGCTTGGAGTTCTTGGTAGTGTACGAGTGGCGTACGAACTACCTGTAGAGTTATACAGGTGGGTATACAGTATATGATATTCCAGAGTATTGTTCTGTATACATCCTCGCACCCCCATAAGCTGTGGGGTACAAAACGCGTGAGTGCTTGAGACAAGGCTTCGACTCAGCCTGGACGAGGGTGATTGGCCTATTCGAAGTGCTCATATCTCGCCTAACTAAGTACTGGGACTGGTACAGTCCTGGTACAGCTCCCTTGGAGGCCTCACTAGGCCCCTGGTTTTAGAGACTTCTTCGTGTCTGGCAATCAACCTCACACCGACATGCTCCACACCACGAGCAGATGAATCCTTTGTCGGTAACATCTGGCTGAGCTGACTATTGTCATTTGCCGTGATGACAACTTCCGAAGTCACCCTGCCCGACGGTCGCATCCTCGCATACATCGACTACGATCCCCCAACAGCGTCAGGGGATGGTGGACACGCAACCGCAGCCTCACCCGCCAAACCCGTCTTGTTCTACTGTCACGGCTTCCCAGGATCTCGTGTCGAAGGCGACTTTCTCAAGTCGACCGCCCAACGGCATGGCGCGAGACTGATCTCCATCGATCGCCCGGGTATGGGCCTATCCACGTTCCAGCCTCATCGGACGGTCCTCGACTGGCCGCAGGACGTGCTGCACCTGGCCAACCACCTACACATCGATGGCTTCTACGTCGTCGGTGCCTCCGGTGGGGCACCCTACGTGTTTGCATGTGTCAAAGCGCTGCCAAAGACCCGGCTACTCGGGGCGTGTGTCGTCGCTGGAGCGTATCCTCTCAGCTTAGGCACCGACGGAATGTCGTGGCCGAACCGCATCCTCATGTGGACTGCATCGTCGAAATGGTTCTCATGGGTATCGTCGCTGCTGATGGACCTGGAATTTGGATCCGTCGCGCGAGATCGCGAGCACCCCGAACGAATGACGAAGATGATGGTGCAGGTCATGAAGTCCAGACCCGGACCCGATGCGAAGTGCGTCGACAGCGAGTGGGCCACGGCGAAACTGGTCGAGGCTCTGCAGGAGAGCTACAGGCAGCCTGGGGACGGAGTGAACCTGGACATCAAGTTGATTGCGGGGGACTGGGGGTTCAATCTCGCCGATCTGGACACGGAGGGTTTCAACATTAGCCTGTGGCACGGAGGCCTGGATGCGAATGTGCCGGTGGGCATGGCGAGAAAGGGAGCCGCGTTGATAAAAGGGGCGAAACTAAGAGTGCTGGAGGATGAGGCGCATTTGAGCATTTCCATGAATGCCCAGGACCAGTTTCTAGAGACCTTGCTAGGTAGGTAGCTGCGAGTCCTCTTCGGACTTTCTTGAATGTGTGCGTACGTGTCTGGGTGTCGAATTCCGGTCGGAAACGAGGCTGAGGAATCTCAATGTCAGAGACAGTGTCAGAGACGAGGCTGGCCAATCGGAACAGTTTCCCCGTTCCCCAACATTCGCTTCTTGACGAGATTCCACCGGAAACTGACCGGAATCTCAGCTTCAGATGAAGGGAGATGCTGATTAAAAGGGCACAGAGGAAGCCAACGTTGTCTGTGGACGTATATACAGATACCGAGTGTTTTATATTCCGTCGACACCAAGTTGCCAAAAAAAAAAATAGCATGGTGGCCGAGTAAAACGAGAGCGTTGAACAGAATCTACGCGCAGCATCGACATTGGCCCTGATTTGCCAACTCCCACCTCATTCGACACCATGGACTCTCCTCCAGGGACGAGTAGCACCAGTTCGGCTCCTACAGCAAAGGTGTCCACCAGACGCAACGGCCTCAGCAGACGGTCGCCGCGAGCATGCGAGTCTTGTCGCGCGAGAAAGGTCAGATGCGACGTCACGAAGACAAAATCACCGTGCACCAACTGCAGACTGGACAACAAGACGTGTGTGTTGCCCGTGAGCAAGCGGCGGCATGCAGGGGACCGTGTCCTGTGTCCGTCGTTGCTCCTCGAAGCAAGCAAAAACGGCAAACAGAGCCCTATTTGTGATGTGGTAATTGATTTCGACGATGTCCGGCCAGCTACGGGGACACGAAAGTATTCGATCCAGGACTCTCGCGGCAGGGGAACAACAACTCTGGCAGACAAGCTCACTCTCTCGCCCAAGGATCTCGGGACACTACCGATAATCGACTTCTTCACTCCGCCCGACAGCAAAAGCCAGAGCTCGAAACCAGACCCAGGGGCATCGTATCCTTCGCCTACATCTACCGTCGCCAGTGACCCGTGGCAGACTGCTCTCCCTGCCTATATCACACCGGTGTCCAGAGACATTCCTCCAGACGACCTCGACTTCCTCCGCAGCAAAGGGGCTTTTGAGATCCCAGACGCCCCAACCCGAGACTTGCTGCTCCAGGCATATATGCAATGGGTCCACCCATTCACGCCCATGCTTGATCTTGAGGGAATCTTGACTGCAGTATTCAGCAATGGCAGGAAACGCACAGTCAGCCTCCTCGTCTTTCAGTCCTTACTCTTTGCCGCAACAGCGTACCTTGGCAATAGTCTGGAAGAAGGTAGCCGGAGGTCGGTCAGAAAATCGTGTTTCAATCGCGCCAGACTCCTGTATGACTTTGACGTCGAGTCAGACCGCTTGGCCATCGTTCAATCTGCCATCCTGCTCAGCTTCTGGGACGGTGATTCAGGTACACTGAGAGACAGCTATCATTGGATCGGGGTCGCAACAATGCACGCCGGCAGTCTCGGTTGGGACTCGAATCTAGATCTCACGCCGTCGCCCTCAGCTTTCTCGGTCACGACAAAACTTACCTGGTGGTCGCTCCTGATTAGAGATCGTCTGATGGCGGTGACACTGAGGAGACCGGTGCAGTTCAAGCCTCCTGTAACGAGGATGCCATCGCTTGAGATCCAAGACTTTAGGTCAGAGTCACTGCATCAAACTATAAAAGAGACTTCACTCATTCAGGGTGCGAACCCTGGAGATTGTGAGATTCTGGCAGAATGCTGCATTGCCTTGGCACAACTCGCCTTGCATATTGATAAAGTATTATCGTCACACTACGAACCTCAAAGGACCCAAGGTGCCTCCGGAAAACGACCGTCCACAATCTCGCTGATCCCTTGCACCGGCGAGCTAACGGATCGCGAGATCAACATCTGCGGAGATGAGCTGCAACGATGGTTCCGGCGATTGCCACTCAGCGTGCTCTCAGATCAATCCCAGGGGGTGTCCCCTGGCGCAGCCAACGAGTGCAGGGTCGTCAGGGTGCACCAGGCATTGTTAATGGGATATTATTGCATGACGCTCATGACAATATATAGACCCCTGACCAACCCATCAAGCCGAGGTCAAACAAGCGCAGAATTGACGGCCTCGTCGGCGCGAATAGTGTGTCAAGCAGCAAAGTCAATCACAGATATCTTCAGGAATCTGTACGCCGAGGATCTGGTGCAGGTTTTACCAGAAACTGCCATTGCAGCCTTGGAGCCCACCGCAGTCACTCATCTTCTGTACAGCATGTCACAAGATGCCATGGTTCGAGAAATTAGCTTTCAGAACTTTTACCTTTGCTGGCGGATTCTGCTAGAGTTTGCAAAGACATATCGGCTTGCGGACACCACAATCGCCATGTTGAATGCGGCAGCACACCGATTGAAGGAGGATGCCAAACAACCCATGATGGAGGCAGCTGGTAGTCCCATGCCGGTTTCGATCAATGTACTCGACAGTTCTGCGTCAGACACGTCGCCAGCGATGGCAGAGGTGGGCTCAGGAATGGAAGACAGCGGGCAACAACAGCCTCACGAATGGGATCATACCAGCGGTGTCATGACGCCTATCCCTGATCTAGTATTGGATGACTTGGATCAACTCTTGCAGTGGGATACGATGGAACTAAATTGGTAGAGCCATAATGAGAAATCGTGTTATGTAATCTCGGGTTGCCAGATCAAATCATCCCATATCCATGCTTGCGTGGTGTTGTCAAATGTGTTGGACGTTCTGATGTCTTGTAGCGATAAAAGAGCATCGCTAAAATTACCCATGCAGATGTCCCGAGGGATTTCTGGAGACTGATCCGGAAGACTTCGCGGGTTGTCCATGCTTGGAAAATCGTCGGTATTAGTTAGAGGAGGATCAAAATCAATCCTCGGGAACCGCTGGTGCCCAGGCTGCTCACTTTCTGCTGAATTCGAATTCGCACGACTCCTCGCAATGGCCTGCTCTGCTGCACCCGCTTTGGTGGAGGCATCACCCTCGACGAGCAACGCTTTCATCTCCTCGGCCAGTATCAGTCGCAAGAGCTCTTCAAGAATAACGCCGCATTGATCGGAGATCGTCGTACGATACTCGTACAAACGAGGGAGTTTGATGATCTTGCTAACAGCGCGTTTGGCTTGATGGGCCTGGTCTGAGAGTGGGTCGGAGAGGGCAAATATCCCAAGCACCACACCAGCAGTGAAGGATTGAATCCCGACATAAGCACCTCCATGGGTTTCCCTTGAAGCAGACAAGATTTCGGCATGGTCTCCCATCTTCGAGGTTCTCATGGCCGAAACCCAACATTGGTACCTGCTTGTTTTGATCATCTCGTTGAGATCACTCAAATTCCGACTCGAGCCATCCCCAAATGGTCCTTGACTTTGGCCAGTGTCATTGAGTGCCGGCGGTGAGGGTGCTCGGTTCATGGTCAACAACGGGCGGTGCAAAACTAGCTGAATATTATCGTATGAGAGTTGAAGAACAAGCGCCTGGAGTTGAAATATCTTGATCATGCGCCGGTCATACTCATTGTCTGCTGTCACTCTGAGACTCGAAAGTCGTAGTTCCGGGGGTATGCTCTTTTCCCATTGCTGGAGTCGGTCGTTGATGGCTTTGATCTCTGTGGCAATAGAGTTCCAGGAGGCTCCGTTAGGTCGGTAGATAGTTCTCGTTATCGATGAAGCAATACGATACAGCCGGAATTTATAACGCTGGTAGGATAGGATTGTCACCGGGCCACAGGGTTCTCCTTCGTAGGTTTCTGTGGACGCAAACCCAGGGCAGGTTTCGGGAGTGTCGCCAATATTTTCAGGCAGGGACACGTCCCACTCATCATCACGTATCGTGCCTGGAGTTCCATAGGCCAGAGCACCAAACACCTCGGCCGTGTAAATGACCCAGCTGAGACGCCGCCAAAGTTCTCGAGTCACGACATCTTGCATCTTCCAGCTTGATTCCTTATGCAAACCCAGGGTCATAGCAACCCGCAGACAGCTGCCGTTGACAGCAACACTGCGACTAGGGCGGCCTTGGTAGAGGTAGAATGATGACAGAATTGCCGAGATTTGGACGGCCTCGATACAAGAGGCTTCATACACGTCGAGAAGTTTCTCCTCCACCTTGCCGATGAACCTATCGCCGAGACCGTTCAGGTCAAAGCCGGGGCATTTCTCACGTGCAGTCTGGCTTGTTATATACTTGGCACCGACTGCGATGACGAGAATGACCAAGACCAGCGACGGGACTCGATCGGCACGCACATAGCCTGTGCCCTGGAACGTCTGCATCTCTGCTCTAAATGTCGGCAGGTGGAGCATGAGCATGAACCAATGTACAGCTCGGGTGTAGGCGTCCAACGCAAGGTCAATGATCTCAGACGGCGGTAGATCTTCACCGACGACATCTGACACCAGGAGATATTGGACTTCAGAGTTATGCGTCCTCGCTTCGGGGCTACCACCAGGTATAGCTGCAGACGTATGGTGAATGGTCCCTTGGGGATTATGTTCTTTGAAGATCTTGTCCACAACCTCGTACGTCGACGTCCTTGGTCGATACAGGTGAGGCGTATCCACGGTCGACTGTTGGCTTCGTGAGTCTTGTCCAGTTCCTGAGAGAGGACTACTGTTCAGCAGAGGCGTTTCGGGAGCAGATGGTCGGTCATCTTGGAGACTCCTTGCAGGGGACGCATTGCGGAGTCCGCGATGCTCATGAGAGGATGGCGTTATCGAGGACCTACATCCCAGTAAGTGAATGCTGCGACGGAGTTGGCCAGACTGGAGAGATCACCTCGATCCTGAAGGACGTTCCTCACACGCGACTCCGACTCGAATGCATAGAGCACAGGGACGGGTGTTGTCGCAGCGCAGCTTCTGCCTCCTGCATCGGAGACATGCATGGCGGGCGCGAGAATAATGCCGTTTTCTCGAGGGAGCCGTGACGGTTGAGTTGGAAGTCATGAGTAGTCTGCTTAGCAGGGGGCAGTATCGGCCATTGTGCACGGCGTGGAGCAACTGTCTATCCAGCTCTCATCCTCCGTCGTTTCTACAGCACCAACGCCTGGGATACCTGGAGTTGCTTAGAACTGACATCAACCTCGGCAGAGGCACTTATTGTAGCACAGTTAGCACTAGTCAACGCTAGCAAAGTTAGCGTCGACACTAAGCCTCCTAACCAGCAGTCTTCCCACATAAGGAGGTGTGCCGAGGCTGCCCAGATCAGTGCAGTGTGTCACTCTCGGACCCTCACTGAGGACGAAACTGAGCTCTACGAGTAGTGTGTGTTGACTGCCTGTCTCTTCCTTGTTGAGGTCACTTGCCGTGATCGTTAGGCCTCAGTCATTCATCTGCAGTTGAGTCTCAGCTTCGTTCACTCCAATCTTCATCTGCCGACCTTTCTATCTTCTACTCATTCAGCCGACGACTTCTGGCCTAATCCGACCACATTTTCGGCATCAACAAAACCGAATTGTGCAGTCAACAATGCGCCATCTGTCAGCATTTATTATGCAGTCCGTGTAGGGACAAGTGTGCCTGGTACTTCTAATCAGGATGTCGATGCTACCCTGAAGCATAGGCTTTTGTCAGCTTGCAGCTTATCATCTTGGCCAATGCTTGCATTCATCGGCGAGCATTGCTGTCTGCTTGCGGCATGGCGTTCTGGGTCTGATCTGTTTAGCTTGTGCTTCGCGAACGATTGTTGTGTCCCATTTGAACCCGGCTCCGGCACCGTATCCTACCGTGTCCTTCCACTTTCGCCGCTGGTAAGCTTTCATCCCCCATGGGCCCCCGCGAGACCCCTGAACTCCATAATTATCGACGTGTGGCTCGGTGAATTTCCACGAATCGCGGTTGACACCTTACTACATGTTATCCTGGCGAAAGAATATGGTCTTGTCTCCTGGCGAGCTCACGAGCAGGGATATGCTTCGCAACGTCTATTTTGAATCCTTCGGCAGATATACTACGGAGTGATCAAACGCCATCATGAGGCGGGGTTCAGCTTGCTGCACTGGATCGTCGCCTCGGCGTCGGGTCAAAAGCAGACAATCCCTCGAAGTGCCCTGGCTTCTCATCTTACTTTCAGAAAGCAACACCGGCCGCAGACAGAATTGTTCTTCCTGCGATCCTAAAGTAGATTTTGGGGAGAGAAAGTAGCAAAAGTTCATCGACAAGTATCATCATTCCCACGACTTCACAGTTGAAGACCTCCATTCAACCCCTTTGCAAATTCTCCTTATTCTAGTTTGTCCGTCGCAACGATGTCCGATAAACAGGAGAAAGATGTCGAGCAGCTTGACCGTCCTAACACACAGTACTCGAATGGCAAGCTCCAAGGGCTCTCGGAGCTTGAAGTCGAAGCTGTTGATGGCCTTAAGACTGTCGAAATTGGCTTCTCCGCCGACCAGGTCATTGTTGATCTCGACCCCAAGGAGCAAAAGAGAATCTTAAGGAAAGTTGACTATCGCTTGGTCCCGCTTCTAGCCCTGTTGTATCTGTAAGTGGCTTGATGCGTGACACCCAGCCACCGTCCGGATTGCTAAATACCATTGCAGACTGGCCTTCATCGACCGAAGCAATATCGGAAATGCAAAGATTGCTGGCCTCTACGACGATCTCAAGCTACATGGTGTAAGTCCCAAGGAAACATTCTTCAGTGCGAGCCCAACCAAAGATGTCTCCGAATTTGTCCAGCTTCAAATGCTCTCGCATCTTAGGTGGGCCCTCTCAAGTCAGTCCTATTAACCTTGCGATAGCTGCAATACAATGTCGCCCTGACGGTGTTTTTCGTTAGCTATGGGTTTTTTGAGGTGACCCCCTTCCAATTAAGCTTAAGTCTAACTTCGAGTCTAATCCTGTCTGGAGGTGCCTTCGCAAGTCGTCCTCAAACTAATGAGGCCCTCGATTTGGATTTCTATCCTGATGTTTTCGTGTAAGTTCAGACCCAACGTCTTCGCAATGTCCCAGTGCAGCGGGCTGATAACATCTCAGGGGGCACTGTCATGACGCTTATGGGTATCGTCACTACATATCGAGGCCTGCTTGTTACGCGATTCTTCCTTGGTGTGACAGAGGCTGGCTTCTTCCGTAGGTTCCCTCAGTCCCAGGATTTCCAAGACGAGATTGACTGCGCCGGCTCTCTTTCTCATTATCATCATTGTCAGCATGGGCTAACGCTCTGCAGCTGCTGCGACATATCTACTTACTATCTGGTATAAAAGATATGAAGTCATGCGAAGAATGGCTATTTTCTATACCGCAGCATCCTTGTCAGGCGCCTTTTCCGGTTTACTTGCCTATGCAATTCAACATATGGATGGGATCTCTGGTTTAGCTGGGTGAGTAACTCATAAGGAGGCATGAATTCGAACTGATTGTCGATCCAGTTGGAAATGGATCTTCATCCTAGAAGGCCTCGCTCCTGTGTCTTTGTCCTTTGTGGTTTGGTTCTTGCTGCCAGACAACCCAGAGACGGCACGTTTCCTGAAAAAGGAAGAGAAAGAGTTCATCATAAATCGGCTAGCACTTGAAACCGGCTCTGGACATGGACGTGTGACCAACAGCGACCGAATCCAATTCAAGTATGTCAAAGCGGCTTTCAGCGAGTGGAAGATATACGCGGGGGTCATCATTTTCTGGGCAAATACGATCGGCGTGTACGGCTTTACTGCCACAGTGCCCTCTGTCATCGAGGATCTCGGCTACTCCTCAGCAAATGCGCAGCTGATGACGATACCCGTCTACGTCTTTGCCATGGTGATCGTGTTGATATTCGCCTTCTGGTCGGACAGAATTCAGCAGAGAACCCCCTTCATCATGGCCGGCTTCAGCATTGCCATTGTCGGCTTCATCGGGGAGCTTGCAATCCCACACCCACGTCTCCCGGGTGTCACCTACCTCTTTCTCTTTTTCGTCGCGGCCGGACTCTATTCGCCGTTCGTTCCCCTCGTCTGCTTGATTGGAAATAATCTGGCCCCGAGCTCAAAACGCGCAGTGTAAGTAGACCATTCGACAGTCGACCCACTTTCTCCCAGCTTGCATTGTGTGTACTAAGACTAACAATTCCTGGCACAACAGGGGCATGGCACTCCTCATTTCGCTCGGCAACTGGGGCGGCATTTGTGGTAGTAACATTTACATCGCAGCTCAGGCCCCAAAGTACCCCTCAGGGTTTGGAACCGGGTTGGGCATTTGCTGTGCTGCCGTCATCACCGCCTTCGTCCTCCGAAAGGTGTATCATCGTGAGAATGTGAGACGAGATGCTTTTATGCAAGGAAAGACGGATGAGGAGGTCAAGGCCATGTATACCGAACAGGAACTGTTGGACCTGGGGGACAGGAGCCCATTCTTTCGCTATACAATTTGAGGATACGGGAGTGGAGAGGACACATGAATCCAGGAGCAACCCGGGGTTGGAGGGGGTTGGACAGCGTGATGAATGTCTCTCGAGCTGCGAACCTTGAACTCAGCCCGAGCCTAGTTGAGGAGATGAGGATAATGCAGCAGCTATTGTAACGAGTCGGCCCACAGGCATGGTGGGTTGATGGACGGTTGAGGTACTCTGTAGTAGAGCGAGGACACAAAGACCGGAAAGAAGCAGACTAAGTGCTCCTCGTGTCATCAGCGAGATTCGCTCACTCCTTTTGTAAACTTATCATTATGGGCGCAAGTACGTTGACGGACGGTAGCATCAGTCAGGTACAACTGACTGTTTGGAGTCGTACCGAGGGTTCGGCGGCTCCGTTCATTCATTCATTCATTGTACGAGAACAAGAACGAGTATGAGTAATGAGAGTAGATTAGAAGGGTATGAACTATTACGGGTTACTCATCCTCGTCCTCCGTACCCCACGGGCATTGCTCTTTAGCTGTAGGTATGCTTCGGCCGAGGTATTTAGAACTGTGGAGTCTGCACGAAGTACGGGGTATGTATGGAGTATGGAGTACGAGAACGAGTAGAACATGTCCAATATGCTATGCGAGGAAGAGATTCCGTTCCACCTAGACAAGGTAGTTCATTTAAGAGAAACACAGGGGCCGGGGGACCCCTAGAGTTAGCACGTCTGCATGCAAGCATGCGCGATGCTCTGGCACCGTGCTAAAACGTTCTGCCGCACAGGGGGAATGCCATGCCACTCACTTGACATCCCCTTCTCGTACTGCTTGCTCTACGAGTACTCGTATTGTGCTCCTCACTTGCACATCTCCCTGCCTGAGAGAGAGGGGTAGTGTGTCTCTCTCGGGCTGAGACAGGGGGATGTGATGTGCTCTTTTGGTTATTGAGAGACAAAATCAGTGCTGTGTACACAATCAGTCCCTCACTGCGTTCGAACTAGTATCATTGTGATTTTATGCCCACCGTTTTGAGAAGAAGGGGAACAAAAGCTATGTGTTTGTGCTCGAGATGTCCAAGTAACTGTGAAACTGACCATCACGGAAAATACATCAGACTCTGACCGCTTCGCTCCAGCACTAAACTCGATCACTCACGCACTAACATCACTCCCTTAAGTTCATGCCCTTGCCGCGTCATGGCACAGATCGAATAGGATCTTCAACCGGATTATCAACCGCCTTGAGGAACTTCTTCGCTCCCTCCGGGTCATCCGCAAAGATGTGATCTGCCACCATGCGTCGGGGTGTCTCGCCCATCCACTGAAACAGTGAAAAGTCCTGGAACTTGTCGGCCTTGAAGATCTCGAGCACCTCGACCGGCTCGTCGTCGCTGAGATTCTCGATAAAGTGACCCATGTTGCGCGGGATGACGCCCACGTCGCCGGCGACGTAGTTGAAAGTGCGCGCGGTGCCGTCGGCCGCGAAGATGGTGACGCGCGCCCGGCCCTTGATGAAGAACGACCACTCGTCCGCGTTGGGGTGCCAGTGCATCTCGCGCATCGCCCCGGGCGCGATGTCGAGGTGCGCCGCCGCGATGGTCTTGCTGATGGGGAAGTTGGTCGAGTCGGTGATGCGCACCAGTCCCCCTGTCGTATTGAGCGGTTCCTGGTCGAGCATCTTGTGCGTGAATTGTAGTTTGGATTTCTTGACGTTGGCGCCCCGTGGTTCTTCGTCTTCGATCGGCCCTGGCAGCGAGCCTTGGAAGATGTATTTCTCCGATTTGGGAATCGTCTCAAACACTTCTGGAGACAGGCGGAAGTTTTCGGCGAGTACGGACTTGGGGGTGTGGACTTGAAGGCACGGGTGTTGTCAGAATATGCGTGTTCTCTTATTTCATTTGTGTCGCGTGGTGTGGAACAGAAAAGTTCAACTTACTCAGCCAGTCGGTCAAGAGGAACGTTGATTCCTCGTCAAAGTTCCCATCGTCAAATACAAGCAAGAACTCGGTTCCGTTGGGACTCAAGCCTTGCAGAGAGTGAGGATGTCCAGACGGGAAGTACCATAGGTCACCCTTCTGGAGGTCGTCGATGAATTGGCCACCCTCTGTGTCGAGAGCCGTGACTCGGACACTGCCTTCTAGAACGTAGGCCCACTCGGCTTGTTTGTGCCAGTGGAGTTCTCGGATGACGCCGTGGTCGAGACGCATGTTGACGCCAGCGATCTCGACTGATGACCCTAGTTCGCGGACTGTGGTTTGTCGTGTCCATCCTCCTTCCTGAAACGCACAATGATTAGACTCAGGCCGGTATGTGTAAAGGAGCGCAGATGCAGGGCCTCGCTTACCTCAATTCTAATGTGTGAGTCTGCAAAGCTCCATCGCATATTAGGTAGACTCCCATGATCAGTGCTCGGGGGTCTGAGCATGTCCGGGTTCTGCCTCTCGCGGTCCTTGTTACGAGGACCCATCATGGTCGCACCGTCGCCGTTTCGCCATGGCAGCGGTTGGAGCTTTTCCGCCCACGAGTCAACTTTGTGATCAAACTGATCTTTGTGGTCGGGATTATAGGGTCCATTGCTGCTCTCTTGGTCTGCAAGGGGTTGTTGCTGTTGGAGATGTGAGGCCCAGTCTATAGTTGGCGCTGCAAGGGCAGTGCTTGCAAGGAGTGACCACGCAGAGAACCTCATGTTGATTGGGGAGTAGAAGCGCAAAGAAGAGAGAGAGCAAGACAAGGGGTTCCGTGAGAAACCGAGATCTGAAGTACTTGTACTTGGATGCCCGTCTGGCTGTCTGAATATGTAATGGAGCGAACGGGACGTCATGATGTTCCTCGGCTGAACGTTTATGCGGACCGAAGGATCGACCGGGGAGACACTGACGGGGAGGAGTCTGTACTCCTCCAACGTATTCGTCGTCGTCACAACTATTAGCATCAGCATTATTGTTACAGTATTAGTACAGTCAACCCCGTCCTTCCCTTCGACTCTCCTGCAGCTCCGGCAGATTGTTTTTCTCTCAAACCCCTTTAGCGAGAATTTTTATTCTTCTCTCGTCTACCTCTCCCGAACTGGGTATCCGCGCAAGCCAATACTTTGTGAAATTGGACTCTCTTCCCTGGCAGATCACGCTACTTTCTTCTCCTCTACCCTCTCAAACACGCGACAACACTCATTTGTAACAGTGCTCTCGTATCGACATACGGGTCACGGTCTACTCTCTCACCATGACCTCCGCCAATGGATACGGCACTCTGAATGGTTCTTCTGGAGACATACGGAGCCTCCCTGACTCTACACAGCTCTCGTCGACGGACAATGAGCATGAACATCATCCTCTGCTACGGGGGAAGCTTCGCGGCGTGGACCAAGTGGTACCCTTGACCGAGTACCTCAACCAGGACATTGACAAGCGATGGGCCGACATTCTTTTGCTGCTCTCATACGTCATCACGGGCCTACTCGACAGCTCCGCCGTGTTCATCTGGGGATCGTTCGTGAGCATGCAGACGGGCAACACCGTTTACACGGGTCTCGGGCTGATCGAACCCACCAAGGGCACGAGATGGATCAGGTCTCTCCTTTCCATCGCCTCATTCTGTCTGGGTTCATTCTGCTTTGCACGCTTCCACCGCTACTTCTCACCCAAGAGGCGATGGGTCCTCATGGCGTCGTTTGGGCTCCAGTTACTCCTTGTGGCCGTCGCAGGGATCGTCGTCACCATCGATCAACACCAACAGTCCCAAAACGAGCTGCGGTGGGAGGTTCTGGTCCCGCTGGCCTTGGTGGCTTTTCAGAGCAGTGGCCAGGCCGTCGTCAGTCGCGCATTGCAGTATAATAGTCTGACGAGCGTGGTCTTGACGAGTATCTACTGCGACTTGTTTTCCGATCCTCTTTTGATGGCTGGCCTCACGCAGAATGTCGAGAGGAACAGGAGAGCTGCTGCGCCGGTGTTGTTGCTGGCCGGAGCGATCTTTGGGGGGTTGTGGGCTCATAGTTCGGTAGGTCTCGCGGGTGCCTTGTGGACGGCTGCTGCGTTGAAGGTGGTCAATATCTGTGCTTTTTTCCTTTGGAGGGCTGAGAGGAAGTCAGTTACCAGGACTGAAACGACTTGAGGAGGACTACAAGTGACACGAAGGACCAGTATGGCTGGATGGGGACTGAAATGAGTTGGTGGGGTTTTGGAACTACATGAACTACTTGAGGGAAGACGCGATAAAAGTGGGTAAAATAGCAAAAAGGCTCGCGACTTCGTCAGCATTTTGGATGATAAAAGAGTTTATCATGCTGCTAAGCACACATCTCAAGAGCATAAGATACTCTCGCCCGTAAAGATCCTGGATGTTTTGACACATACAGCAATATGGGCAGAAAGCCCGTTCAAATGTTAGCCTAGTCTTAGTAGCTGTCACCTTGTATTATTCAGAAATATCCAATTGCCCGACGCTGCTACGGAAAATGAACGAGAACCGCCCGGGCCTTTGCACTCAACGAACATAAAGTCATGATAGTCTCAACCCTTCATCCTCTGCAAGCTGATCCCCCGAAAACCCGCCATGTAACTTGTCAATGTACTTGTCGAAGCGGCTGGCAACTTCAATCACGTCCTTCAGGTGCTCATACGCCATTTTCTTCGTGACGCCATCTTTCGATTGTTCAGATTGCCATTCAGCATATTGTCTCGCAGTGGTGATTGCATTTCGTATCTGTCGGCCATTCATCTTCTCCTTACTTAGATCCTCGAGATGATCACGGAGATCTTGCGTGTCCACTTTGTCGTCACCGAAAGATTCGAGCCGCTTTATGAAGTTTTCCCAGACACGAAGTCGTTGGTATTGACCGAGGCTGGGGTAATGCAGAGCAAGCTGGATTCTTGACTTGAACGCTTCGTCAAACGTTCCAACACGATTGCTGGTGAGCACAAGAATGCCTTCGTAGTATTCCATGACCCGTAGAAACACAGAAACGAGAGCGTTTCTCTCCAGATCCTCTAAGCTGCGCTGTTCCAAGAAGACATCCGCCTCATCAAGTAAGACCACACAACCCCATATCTTGCCGAGATGAAGGACCGATTCAAGGTACTTTTCGACATCTTCTGCTTTGGTACCTACGTCGCCACAGGTCACCCGATATAAGGGCTTCTGGGCAATTTCAGCAACGCTCTCGGCGGTCAAGGTCTTACCAGTGCCGGGTCCACCATGTAACAACAAAATAAGACCGTTTCCTTTGCCAGCAATAAGGTCTGTTGATCTCTCCGCCGCTATTTTGTTACTGACAAGGGCTAATATAAGATTTCTAGCTTTTCGTTCGATGACCAGGGTTTCGAATGCTTCGACATTCCAGGTAACCTCGGAGATCCGGTCAACTTCTAGATCGAACCATTTTTTGAGTCGTAGATTGTAGCCCTTGATTTCCGGCGGCAGCACGTAACTGAATTTCTCGTCCGGTGGCTCAGTCTTAGCCATAGCATCAGCTCCAAGTTCGTCCTCTAATGGACGTGCAAAGTTGTTGGTCGAGTGTAAGCTGCGGTATGTTTTGAGGTCGATCATGTACCGCTCCTCAATCTACATAATCATAAGCATGAGATCAGGCGAAGAAAGGCGGGGTCTAATCTCAAGACTAGCATTAAAAGCTTACCATGTTATTAGTATTGTCCATCCCTTTCTCAGTATACGAAACCAAGCGCCGGTTACGGCATTTCCAGAACGTGTCGCCTCTCTTGCGAAGTCTGTCCACAAGAGCTGGTTCAGCGTACGCCAGGGGAAAAATGCTCAAGTCTCCAATGGTCTGGGTCTTCACTTGGTTGACTTCTATCCGTTGTCTCTGTTTGGCCGGGGTGTTTTCAACGGCAGTGTCGTGCTTACCCATTTCACTGACTTCGGTTTCAAAGTGACACTTGCGGTTCTGGCGTTGAAAAGTCCCGTCGAACGCCCAAGACCAACCAGTCACGGACCAGCTCTGCATCTTAATCCTCTCATTCACAATCCTTTTGGCGGCTTCGTGTGAACCGTAGAGTGGTAGATGATCGCCACATTGAACGTTGTCTTTCAAGCGTGACACATATCTGCTGCCGCCCTTGATAGGCCAACTGCTGGCCACAAACGCGGAATACTGCCCCTGGCTGCGTTGCACCAGGATATCGCCCGGTTTGAAGAGATACGGCACATTATCTGATGATGTTTTGTTCTCCGAGAAGAGCGAGTCGGCTGCTGCATAATTCTCCCCGTAGTGATCGGTGACGTATTGAAGAAGCAAGCCGAACTGTTTTTGGGATTCGGGAGACAGTCCCTCTTGTATCGCGTCCAAATTTTTACGGCTGTGATATACAGCGAGGTACGGGGCTTGCAACTCCGGCGAGACTTTGTATTCCTGCAGCAAGCTGGAGTACTCGTCCCGCGAGCCCAGTAGAGTCTCGATGGCTTCAATCAGTGTTTGGGCTATAGGTCGGATAGTCTCGCGGTAGGGCTGCGGTCTCACAGAGTCAGCACGTTCTACAAAACGATCGGCGCTGCTGGATCCAACCATATCTGGCGGTGCCGGGTGAAAATCCCGGTAGACAAGGAAGGCAATGTCCTTGTTCTTCTCCAAGTACAGTTCAAAATTTGTCACAGGTAAGCTGCATCGGAATTGACGTTGGTTTTGCTGACCTTCGATCCATTCCGGCTCGTCAAAATATGGCGAAGAAAGCTTCCATTCATATTCGCCTCGACCTCTGTTTTCACGATTCTGTCTCTGCATTATGCGGTGCAATACCTGGAACCTGGAAGGCGACAGCTCTTTGTGACTGGACTCGAGTTTCTTGACTTGGCTCTGCAACAGCTCAATGTAGTCCTGAAGCTTCTTAAGATCCAAGTGAGAAGGATCGTGGCCGCCGGTGAGGCGCTGCATATCCGCTACGTCAAGCGTTGTCTCATTGTTCTGCAGGATAGTTGCTGAGGCGACTTGGCCCGCTGAATAGGAAGAGGCAACGCCGACGTTCTCTAGGATTGTTGCATCTTGGCCTCTTTCCAAAGTGTCTTGCTCCAAGCGAGCCATCATGAGCCTTTTTGGGTTTTGTTGTTCGAGTGCCTCCAATGTCCTCTGGTATTCTGTAAGATCTTCACCCGACATACCTTTCCAAGGCGAGGTGGGAATTTCAGAGCCCTTGCGGTAAACGAAGTGGATAGGCTCGAGCTTGGTTTTGCGACCTCTCAACGCTAGAAGATTGCGTTCAGCTATTCTGCTACCTGCACTCTGGTCATCGGAGATCGTGATATTGTTGAATAGTAGAGAATCGGACTGCTTTTTGAGAACTGAGCTTCCCCGAAGCGCAACAATCGCGGTATCTGCCTTGGGTGCGGTCGGCAAATACGCATGAGCCCCAGCAGAGGTTGTGCCCGGTTTATCGCCTGGATGGGGCCCAGCAGTCTCAGCAGTACTGTTAGATTCGGAAGAGTCAGTTTCCTCTAGCTCCTCTTCAAGTTCGTCCTCCTCGAGACTGTATAAGTCGCTGTCTTCGTATTGATCTTGAAAGTCTTCCGAATCTTCTTCGCCAACGTGATATGAAGTCTGGCTGTGTGGCCCTTCGTTTTGACTACCAGATGCCTCCGACCCGTCCAGGCTTGTTTGAAGACCAGTGTCGTCGTCAATAGGTGGGTACTCCGAGGTAGTTTGCTCGTCGAGAGCGGAGGGATCGGACTTGGGAGAATCGTGCCGTGAGTGCTCTCTCTCGATAAAAGCATCCAAGTCACCTACTTATTGCGGTTAGTTTCGGCAGTGACAAGCAGCGTTGAATAGCTAATTGAGGTCGTAAGTGTGAGAGGCATGGCATACCCGAAGAAGAGCAGTCTTCAGCCTCGGAGAAGGCGCGTGGGTTAGGTGAAAGTTGCTCGTTCAACCACTTCGTGTAATTAGAAAGGACCTTTTGGACGCCAGTTGCTCTCAATGGCTCCATGCGCAACGAATTTGCCTAAGGAAGCTGCATCGCCAGAGGGAAGCGTTTGCAGAACTGGAGAGTAACGCAATGCGCACTCGTTAGGCTGAGTGAAAAGAGTGAGCTGGCACCCATGGCGGCCGTCGCTTGTAGCGTCCAGTAACATCGTCACTCGCAAGGCAGATACACGTGAGCTTGTCCGCAAGGCAGACAGACGCTCCTTTGAAGCTTTGGCACAGTAGATATAATGGATAATGTGTGCGTGTCCCCAGGAATTGTGGAATAAATATGCGTTCTTCACTTTAGCGACTCGGGCCGTTGTTGCGCCGGCATTGACTCGGGCATTTACTCCGCAACTCGCATCCGCCAGTGAACTTTGGCCATGAACGACCAGTATTCTCGCTTCTCTTCCTGGTACTGCAGAGATACGTCGCAACTGTTCTTGAGTGCCCGTCAGTGCTCTCTAAGGATTTCTTGCTGACTCCGAACTAGAACACCCGTTGACCCCTCCACCACGCGGGCATTCACCGAAGCTGTCCAGCTCTTCAATCAGTTGACGAAAGATCCCAAAAAGGCGAAAGCACTCGACGAAATCCATGCGTCGAGCATTGCCGATGTTGTCTGCGCAGTTGAAAAAGCACGAGAACGCTATGAGAGGAGGCGCTCAGACTCCAAAGCGAGGAGTTTCCTCGTTGAGGTGTCTAGACGGCTTGTCTATTATGGGAACGTGATGGATGTCATGGTTCAGCATCATCCGGAGTATGTCTCGCTCGCTTGGGGCACTATGAAGCTACTTTGTGGAGTAGGCTTTCTCACGCTAGAGTTGTGACAACTTTCACACTGACTTTGACAGGCTGTTGTCGAGAATGAAAAGCTGGGCATGACTATTGTCACTGGGCTCTGTGAAATCGGCGATGCCCTTCCTCGAACCGAGCTCTTCCTAGAATTATACCCAACCGATGCCATGAAGAATGCAGTAACGTCGATATACACTTGGATTTTGCGATTCCTGACACGAGCTCTCAAATGGTACGAAGAGGGCAAAATCCGTCACGCTTTGAATGCGGTCATCAAGCCAGCTGCTTTACAGTATGACGATATCATGAGCGGGATCCGCTGTGCATGTCAGCTAATGTCGCACCGTGCCTCCGCTAACAGTTTAGCCGAACAGAGAGATATGCACGAGAAATTACGTGCTGTACAGGATTCCACCACCACGACTCTCCCAGTCATCCAAGCAGAGCAGAGGGAAACGCATTTAAGGCTGTCCGCATTCCAGAACCACATGTCATCTGCCTTGTCAAACGTCGAGCAACAGCAACGTCAAGCGAGTAAGGACGTCGCCTCCTTAACGGCCATCGTTACACAAGTTCGGGAAATGATCATTTCAGACCAAGCTGTCAACGCCGATATGCGGATACAGGTCAGGAACACAATGTCTGAAATGCAACTGGTACAGGCTTTAGGGATCGTCTCCGCCTCTATCAACTTCGATCACGTGGCGAACTTGCAGCAATCGATCCAGCTACGGGACAGACGGCGGTTCAAGCGGGATCAGTATTCTATGGCGTTCCAGAAATCTCCTGCCTTCAACGAATGGAACAGCTCGGCAGATTCGGGAAGTATCAAGCTCACAAGCACCTTCAAAAACCGCAACATCCTCAACGGCTCACTGACCCTCGCTATCGAGTGCCTCCGACAGCGGCCCGTGGCCGTCCTATTGGCTTTGCAATGCAGGACACGGGCATACGACCCGACGGAGATCTTGAAGAGCCTGATATGCCAAGCTCTAACATTGGACCAGGCCTCGCACATCGATGTGCAGTTCTCGTTCCAACTTCGCCGATACCTCGATGCGTACACCGAAGAGGACTATTTCAACATTCTAGGCGAGATCCTGTCGCATTTCAGACTAGTTTACATTATCATTCAGCTTGAAACGGTACGGTCCGAAGCCGCCTCACGATTCCAGCTACACCTGGACGATTTGCTAGACAGGTTCAAAAGCCGTCCACCAGGAACCGTATTGAAAACACTTTTGGCAGGCTCTGGCCCTTTGCTATCGCCTCCCCCAGTAAGTGGCCAGCATGTTCTGAGGATTGGAGGTAAGAGGCAATCCAAGGACTACAGAAAGAACGGCGTGTCGCTCACGCCATTGAAACGTCGAAAGTCGCGCAATCCATCGCTCGAGGATTGATGAATTGGGGTAGTGCAATTCCCAAGAAACAATTCCATAGTTGTCTCCACATCGCCAGTGTTGAGATGCCGAGATTTGATGAAGAAAGCCCCCAAAAAGGTTTTGCCCAATGTCCAGGTGATGTGTATCATTGATTCGAACGTGCTTCACTTGATCGGGCACAGATCGGGCCCGTCGGTATTGTGATAAGGCCGGATATTCAGACACCGAGCCTAATGCGTGCGGAAAGTGTACTCACGCTTGGCAGCAAGGTGTATGTCATCTCTCATAGAATTTCGTAGGTATATTGAGAAGCCGAAGAGACAGACGTTGGGTCTGGAAGAGGGGAATCAAAACCACTGTAGCCTACAGCCTTTAATGCAGATAATAAGATCAAGTCAGATGGTTAGCCTCGAGTGAATAAATATGTCTTGAGATAAAGATGGTCACTTGGTTCATTTACGTGTCCCATATCAGATAAAGAACAATTCGTCTGCGTCTGCGTCTGCGTCTGTGTGTGTGTGTGTGTGTGTGTGAGGGAGAGAGAGAGAGATAGACAGTCATCTTGGTCCTATCTCAAACAATACACCTTCGTACATACTCGTCGCCACTCATCTCGACTCAAATATATTCCACCTACGCGGTACTTGATGTTCCGATCTCAAGACTCAATCATAGATACTTGTGGAAGAAACCGAGTAAAGTCCGATAAGCCTTTTCGTACGCCGCCCTGACCTTCTCATCCTCCAAGTCAGCTCGAGCGGCCATGAAGCCGTGGATCTGGTCCTTGTACCACTCGATTTGTTTGGGGACCGTCAACTTCGACTCGTACTGTGACACGGCCGACTCGTCCTCGTCCTTGCTGGGGATCATGCACATGGGGATGGTCACGTTGGGTGCGTCGTTGGGATCGACCATGGCCGGGTGACACGCTGCCGCGGCCTTGAAGACCGTGTTGGACCCCGAGACCAAATTGACAATCTAGAACATCGGGCAAAACAGTAAGTCAGTCAGTCAGTAACCCATCTTGTAATTTTCGGTCGGGTTGACTAAGTTAGGGAGGGTCCCTCCCAGAAAACAACGGGTCGAGACGTGAATGGGAATACTTGCCTTCCCGCCCCAACAATACCCAACTACACCCCATTCCTTGATGCCTGGGTTGGCCGACTTGAGTTCGTCCATGACGCTCTTGACCCGTGCGACCGTCTTGGGCGGGGCTGCCTTGGTCTGGAAGAACTCGCCCAGTTTCCTGCCGTGCTCCTCGGTCTTGGGAGGGTACCACGAGATGTCGGCGGGTTCCCCTTCGAAGAAGTCCGGCATGAAGACTCTATATTGGTGGTCCTTGTCCGAGTGGGCGAGGATGTCGGCGCCCTGCAGTGTCTGTGCAAAGAAGCCGAAGATGTCGTAGACAACAAGTATGCCTTGGCTTACAGAAGAAGGGCCAGTGGCGTCTAGAGAGAGAGAGGGAGAGAGTAAGTATTGACTAAGATAGTAGGAGATTGTTGACCACCTACAAGTTTTCAAGCCATCAACGGTGATCCATTGACCCTTTTCATGCTGTGTGGGTGATATTTACATCAGCACGGATGCCGACACGATGGCGACAAGGAGGACTCGCTAACTCACGTATCCTGTGCTGACTACCGCCGGGGTGTTGCAGCCTGAGAGCAACGGGTCAGTATCCCGAGTATCTCAGGGCCAGTGGTTGAAAGGATAAGTAGTAATCATACATGCTTCGGACTGAGTATGAGACATGCTGGCCAAAGTTCTAGACTGTGCGGGTGACGAGGTGATTGACCTTGATGCGGACGAAATCTGTTTGGAGATGGCAGAGAGTCGTAGGCGTGAAGTCATGGAAGAATGTTGTTGATGGGAAAAAGGCTTGGTCAAGGACTCATTTGATGTATCTCTTCGTCTGGTGGGACGGAGTAAATATCCTGAAGACTCGAGAACGAGATACGAGGAGTTGAATGGGTGTTGATGGATGAACTGGATTGTGATGGACTGACGAATTGAGGGGTTGAAGCATTTGCCGATTCAATGATCTCCAACTTCGGATCTTTAGATGTTCCGGGTGGTTGACATCATATCACGTGGAGGCACATGATCAGGCGGATACAAGGACATATTCACTCATGTGTCTAGAGACAGAAGAGGAGGAGGAGGGGGAGGATAGTGTGGAGAGGAGATGACGAAAAAAGAAAGAAAAGTAAGAAAAGAGACCTATGTTCTAGGTACCCATCTCCCATTCCAGGCCTCTCCCACAACTACATGAACATCACGACCGATGCTTCTTCCTACTCTTTAATCGCACCTTGAAATCCTCCTGCTTGACAAACCAGGCATTATGCAGCTTCCAGGGTTTAGAGGGGTCGGCAAGTTCGAGCTGCAAGTATCATATCAGTCTCTACGTGACCCTCGCACCACAGACCACGACTTACCTCGAATCTGAGCAAAAGAGCCGGAACGAGCTTGTACATCTCCAGTAAGCTAATGTTCTTCCCAATGCACGTCCGGGATCCTGCGCCGAATGTGAAGATTGTGTTGTCCATGATTCGCTTCTGCTCGGTCGATGCATCTATCCACCGTTGAGGCCGGTACAGGTCGGTTCGTTCTCCAAACAGACCATCTCGATGGACTGTCCACGCATTACATCCCACAATAGTTCCTGCCGGAATGAACGCGCCACAGATTGTCACGCCACCAGCAGGCACAATTCGCTCCAAAGTCAAGCCGGCAGCGGGATGGCATCGCAGTGTCTCCTTGATGACAGCGTTGAGATACGGAAGGTCTCGCACGTCATTCCAAGCCAACAGCCCTTCCTCGCTGGCTGGCACTTCCTTCAATTCTTCCATCAACCTCTTCATGTCGCCAGGGTTTCTCAGGAGGTTGTAGAAGATGGCACGGAGCGTGATGGCTGTTGTGTCTGACCCGGCAAACATGTTGGCTACCGTCACCGCCAGGACCCGGTCATGGGTCATGAATTCGGGGTCTTTGCGATGAGCTTCGTAGAATCTTGAAAGGAAGTCCCTTCGTCCAGGCTTGCCATCGGGCCCGGCGGGAATTTTTTCGTTTCCTTCTGCCACATCTGGTCTCGCCGCAATTCTGCTCCGTGCAAAGTTGACAACAGGCGAGTTCGAGTTGAGCAGGTTGTATTTGCTTGCAGTCAGACGAAGAGGGTTTTTGAGAAATAGTCTGTCCAGAATAGGGAGTTGACCGACCTATAGTAGGATCAACGAGATATTGCAAGTCTTAGTGGATCCTCACTCACCACCGCTGCGTAATTGAGTAACCATTGTAGATCCTTGATGATGTTGTCGACATCTCTCCCCCTCTCGATAAACCCCAAGCGTTTCGAGTATGTAAGCTCGCCTGCACAGCGATCAGCTCTGCAGCGGAGTATTCCAGGAGGTCTGCTCACCTATCACGTCAAATGCGTAGTATTGCAGCCATTTGCTAAAGTCACAAACGCCAGCAGGCCCAGCTCGATCGGCGAACCTCTTCTCCAGCTGATTCAAGAATTCCAGCACCGTGGAATCAACCAGAGGCTCGAATTGCACCAAGGTGCTCATAGCATATGCATTGTTGACTGCCCGTCTCAGTTTGGCATGAAATTTCTCGTCGGTGGAAGTAAATAGTGTCAGGAGTCGACGACCCTTGGCGATGGTCTGTTGGACAGGATAGAACTCTGACTTGGTGAAGCCAGAATTCAGCGCGTAGATGATTTGAATGGCCGCGGGATCTGAGATAGATACTGCCCGCGGACCCAGTCGAACTAGCGGACCATGTCGTTGATGAAGTTTGATGTGTTTCAGTTCCGGCCGTCTCTGCCATACGACAAAAACCCGCCACAGATCCGTGCAAGAAGCCAGGAATGGACCCGGGATGCGGCTGATACCATGGCCGTATCTATTGAAAAGTGCCCGGCTCGTGACGAGAGCGGCAATCAGATACAGCACGTACAAGTACGGATGTTCTTTGAACTTGGCCAGGAGTTGATCAGTCAACATCTTTCCCGGGCGACCTGGTCAGATTCCACCTCGGTGCAAAAGAGTCGTAAGGTTCTGGAGGTTTGCCTTTTTGTTCTGTCTAGTGCTGGCGGAAACAACCCACCAGTTGACTTGCCGAAGGTATACATGGAGACAGAGAGCATGGGGTAAACGTTCAGAGTGTGGGGTAAGGAGGGAGGTGCCTCCGGACTCAGAAGTACTTACTCACTCCTGCAACCGGAATTGAGCCCGCGGCCGGCGGAAATGATACCGAGTCTTTAAATAGAGCAGTAGTTGAAGAGTCGAGAGAGTGTCCTGTGCTTTCTGGGTGTTGGCATGGCAGAAGAATCACCCGGGTAGGTCGCCATTGCGTCGTAGAATGTCCGCGCAATGTACAAAGTAGGGGCAACTTTAGATCCTTTGACAGGCAGATGCTCATCTTGAAAGCCACTGTTTAGTTGGCAGGCCCGAGATGGCATTCATAACGTCTCCAGCAACTGTGACAGTCGTCCTGGTATGAATGAGGACAGTCATTGACCAGGACATGGTTTTGTGGAAAACACCCACTCACCGAGACGCGCTCTCAGGACTGTGTGGATCACCTACCTGCATCATCGTAGCGGCCAAAGTAGGTGAGGAATCTTGCGTGTGTATAAGAATGCCATCCATGCCATAAGAGATTAAAGTTGATGAGGTTCATGGTATCTGGACAAATACCTAGTGTTGTACTGCTCAAAGTTCACCGTCCAGTGCCTGGTAATGTGGTTATAGCGGCGTGAAGAGGACTAATAAGTCAACTGAAGTACATAATGACCTCTAAAGATGAGAATCATAAAGCGGCCACCCTTTTAACTCTCTCGAGGCGCCGCTTCAAGCCACCACCACTACTCCCCGAGACTCGGGGGAGCACCAGTGTCCTACGCAGTCCCTGATCTGCACAAACACAAAGATTGGCGTGGGGAACAATGATTTATGGCTATCCACGAATTGAGAATGAGTGACTATGGATGTGTGCTCTGGGAGCAGACAACTCGCCTTCCCCCAGTTCCTTGCTCTGTACAATGTGATGGCGACTCCTGTTGTGTTCGAGTAAGCTTTCTCCGGACCTGAGCAGCCAGCGATCGCTTGTAATTTCACCCCTTGGAAACCCAGATTGCGCAGGGGGACTCTGCTGGCACTCTGATTGACCATAGAACACATACTGCACCTTTCTAACGGCAGAGCTATTTGGTGGTTATGAGCGTGCGAATCTATAAGCTGCAAGTTCAAGGGATCATACCGCTCCACACCAGTCTGACTGTCATGTATTGTCAGAATACCATCGTCATTGCCTTATGGTCTGAGAATTGATCACTTACCTCGCAGCAAACCGGGCCCTATGCGTATAGACGATGTCAGTGTTCCGACGTCCGCGACGATCAAGTCATCATCAAGAAGCTCGATGGGTTCTTCACAAGACTCGAGGATGGAGGAAACTTACATTATCACTCTCATACTGTTCTTATAATCAGCTAATATCATCTACGGGGAGTGAGTCAAAACCTACCAGCCCACAAGAACAATATCTATTCTCACACGGGCTACAATCCTGTCGTACCATCAATGGATTGTTGGGGTGTGGCCTTTCGGAAATGACAGTTGGATCGAAGTCGCGCTTCTCAAGCTTCAAAACATCACGTGTGATGATCCGGGGTTTGGGAGCCTCAAAAGGGGAGGGTATCGCGAGAGCTGCGCCGATGAAGCTGAATACAAGAACTTTGGCGAAGTGCATGGTGGCTGCAGAGGTTGGGATTTTGGGAAGAGCGCTCTTTGGAACTTTGAAAGAGATGATTATAGAAGGATGAAGCTGGTGATTCACGACCGACTCTCAGGGCTTTTATGTCCACGAGGATTCGGTCGTCGGCAGACAAAGCCTTAATCCATGCCGAGTTCGATGAAAGCCTGAACACCGATCCGAAAGGTACCTTGAGCTTCCTGCTCATAGGAGAAAGCCTCGTGACGCAGCTATTGGATATTTTGAAGTGGCAGGCATACCGATTGCCCAAAGCTCGCAAGTTGCTGGCTCCTTTCCCAGAGCGGTTACATCTCGCTGCAGACTAACGGTGAAAGACGGTGCTGAGGACGTGTCGCCGTCTGAGCTATTGAGTGATAGCTCTACCCACCAGATACCACTCACTGTCCTGGATGATCCCGAACCACTGCAGAGGTTGCGTTTGTAGACGGGGACGTCCCTTAATATGGCTATCGCTTTTCCTCTGACGCCTGAGCAACTGCGGATCGCCTCATAACAGTATGTCCAGGAGACGGTGAGTTCTGATGTTGAGGTCGGAGTCGGGCTGCTCTCGGCATTTGGATGAAGCCCGACAGCCTAGGTAATTAGCCCCAAGGAAGTCGCTGTTAGAGTTCAAAGGTGCGGTTAGAGTTCAGAGGAGAGCTTTGTCTAGTCCAAAGCTCAGACACATGGTCAACGGTCAAGTGGAAATCGGGAACAGATTCGGTATCGAGGACCCGTTCCCGGGCAGGCAGGGGAGCTTCATTTCACGCCGACGCTCTCAAACAAACTTGATAATTGAAAAGATCATCTGATCAGACTCAGGAACGACGGGTGAACAGTCCAGCACACCGGGAGAGACTTGGATGTTCATCATGGCCACTGGAGATTGAAGCTCCCGTAGGATCCTAATTAGTCACAGTAGTGGCGTTGATAAGCTTGAAACTTTCATGTCCAACTGTAACCTCAACATTGATCAAGCTTAGCACCGAGTTGGCGCTAAAGCCGGCAAGCACGGATCCAACATGATGATTCTGTATGTCGGGCAAGATTTCCAGTTTCCACCTCGAAGCTGGTACTGATAGAAATGCATGAAAGAGCGATATAGGTGCAAGGAATGCTTGAGTGTAGGTGACTGAGCTTGTCCTCAACCCAACATCTCGAACAGACTTCCCAATTAGGAAGGGGGTAAGAAACGTGGGGTTCGCCTATCAGACAGGAATCACGTAAATAGATCTCAAGCAATCACGTAAAGAGATCCCATTTTTGCCCCTAGTACACATACCCCAGTGTTTATTTCCTAGATGAAAGCCTTTACTACCTCTTGGAGATCCTCGGTATGGAGTCCTAGCCGTCCCAGTTTCTCCAGCTCTGTGGCATCGATCTTGTCACTGAAGTCCCCACCGTGCCCCTCGATGAAGTGTGTGACATAGAACTTCTCATACGGAGCCACACTGTCACCTGCCTTGATTTTCTCTTCGTAGTCCCTGGCAACGTCGTTCAGATCTCGAATCTGGATGTCCCAATCTGCATCTGTCGTGCCATCTGCGCGCTGGACGGCGTCGAGTATCTCCCGCTGCGTCAGGCTGAATGACGCGGCGTACACAGCGTTGTTTTTGTATTTTGCCAAATCCGCCTCTGGCAGGCTCAGAGTCGCAGCAAGGGCTTCGGCAGTGTGTGCGACAGTCGCGACGCTGGCTTTGCCCTCGGCGCCTTTCCAGAGCGTTGCCTTGCGAGCCTTTGCGTCGACCCCCCACAGGCCCGTCGAAAGACCGAACTCCAACCAGGGGCCTACCACGACAGAAACCCAGTTGCTCACCCCGAGTTCTTCGACCAGGTCACGAACTCTCTTCTTCGTGACAAGGAGTTCGTTTTCTTCCAGAAGCTGTCCGGCAAACGGGTCCGGACCGAACTCGGAAGGGAAGATATAAGGCACTCTGGCCTTCGCAGCCGCTCGGATGGCTGGCTCTTGGATCTGGATCAGCTGTGGTAAGGGCGGCATCAAAACAACCGCATCCTGGCCTTGTAGTGCAGCAGCGAGGAAATTTTCGTCGTCCAGATTCCCCTTCTTGACTTCAACCGCTGCAGGAAAGGTACTTGTGGCGTCCAGGCGCTGGATGGCGGTGACGGTATGGGCTCCCAGTCCTAGAAGTGCTTGGACGGTCGGCTTCCCCAGTTGGCCGCTGGCGCCGATTATTGCGATTCTTCTCCCTTGAATAGCTGGAGTAGACATTGTCAAGTTTTGTTTGTATCAGTCGAGCTTGTATGAGTCGAGCTAACTAGTATCGGTCGCGGTGATGCACCTTCAAAAGCCCAAGCCCAAGTGGATGGATTGATGCTTTCATGGCCATCCTGTGAGGCATCTTATATACACAAGCGGGGGGACAACAATGCTTCACGTCACTCCGCGGGGCTATGGTGATGCCTCGTATGGTGAGAATTTAGCCTCAGGATCTAAGATGCTTTACTTCCTCCTGGTCGCTGCGCTTGGCTTGCATACACGGACCCTTATGTAAGGTCGATATAGCGGCCACTTGCTCATTTACCTCTACGCGCTTCTCTGTGGTTGTAGCGGCGTGAAGAGAATTATTCATCAACTATTTGAGCACCTACACTCTTCTACTCTGGGCCTAGGCTTCCGCACAGATCTCTATGCATCTCCGCGCATCGTCATCCCTAACCTGCCACAAGAGACATCCTACCGGAAGGGACATACGCCCTTCTCGCAGAATTATTCAGCGAGGATGACGACGAGCTAGGTTGGCAGTCTACACCTGGAACTGGAGAAGGGCGTCAGGCAGATTACGAGCACTGAAAAGACCTCAAAGAATACACTGAACGCGCCGTGTGTATACGCCCATGACGTCGATGGTGTTTCCAAACACCTACGGCTACGAGAGAATCGTGGCAATGGACAAAACACGTCTCGGCCAGCACCCCCTCAACCCGTGCATGTAGAGGACTAGGTTGTCATAGGGATCCTGTTTTTGGCATCCCCCCAGCGCACCTTCTGGAGAGCCGTTTTGTCTGTCCGGTACTGTCTGGAAAAGGCGACGAAGGAGATCTCGGCATCAATCAACCCTGGCAAGAGCACAAAATGTCATGATGGTCTTTCGAGCATTTACATATTCAGTCCCGCTATATGGATATGGCATGTAGTGCTAGTTGTTCCTCGAACATGGTGTGATCAACAGCATATCCTTCTTTCGTTGTCCACGAACAGGAGTATTCGTCCCGGACAGCAGTGTATCTCGACGAGAAACCAAAGACATCTGTCGCCAATGGCCAGAATCATATGTTCAGGGGGTCGTCGCAAGTGCATAGTCATCACCGCGATTCCTCGCGCCGTCAAACTCCGTGCGCAAAAAATGGATCACCAATCAATCAATGCATCATAATTGCTGCTGTTTCAAAACAATAACGTATCCACGGCCCCGAAGTTTGTGTCTCCAAATGGATGCCTGTGCCTGCAACAGAGAAAAGAAGAGACTGTTAGCAAATCCTACCCAGACTCGCTCAGGACAGACTGATCTTGAAGAAGAAAAAGAAGAAAGCGGCCGCGCGCCCGTCTGTCTTACTTGATTTCATCTTGGTCTCGTTTGGGGTACCGCTTACATGTTTGGGTTTGTGGTGTTCTCGTGTTGCTTTGCGACGGTTTCGTCTTTCGCTTCAAAAACGGCTTCCTTGTCGGCGTGGATCTAAAGTCGAAAGAGACATCAGACGTTAGTGTCTCGTTTATCGTGATACTACGAGTGAAAGGGAGACAAAAAAGACAAAGCCAGGGATTAAAACAGTGATTAAAAGAGTGAGTCGGGTCTAGCATGGCTTACATCCTGTTCGCTGTCGGTGGCCTTTTCTGCCGTCCAATGCCGATTTCCTGGTCGATCGGGCGACTTTTCTTGTGTCAGTGCGCTCTCTGGGTGCTTTTTCAGGTCGGCTTCTCTCTCAGCCCTCGCAATGGCAGTGGGCATGGCGCGGATCGCTGTCGTCGAGAGAGAGCGGGATATGATGCTCGCCCGACCTAGTCGTAGTCTCGCAGATGATAGGAGAGCTGCTGATTTCATCGTGCTGCGGTCGGCTGGGTTTTGTGTAGGTAGATGGTACAAATGAAGACGCCGTACAGGGACAACTAAGGCATGCAGGTACTTATAATAGAGTGTTGGTCAGAAGGCTCCGCTAGATCCTGGGAGGGCTGTAGTTCGGTATAGTTGAAGATGCGATAGGAAGAAGAGGGTAGAGTAAGACCGCGGGTGCTTCTTCGAAGTCGCTGGCACGAGACAGATTATATGTCATTTCCCATCCCTAAAAGGGAGAACTTCTGCGCATTCTGGGAGTCGTCTGGCCGTCCAGAACAGGCTGTTGACCGAGCGAATCCCATGGCGTGTGTGGTTGACTGTTGGTGGTGTGATGTCCGCTGCCGCTTCCGCCGTGTCTTCCGACCATCGCCCATTGGACTCGCGGGCAAAAGGTACTCTTGCGGTACCTGCAGAGTCTCTCTCAGGCCACCTAGAACTGCCTCCCCGTGATAACCTACTGGTAAACTGGATCATGAACACCGTGGGGCATCATGGGGCACCGAATTCTCCCGTCCAAGTAACTAATCAGTATCTGACGGTGGGTGCTTTTGGCTGCGCGGTTTTTTGGACCATCGACAGGTACCGGTAATTTGTAAGAAGCCGCAGGCGAATATCAAGGTAATATCTCGGACCTGGACATCGGCGGCGTAGGTCTTTCAAAGATCTCTTCAACAAACTGCATTTCATTCCTAATATGCTACCGAGTTTGAAACTTGATCGGCCCCTGTGCGACGAACAGATCGCCAGAGGACACATGTCCTAGGGGAGAGACTGGCGCAGATCCTGGCTACTCGCGAGTCCATCTCACACTAGATTCAGATTGAGAAGCACCATCATGCTGCCCAACAACACCCCAGATCCTACATTTACTTTCCCAGCCGCACCCGTGCTTGATGCTGACGCCGCCGATCCTGCCGCTGTTGAGCTAGCTGATCCAGTCATGGAAGCCGAAGCACTCGCAGGAGTCGAGGAAAGAGTCACACTGGGACCAGGGCCAGATGTGACCATGTCTCCATTTCCACCCGGGTATGTCCCCCCTCCTGCGGCTGTGAAGTCTTGCGGTACTTGAGTTTCGTTACTGGCATAGTAGTACATAGCCGCCGCTGGACTCTGTCCCAAATTCGACTCGTCCAAGAATCTTGTAACGTTGAATCTCGTTCGGTTTGCGGCACCTATGCCCTCAAAACTAGAAGGGAATGAGAAGTTGTCGTGCTGGAAGAAAGCGTAGAGGATATAGCGATGGGCAGACGAATTGGTAGGAGGCGCAGGTCCGATGTACGGGACTCGTGGGGATGTGGTATTCACGAGACGACTGGTGCCGTCAGAGGACATTGGAGCAGCCGTCATATCAGTCTGCAGCCAATGCAGGAGGAATCGCAGGCTGGGGCTCGAGGGGTATCTTGCATCTGGGTCGACCATGAAGAGGACGTAGGAGCCATTGTAGCTGGCAATCGAATCGTAGCTGGAGGTCTCAAGAGCAACGATGGGCTCATTGGCGGGGACTGCGATCAGTAAGCCAGTGGATCGGGAGACGAGCGAAATATGTTCTCACTGCCTACGCCAAAAAGTTCCGCCTCTGTGACCACGACAGATTTTCCTCCGTCTTGGTAGGTAACCGATAGTTCCGTATGGTTCGGGGCCTCGGGGAAGCCAAAGTCAGGCGGTGGGGATGGCCAGCGCCGGAGCAGCGCTCAACAGGAGGCAGGATAAGATGTGGACATGCATGGTTCACTGTGGTGTGAGTTTGGTAGAAGATCTCTAGGGAGCCCCCAGGACACAGGGAGGTATATATGAAGAAAGCTGCGCAGCCATCGAGGGACATCATCACCGCCAGGTACGTTACCTACGGGTTGCCCTGCTGTTGTCACTGAACAGACAGCATGAGACTCGGACTTGTAGACGTCATGACCATCGTCCAGGGTTTCACAGAGTGTCGGAACTCCGTCTCACCTTCTGGATTGCGTCGCCAGTCGCATATCCAGGCTTCATAGCTTGGCTTGTCGGGCATGACGCGGTCAATGACAAGGGGTGTGTGTGTTGAGATAGAGGAGGGAACGCAGGCCACGAAGCTGGATACGAGTATAAAAATAACTGCGTGTACAGAACACGCTATTCCCAATATGGATGCGCTGCCTCGAGGTCTAATCTGAGCGACTCGAAGCTGAGACTTCGACTGCTATTGCGACCAGCAGGCATCTACGAGTATCGCTGCGGGATCCAGCTAGTCGTATCTCATCGATGTGTCTTTACCGTGGCCTTGACCTTGGTTCGAGTAAATAATGGATCTCAGTGCTCCGCACAATATCTCTCCACACATTGGTTCGCGGGGAAGATATTGTCACTACTAGAGATCAGCAAGGGCGTCGAGGTAAATTCCGCCGTTCATGAGAGGTTTGTAATCAGGACGTTTGTTCTTGGACGCCTTCCATTGCTTGTGCTGAAGCTTTTTGCGACGACTGACTCTTGAAACCGCCTCACGAAATTGACCTGGCTCCGAGCGAAGACAGACACTTGACTCGGCAATGGCGAAGAGAATACTGGTCACTGGGGCCACTGGAAACCAAGGTTTTTTCTACTTCAACGTCGATGATGTCGACGTCGCTGACTGGGCCACGCAGGCGGTTCTGTCGCAAAACTACTTATCAAGCACCCAGACCAATATGTCGTCCGCGCCCTGACGCGGCACCCCAGCTCACCAGCAGCAAGAAGCCTCTCCGACGCCGGTGCAGAAGTGGTGAAGGGCGACTTAACAGATCCATCGACTTTACCTGCGGCGTTTAATGGGTGCTGGGGTGCATTTGTGGTCACCAACTTTTATGATTCTGTCGGTCGATCGTTCCCTGCTGTACTTACCACTGGTCGACTGATCGCGTTCTCAGAGCATCCAGGATGATCCAGCCAGTGAGGAAGAGCAAGGTAAGAATGCCGCCAAAGCCGCTCTCGCCGCTGGGGTTCAATGCTTTGTGTGGAGCACCCTCCCTAGCTCGTTGGAAATATCTGGCGGCCAAGTCTGCTGTGAGATCTACGAAGGCAAACACCGCGTGGACGGATTCATCCGGAGCATTGGCCTTCCTGCTGCTTTTGTCTACACGGGCAATTTTTACGAGAACATGATTTTGAGAGGACATGTCAAGAAGAGCCAGGACGGTAAAGGCCTCGAATTCAGGCAGCCCATTATAGCAGAAAATACGAGATGTGCGGCTCCCACCTGGGGTTGGAGAGGAGTCTGTCCTCCGGCTGATAGCTAACTTCTTGTAGTGCACATGCTATGGGTTCAACGAGACCTATCCGCTGTCGTCAAGGCCATCTTGGACCATTGGGAGACCAAGAAAGCGGCCTTGTTACACCAGCATCTCTACGCTATGGACGCGATACACACCCCTAGCGAAGTTTGCGCGACCATCGAAAGAGGTGGGTCTTTTGCGACTAGTTGATCCCGCTGACTTCTTACTAATGAAGTCAATAGTGGCTGGAGTTCCCACGAAATATGTCATTCTCCCCAAGACAGGTAACGAGTCCCGTGATATCATGTTCAATTTGTACAACAAGACCGGCACGTATCCTGGTGTAACACTGCCTGACCCAAAAGTCCTCGGCCTCGGGGTCAAGCTGCACAGCCTCGAGCAGTTTCTGCTGGAAGATTTGGTGCCCTATCTCAAGACAACGGGCGATTTGTAAGCAATAGACCTGTGATCTGACTTCATCCGCCACGGCACGTTGCGCGATGGAGTTCACGGACCATTGCAAGCTTGTAGAGACAAGGATATATTAATATGACAGTCGAAATGATTTCCTTCTCTTTCGCCATGCAACCAATTTTCCCACCGCCGGCTCAATGTACACATGAAATATCGGATTCCCTCCCAAAACCGAAACAATGCAAATATGCTCAGCTCACCTCAGCGCCCAATATAATCGTCGTCATTGGGATCGCGATCATGCTGATATTTTCTCATATGCCTTTATGTTGCGCCAGTTCATTCTGCCCCCAAGAAAATATCAGGAGAGACAAGTTATTCAAATCGGAATTCACCTTCAGAACCATCTGGGTAATATTGTCGAGAGAGTCTCAACTTCTTCCCATATCCTGCGGAACGAATCCTGGAATACCCGGTCCGAGTAGTAAAATCGGACCAGCCACGATCGTACCCGGAGCCAGTCGCGGGGTTGGAGGGTTTGAGTTACTCGGACCAGGGCCGCCACGAACCACGGACGCTCTCGTTCTCCGTAGCTCATGTGGGCGCCTACAAACAGCACCCAGAGCAGAGCTTCGTGGGCGGGGCCCCAGCACGATGGCAAGTCTGTCGCTTCGAGCGCCGTCTTAAGGTCCTGGACAAGACCGCGGGCGATCTTACTGCTGGGCTGAATGACGTTGTAGTGTGCATTCGAGAACGTAATGAGAGCCTGTCGGCAGACTTCTTGGATCGCTCGGGGAGTACCGTAGTGGTCAAACGGGTATGAGAGAAGGCGGTGATCGATGTTGACTCGTTTGATGCTGATGTGTCTCTTCACATCCGGGGCAAATTTCTGCATTCCAATTTGTTCGAAGCATCTGTTTTTGGGGTCGTCAGAACAAGAATATCACTTGATAAGGGGGACGCAAGGCTCTTCAACTTACACCCAGGCGTGTCGTGTGTCCTGCAAAAGCTGCCAGAATTCATCGTCGAAGAACTGTCTCATGTGCGGTTCCAAAAGTCCTTCACCGAGTCTAGCGATGCTCGGCTCGCTTGCGGCAAGCACCTGGAGGAAATCCTCGTCGCTAAGTGGCATGTCGTCCTTGACCATAGGGAGAAGTGGTTTTGTCCGAGTCCTGATTGCCCGCCAAGATGACCCGACCATGATGGCCTCGATGGCCTTCCTCTGGATACCGTCGAACCCGCCTCTGAGCTCGAGGAGTCTTTTGACACCGTCGAGATGTACACATTCGTCGCCCGCAAAGATCTAAACATCACACAGGTCATGTCAGCTTGATGCGGAGAAAGATGTGCGCCCACCCACACACACACACACAAACGTACCTCTTGCCAAAGCAGAAAATGCACCGCAATAAGCGTCGATGGGCTTGTGGCTTTCTTCGGGTCTGCGAGGGCTTCATTGAGAGCCTGGATCGCCTTGATGCGATAATGGACACGTTCTTGGGTCAAGTTCCTCCTCGAGTTTGGACCAAAGCCCACCACAGAGACCTGTTCGATGTCATACGCCATGCACCCGACCAGGGCATACATCAAGGCAGGCTCGGTAGCTGTAAGAGGCACCAGCCACGAATTATACTCTTCTCGCTCGCTCTGGACCGGCTCGACGGCCGGCATGATTGTCGTGAAGTAATACATGAATATATTCTCCATTTGTGGAACCATCGTCACCTTCCCGCTCTGGAATGGGTCGATTCGGAGAGAATCTAGGTACGACCTGACACTTGGGGCTTGATAGTCCTGTGACGCACTGATGGTCGTGGTCAAGCTTGTGCTTTGGGGCCACGATTGGGGACTGTACATCGCTTCAGGCGTGGCTCCAGCGCTCATGGGCGCCACGCCTCCCGAGGATAGAGATGGAGTAGTCCGGACTCTGCGTGGTGGTGGTTCCTTACCGTGGCGAGCTTGTCTTCGCTTCATGAAAGCATTCTGCTGAGCGCGCCGGTTGATCTCCCGGTGGTCGGGTTTCGCGTCATCCTTAGTGGCACTGTTGGCGTGCGGGATCCAGAGGAGATTCATCTGAGGGCTTTCCTTGATCTCCGGGGTAGCGGAGCTGGGCGGGCTGACTTGGCGTTCGGACGATGGCCCACATTCCACGCCGTCGTCCGAGGACAGCATCTTCTCAGGAGGTCTGAACGGCATGGTGGTTTGGTGGTTTTGGGGTCTGGTGGTCGATCGAGCCTGTTGATGTCGCTCAGATTTTCATATCGGGCTGATCCGCATCTGCGGAAAATTGAGCCGAGTGGTCAATGCAGTCAGTGGTGGATGGGGAACAGATGGAGAGGGAATTCATTTCTGAGCTCCAATGTCGATGGCATGGAAGGGGGAATTTACAGCAGACTGTGGTCTTCGGGGGGAACTCGGAGGACTCGGACCGGGGCTGGTAGTGGTGGCGAGTGGGGAGTGCGATATCCTGCAACAAAGATGCGGTGCCGCTGCCGCTGCCGTCGTTTCACGTGCTGTGCACGTGCTGGGGCCTTGAATGATTGGGCGACCGCTTAGTCATCAATATTAATACACCGGAAAATGTATTTTCCGTTTCTCCGTTTCTCCGAACTCAAGCGGCTTGAAGTGCCTCTCTTCTGTTCACCCTGAGCACTTGGCGAGCTCTCTCAGAAGCCATTCTCTGACCAGAGAGCAGCATCGTCTTTCCAGTCTTCGGGTTGAACCCGGCAGATTTCGCGGCAGAGACCTGCTGCAAATCCCCGTCTGCTTCTCTACTGGATAGATATCGTGCCATCACAAAGGCTTCCCCGTCGCAAGATTCACGAGCTGCTTGAGACTGATTATTCTACGGCCGACGCCACAGAATGTTGTGGTATGTATCGCCATGTGGGGGAGATTAGCAATGATAGCCGACCGCTATAGTCTTCTGCCACATGGTTGCTTACGTTGAGAGGGACTGCTGCATCCCGCATCACGGGATCCCTCATAGCAGTCCTTAGTCCACTGGTTCTCACATCAAAACCCAGAGGATTCAGGAAAGGTAAATAGGCAGGGTAAGTTGGCAGCTGGCTATATGCACACCCTACGCTGAAGCAGCGATGTTAAAAGATTGAAAAGAAGAGTGCGGCTCTAGCCGAAGCCTGCGCCATGATAATGCATCATCGAGCGACCGTCATCGGACATTCTGAGAAAATGGGTTCTCCGGATATATATTGCCGGGAGAAGAGACACAGAATTGGCAGTGACAACGTCCTCGGTCGAGCTATACACAACGTGTTTCTGTCGATGCCATGTTTGTCGATGCCATGTTTGCCGATGCCATACTTTCCCTCATCCTTGTGGGGTTTATTTGACTAACCACTTGTCTGGGAGCTTCTCATGTGGTCTTGCTGAACCGATTCTCTGTACATTGTTTTCGCAGCTCGGCCTACTTTCAGACCACTTTTGGAACCATTTCCCTACTCATAAACGACTATCAGAACCCCACCACTACCGGAAAAATCCACTCAAATTCTTCAGCTCGCCAGAAACCACTGCGACACAGGAGAATGTTGCGTTGCCTTGGACATGATTGACACGCGAAATCCCAGGAGCGACATTGCATTGTCTCATTCTACACATTGGATCTTGGCTTTGCTCTACACGGCAACGTTCCTTGGTCATTGACTATTCTAAACGCATGAATTATCGCGAGAAGATAATAGGCACAGACTTTTGCAGCATTACATTTCTTTGCGTAGGTATTCGGGATGAGTGCTTGGGACTCGACGCTAAGATAGCATGTTCGATAGCATGTTCTGGGTCTTGGACCAAAGCGGCTCTTTTTCCATCCAATCGTGACACGCGGAATGGGGTCTGACCTGTACAGATACCACCTCAGAAGTTCTTTGCACCACCTCAGAATTCTTGGCCATCAAATCCCACCAGATAAGCCTCGTGGCTCTCTTCTTGGGCAATATTAGCAGCGCCAACTGGTCACTAGGAGGATGGATCACTCATTTTTTCCGTGGGGATTAAACCTCTTTGTCTCCGTCAAATATCGGACACGCCTCTCGATCAGGAGATTAGATATGATAATGTTGTTATCTTCTTGCCTGCTTTAAAGCTCGGCTGCGTCCCGACTTCCCAATTGCAGAATCAATAGAGTATTGCGCGTGGTACACTATACTCTGGATCCCTCGTCGGCACCGCAAAGATGAGGTTCCGTTTCCCTTCTTCTCTCCTGCGAGGCACAGAGAAGGCTGAACAAGATGGACACAACGACCCTGTCAGCCAGGGTCCCTACTCTGAAGCCAAGCATTCCATAGACAAGGAAGCGACTTCTTCTGGGGGTCCAACTGCTTCCGAGGATGATGGCGAGACCCCCGGGAGTGGACTGCAGCATGGTGTTGCCAGTGTGGAGGCCATGACAGAGGTCTGGACCAGGAGAGATCTACTCCTCGCTTACGGCATGTAAGTAATTTTCTTCTCGTCTGTGATGAGGACTCCAACGTCTAATGTACGCCTTAGGATCTGGATCGTTGAATTCATGCTTGCGTTCTCTTCGGGTATAGTTGGTACCTTGACGCCGTACGTAACGAGTTCATTTCAACTTCATTCCTTGACAGCAACTACTGGCATACTTGCCTCCCTGATTGGGGGCCTCTTCAAGATTCCCTATGCCAAGATCCTCGACATTTGGGGCCGACCCCAAGCATTCTTGATCATGATTGCGTCCATTACGCTCGGACTGGCGATGATGGCTGGCTGCAATGGCGTCAAGACATACTGTGCTGCCCAAGTCTTTTACTCGGTTGGTTCGACAGGGATTGATTTCTCTATGACCATCTTCGTGGCCGATACGTCAAAACTAAGAAACCGAGCTTTCATGATTGCCTTTATATCATCACCCTACCTTATCACCACCTGGGTATATGGACCAGCTGCAAGCAGTGTCCTCGATACCATCGGCTACAGATGGGGCTTTGGAATCTGGGCCATTGTGATTCCTATCATTTGCGCGCCACTCTGTGCCCTCTTCTGGTTCAATCAACAAAAGGCCGCCAAGATGGGTCTTATCCCTGCCAGACAAAGCCGTGGTACCGCCTACCAGACTCTCCTTTACTACGTGAGAGAGTTTGATGTCATTGGGCTGCTTCTCATCAGCTCGGGGCTGGCTTTGTTTTTACTATCATTCAGCTTGTATTCGTACCAAGCCGACGAATGGCGCTCCCCGCTCATCATCTGCTTTATCATTTTCGGAGGTCTATTAGTGGTTGCTTTCGGGCTGTATGAGAAGTATCTTGCGCCGGTTACTTTTATTCCATGGTCCTTGCTCAAGAATCGAACAATCGTCACCACTTACATCATGGCCGCCAGTATCTACGTCGCCTGGTACGTCTGGGATAGCTACTTCTATTCGCTCAACATCGTCCTCTTCAGACAGTCAGTCACACAAGCGACATACATTGGCAACATATACACCATGGGAGCCTGCTTCTGGTCTCTCGTCCTCGGTATCTGCCTGAAGGTCAACGGTCGCATTAAATGGTACGCGCTCTTCTTCGGAGTGCCCATGACAATCCTTGGCGTCGGCCTCATGATCCACTTCCGCCAGCCAGGAGTTCACATTGGTTACATTGTCATGTGCCAGATCTTCGTTGCGTTCGGTGGCGGTACCCTCGTTATTGCTGAACAGATGACCGTCATGGCTGTTTCGGCTCACCAACACATTCCCGCAGTTTTGGCCATGGAAGGATTGGTGGCGTACGTGGGAAGTTCAATCGGACAGGCCATCGCCGCCGCCATGTGGACCGGCATCTTCCCGCAGAAACTGCTGGACAACCTTCCGGCCAGTGCCCAGTCGGAATTTGCTAGTATCTACGGATCCTTGACTGTTCAGGCCAGCTACCCTGTAGGGTCTCCGACCAGAATCGCCATCGACAAGTCTTATGCTGAGACCCAACGATTCATGTTGATCGCCGCCACCAGCCTGTACACTATTACTTTGGTTTCAACTGCACTGTGGAAAGATATTGACGTCAAGAAGATGAAGCAGCGCGAGAAGGGCTTGATCTAAGTGTTCTTTCGCCTCTAGAAAATTGAAATGGGTGCGCCACAATGATGGAGAGTGAGTGTTACTCCGGTGTAGCGATGGACCACCCGGTGGATCGTATTGAATAAGAATGACAGAGACTTCAACGTCGGGAATAAAACTTCAAGTTGGACAGAGTTTTAGTACTACGAATCTACGAATCAACGACGAGGCCTCGATTGATATTTTGTCAGCAAAGGCACAAGTCCTGACTACAATGCTCAAAATGGAAAAGTTCTCATGGATTTGGAACATCCCTGAGTATTTTATTGTCTCCACAAATCGAAAGGGGTGGCAAATACGTTCCTGCGATTGTACCACGATATTATTTACTTTGATATCCAATCTAATCCCGTTCACGAGGAACAACACTCAATGCCGCGTGTCAGAATATCAAGCGGGCATCTCGCTGCTACACTGAGGATTATCTCAAAATACAAACCACACTTCGAAGCTCGAAGATGCCCATCTTAAGATTTTCAGAGTCAGAGCATATCTCACTCGATCGACATTACTGTTCAGTGGCTAGGAGGTTTTGACCTGTCGAATATCTTGCAGAGGCCGTGGATACAGTGCACACTAGGACCCTGAAGGAGCGAAAGCCAAAAAAGAGAAACTGGATGTAGTACTGCGTAGTGAGCACGGGCCAGCAAGTCGTAAGAGTCTAGCTAGTCGTGATGAACATGATGATATGTTGAGGAACAAACTCTGTTCATTCTCGATCGTCATAAATCATGGGTTCTGCATGATACTACTCAACCAAGCGCGTCGTGGATTCCTTTCTTGTGCGTTTCCATCTTGAGTCGACGTCTCTCCGCAGTGTACTATATAGCAAAGGTCAAGGTCAGCGTGGTGAAAGAAGACCAATAGGGTGGTTTTGTTGAAGTTGTCGAGATGGAAGATACATACTTCATGCAAGTTTCGTGGCCCATATCTGGCAGGGTTGTCCTTGGACGTACACGCGGGCATAACCTTGATATGATCATTAGCCCAATCTCCCGTTCACCACTTGTGCACCGTGGCGCATACCGGTACTGCAACGTCCATATTGAAGCTGAAGAAGAAGGGGATCGAGTAGCGGTCCACGCCCGAGCTGTTTCGGACCCGGTGGACGGTGGACACGAATTGGTCGTTGGAGATGCGTTGCAGGAAATCCCCGACGTTGACGACAAATGTCCCCCGGATCGGGTTTGCTGGGATGTAGATTCCGTTCTTGTTCAGAATCTCGAGTCCTCCGATCATGTCTTGGTTCAAGATGGTGAATGCTGTATCTCAGGTTAGTTGCCGGCTTAGATTATGTATCGGAAATGAACAGATTGAGGGTATGGCTTGCTTTCAAAGTCGCTGTGGGCCCCTAAACCGTCCAGATCTTCCGCTTGCGGATCCCTCGGCGCATAGTGTTGCAGTATGATGCTCACAAAGGGTGCGGTGACAATAGGATCAAAGTAATTCTCTTCTGCGCCTAGGCCTAGAGCAAATGTCCGAAGCAGGGCGCGAGCTAGCTTCAGGAGTTCAGCCTGGTATTTCAGCATCGTGGCTCTGAATTCAGGCCACTTCTCCGGCCATTGGTTGTGGATGCCGATGCATAGCTCTCGTTGTGCCGGAGTAAGATTGGGCAGTTGTGGATCATTGTCGGGATCATAACTGTACAGGAAAGATCCCTTCTTCACTGTTACGGTCCTTGATTAGTTGCCCAAGGCCACGGAATCCGTCCAAGAGTGACTCCCACCTGCTTCGCCCGCGGGGGTTTTCGTGTAGTGGATCTCGTATCCCCGGAGTGTGGGCGACTGATACACGTCCTGCTCCTTCTTCACCTCGAGGGGCTGTGCATGGTACTTGCGAGACATCTCGAAGACTTGGTCGATCAAGTCTTGCGAAACGCCGTGGTTCTTGATGTACATGAACCCGACAGTCTTGCAGACTTCAGCAACCTCTTTGGCTATCTGAAGGCGTTTGGCGAAGTTATCAGTGAATATGTTCCCGATATCAACAACCGGTACTTCCTCAAATGTCGGCACGGCCTTATCGCCAGTCAAGATTTCTCGTTTACTGTCGTTGGTGCCGTCGCGAAAGTAGTATTCGTACTTAGGCTCCGGCGGAGCTACAATCGTGGCTGTGGTCGACATTGTTGCAGCTGCCCTTGGTATCCCCTCCGATTGAGGATGCAAATTCTGAGCGATGTGTCCACGTCTTGGCTTGATATCCAGAGATGAATAGAGACTGATCTGAAATATCTGTAAGTCCTACAGCGACGGCCATGTCCACGACAGACCAATCAAAGGTCGGAGATTTGCGATTTTCGTGAGACGGCTTGCTGCAACTGCAAAGCAGATAAGGCGGACATATCCAAAAGCAGAAGAAGCCTTGCTACGCCGTGTGGGATGCTGGGCTATAGTTATCATCACGCAAGGAGTTGGACGCACTCGCCAAAGGGGCAAACCAATCCCAGGCAGCTCTGAGCTGATACGAGGTGTCCTCGCTAGTCGTGCGACCTCACGCTTCACGATCAATGCGTTGCAGGCCTTCGATCCAGCTGCGCATTCATTCAGTTCGCTGGAGATCGTCACCAACCAGGAGCTGGAAGTTCAGATTGAAGGCTTCGGCATTCCCTCCCAATGCGAGCTCGTAGCATTCTTCCTGTCAGCAATTTGTCTCCATACGTCGTGCATTGAGCCCTCGCATGCCAACCCGGACTGCTGAAAGACAGGGCATTTTGCCTTTTGAAATCCGCAGTCGCCAGATATCCACGTTGGACTGGCATTCCTTCAAAGCCGAAGGACCGTAGGGCGGGAGCAATCAGACCACATTGAGCGCCATGGAATCTGAATTACCTGGATTCGAAGGCTCAGGCCGAGAGACTGTCTTATGCAAAGACAAAGACAGCCCAGCATATCCTTTTTCGACGTCCGTCGTTCTTGGTATGGTAAGATATATCCCAAGAGCACTGGGTGCACGCCACTGTATCAAACAGACGGCCATCAGCAGCTTATAAAGGTTGCGCTTTGTTCCGCTGTTGACAACCGCCTTCGACGCGGTGCTGTGCTTATGGATCAAGATAAGCGTGATATCCTCCCGTCATATGAGGTCCTACCAGCACAACGCTTTTAGTAGAAGAGTCGATTTTGTTTCTGAAATATCTAGCGAAGAGGATCCTGGGAATGTAGTTCTCCCCGATTATGAGCTGCCGGAATATGTGGGTATTGCGGCGTTGCAACGCAGACATTGGTGCGGGGGAAGTGGAAGCCTATGAAAGGGAGTTTAGGCGCTCTAGTGTCCCTGAAGGTTGATTGTGTGGGGATAGATTTGGGCGTCAAAGGCACCGCTTCATGCCTGGACAGCCATGTTTAGGCATGCCTAAGGCAACCGCCACAGCCTAGCAGCACAGCGCCCGCACAATGTCGCTGAAGCTAGTTACCTGTAGTTACTGCACCGCACAGGGTCGTTAACTTACACCGCAACTACCAGGGATGTACGGAGTATAGGACAGCTCTTCCTATGCCTCTTGGTCTGATCATTAAACTGGACTCACCATCGCCTTCAGGTGTGTGACTTATCTTGGTCTGCCATTCCACCCTGTTTCGCCATGGCCATCTCCATCACACATCTCACCAGGACTGAGGATACTGGCCCATTTATACTTTTCAATCGTGAGACACACACTGCTTTCGATGCTATCATGAGCTTGTCGCCAAGATGAGATGGATAAACAGCCCCAAGTTACGCTATCAGCAATTCCCCAGTCATCCGAACCGATTTCGGCCAGAGGGTGAGTGCCCCGTCGTGCAATGCTACCGGGGTACTCTGTACGAGTATATAAGTCTACCCTGCCTTGTGTCCACTTCAGCACGGTCCTCTGCGTCGAGTTGGGTCATTTGGTGTTCCAGGTCGAGATTTCAACATGCCGTCCAACGAAAGCATCGCATCTATCGTGAAACAGATTCCCTACAAAGTCCTCATTCTCGGAGGTTCATATGCGGGACTTGGAGCAGCTCTTAATTTGCAAGATCTCTGCAGTGGACGAAAGGCCCGATTCGCCGCCCAAGCTCCCGACACGAGCAGGTTCGGCAAGATCCCAGTTGAAATCACGGTCGTGGATGAGAAAGATGGATATTGTGAGTGTCAACGAGCACATATCTTGATCCATACTGATCCATATACAAGTCCATCTGATATCTACGCCCCTTGCTCATGCTTCAAGTGAATTTGCACCAAGAGCTTGGACAAAGTTCCGAGACCTTCCAGCCTTGAAGAACATCCGATTCATTCAAGGCACTGCCGAGAACGTGGACTGTTCCAAGAGACACGCTGTGATTCTGGACGCAGAGACAAAATCACCTGTTACTCTGGAGTACGACTACCTCGTTGCAGCAACGGGCCTTCGTCGAGTGTGGCCTGTTGTTCCCCAAGCCAAGTCCAGAGAATCGTACCTCTCCGAGGCTGCAGAGCATATCGAAGCGGTGAGAAAGGCCAAGAATGGCGTAGCTGTAATCGGAGGAGGTACGGTTCATCCTTGTCACATTAAGTGCATGATCCTCAGCTCACCTACGTGTAGGAGCGGTTGGTATCGAGATGGCTGCCGAGATCAAATTGGTCATGCCCGATCAGAAAGTCACCTTGATCCATTCCAGAGACAAACTTTGCTCCTCCGAACCGCTCCCAGACGAGTTCAAAGATAGATGTCTCGCCACTCTTCACGAGGCCGGAGTCGAGACCATTATGGGTCAACGTGTTTTGGGCGTCGAGACATTTCAGTCAGAAGAAGGCGATGCCATTTCTGAGTTAACATTGGCAGATAACTCGACACTCCGTGCTGGTTATGTGATTCATGCCATCTCAAGAAGTATACCTTCGACGACATATCTACCAGCGTCAGCCCGGGACAATGAAGGCTACGTTAAAGTCACCCCGAGGTAAGACTACCGGACCACTGGGAGGGCGAAATTGAAACTGATGTTCATCCTCGCAGACTGCATCTCACGTCTGACATGCCCAACGCGCTCAACCACTTCGCCATCGGAGACATTGCGAAGTGGTCAGGGATTAAACGCTGCGGTGCAGCAATGCACATGGGACAATATGCTGCACAGAACATTCATCAATTGATGCTGGTCGAGCAAGAGGGGATCAAGCCCGAGTTTCTAGAGCTCCAGGAAATTCCGCCCATGATTGGTATTGCCATCGGCAAGCAAGCTGTCGCATACTGGCCTGCTGATGGGGTCACCTACGGAGAAAGCGTCCAGGAGATGTGCTTTGGCAATGATCTGGGCTACACTAGTGAGTTAATTCAGAGTGACGGGAAACCGAACCGAGCTGACAGAAATCAGTCTGTTGGAACCATATGCAACTTGGTGACGAGTGCCCTTCGTAAAGTCGTTGTCGTACGAGGGTGTGGGCATTTGTGCGGCAGACCACCGACCGGGGTTCAAGCGGTGTATGCATACGACTACTTCGTTTCACCCCTCAGATGATAGAGGAGACGATCGTCCGAGTGCCAACGAAATGGATCTTCTACATGCAGGGAAGCAGCGTCAACAGGGCATTGGGGACCAAGTGTGGACTAGATGCTGCGGTCATTGAGGTTCATGTCCATGGGCGCACAAGGTTGCAGTTGAATGTGGTGGCATGCGGATGTTCCACCCAGGATCAGGTGTACCATCAGCAGAGTCCAATTTCGAAAATGTTTTCTGGTGCTTGCACCTCCGTGTTGACAACCGTGCAAGCGGTGCGCGCTTCCGATGTCGCAGGCCCGCAAATCACGACATATGACCCCAACTGCTGTCATTTGGTCAATAATCCCGTCAAGATGGTCTCTCGGTCGAAATGCCTGAGAGGGTAACCTTTTGAAAACCGGATCAAGACTCATGGAACGTCGAAATTGCCAAGGGTGGTGGATGGGGACGAAGGACGACCTTCGATTGGAGATAATCTTATCAGATGAAAATTTTTCACAGCTCCATGACCTAGACGGCCAGCGAGCCGCAGATTCGCGGCATTTCCGGTGTGATGACGGCGATCTTCGGAAACAAGAAGAGCCACTCGTCCGGCCTGAGGGACGCTGGGACTGCTGAGTGTGGATTGTTGCAAGCCGGCGCGGTCTCGGCGCAGATTTGGCGCAGTGAATATTAAGTTATCAGATGCAAAATTGAGTTATCTGATCCGACGGGCGGAAGCGCCAAGACAGTCCGGTGTATTTTTGACGCAGGCCTCAATACCGCCGTTGCTCTGTATCCGATACATGGGCTGTACGGTACGTGTATTGTACGCCCCAGTCGAGGAGGAAATTCGGTTCTGCTAACGACAGCGACCTGACCCTCTCCAGTACGCACCGAGAATCACCTGAATGGCGTAGAGTCTAGCCACGAAGAGGCGTCCAAAAACTGCAGGGAACAAATCAACCTTGGACGCACACTAATCCGTCCTTCACGGCTGATTCGAATGTTCGCTCCAGCTGCCCATCGTCGTTGAGGTATAATTCTCCGTGTAGGACGTCAATTTCTGGATGGTAAACAACAGCTCAGAATCAGTCGAAATGGAACACTCCACGCCGTCTACGTCTGAGACACTCGATCTGATATGTATCGGGTTCGGGGTCACGGCGCTCTCTCTCGCCGTTGCCTTGCACGAGAAGAAATCGCTCGACAAGGCATTGTTTCTAGAGGCGCAATCACAAAGCGCTTGGAAGCCGTATCCCGACGTCCCATCTGAACGGCTGAGGACTTCGTTCTTGAACGATCTCATCACTTCCGAAAATCCTCGGTCTAAATTCACTTTCATGAATTATCTGCACGCCACCAATCGCCTCATCGTCTATGCCAACAGTTCTCGGATCACGCCGTCAAGGGAACTGTTCGCCGAATATCTGCGATGGTGTGGCGATAACATCCATGCTCGAAAGGAGTTTTCGAGGAGAGTCGACAGAGTTGTACCAGTGAAGAACGCCGCTGGCAGAGTTTCGAGCTGGAAGGTCTTCTTCGTGGATAAAGTCACAGGAAAGACCGAAGTCGCAGAGGCAAAGCAAGTAGTTGTGGCCACGGAGCCGGAGCCGCGCGTGCCTGGTATCTTGTCGCAACCCAACATCCGAGCAGCTGTTGCACACTCGACGGACTCTCTCGAAGCAATTCCAGCGGTCCTAAAAAGAACTGCAGGACGCGCTCGAATTGCAGTTATTGGCGATGGGCAGTCGGCGGCCGAAGTCTTCTATTACGTGCAAAACATCCGAGGAGATCATCAGACGGTTTGGTTCACCCGAGATAATGTTATACGGGCATCTGACGACAGCCCATTGTAGGTTGCACTGTTAGATTGGAAAGATCTTTTACTAATACTGTCTGTAGCCTCCAAGACGTTATACGGCAGCCAACAACAAGCGCTACCCAAGCCTTGCCAGCCGAGTTGAGACGACAGGCGCTTGGACTCAAGTCAACCGTCGTTGAAGACGAGCTTCTGAAGAATATCTACGATTCGCAGTATCGCCAAAGTGTGAAACAGCCGGATCCCTTTAAATGGCAGCATCAGATACAGGTCGGCCAACAACTGACTTCGGCAGAGAAGACGTCAGGAGACAAAGTCGTGCTGGGATTCCTCAATTCTGGCGGCGCGACACAACGTACCGACATTTATGACCTTGTCATTGCTGCAACTGGATTTATCAAGGTTGACCATCAAACAATCCTGCATCAGCTACTTGAGTTGGTCGAAGGCCCTGGGATCTCTGTGGACCGAGACTACCAAGTGAATTTCCGTTCCGGTTTGCTAACGAAAGACTGTGGTATCTGGCTACAAGGGTCACTTGGAGAAGCGAATAATGTACGGTTCCGGTCCACTTCTTTTGTCACTTACTGACTCGGGTCTCTAGGACGATGAGGCCGTTTATCCGACCCTGGCAGAAAGAAGTCGTCGTGCCGTTGAATCGATCCTGCAGCAAAGACGACAACAAAGTCAGTCTTCGCTGGAAGAGAGATCTGCCAGACTCTGAACAAAAACGGAAGCCTGTAGTAGACGAGATGTTCGCTTTTATTGTTATATTGAAACAAAATCCGGCAATTCGCAGAATATGACATTGATATTGAAGGCAAGGGAGGCTGGACTGGAGAATATTGATCATACCCTATGTACTGTACTCATCAGAATGATAGGAAAATTCTCGTCAATCATTATCCGCCGGTATTAATTGGCCTTTGTCTTTGAAATTATACATATAATGATACTGCATATCTACAATCTCGCTCTTGATTTCGCCAGGATTTGCTCTGCCAATCTGGCAAGCTCGAACTTTCTGACCTTTCCACTGCCCGTCAGGGGCAGGGTAGTCGGTATGCCGTCCCTTCCAAGCCAGAAGACATGTTCCGGCGCCTTGTGCCTCCCTAATCTCACCCTCACCCATCCGCGCACCTCGTTATCACTGAGGGCTGGCTGTGTACCTCCAGACTTCCCCGGCGCACTCTGCAGAAATGCAGCTACCACTTCTCCCAAGCGATGATGTTTAACTCCGACAACAATTGCTCTTTCAATAGCAGCATGTTCCACCAGTCTCTCCTCAACTTCAAGTGGGTAGATGTTCTCGCCGCCTAGCATGTCGTGATGAGCTTACGGTTTGAAACCGGGAAAGGAAAAAAGTTATATACTCACCTCGAATAATGATGTCTTTGAACCTCCCAGTGATTGTGCAGGTCTTGTCCTCATGGAAGACAGCTTCGTCACCTGTATGTAACCACAACACACCTTCTTCATCGCGAACCATCACTTCGGCTGTTTTCTCGGGATTCTTCCAGTATCCACGCTGCAGCTGATACCCAGCAATGCATAACTCCCCTCGCTCACCAATTGGCAGGGTATTACCATGTCTGTCCACGATTTTCGCATGTGCGTGTGGCATGACCTGGCCAACTGTGGCCAGTTTAAGGTCAATAGGGTCGTCATGCCTTGCATTGAAGCAAGTCGGAGATGCCTCAGTCAAACCTAATGAATACCGTCAGTTGCTGCATGATATCAAATAGGATAAACTACTTGCCATAACTACTCGTAAACTCGGTCATTCCAAGGTCATTGACTAATAGTTCCATCAGGTGTCGAGGGACAGGAGCTCCGGCAATGATACCAGTCCTGAGACGATAGCAGTCAAAGTCATCGGGCCGAGGGAGGCTGAATATTGAGTCAAACATTGCTGGAACTCCATGGAGAGCAGTGCATTGTTCTTCGGATATCGCTCTCAAGCAAGCAGCAGCATCAAAGGTCTCCGTGGGATACACCACTTTGCCGCCATGCGTTATGATAGCCAACAGCCCGAGCACTAGACCGAAACAATGAAACAACGGCGGCGGACAGCATAACACATCATCTTCGGTGAACGCCATCCGATCACCTATGAATCTACTGTTGTTGACCAAGGAGCTGATGCCACGTCAGCACCAATGTCGCCACGTGCATTTGCTGCCAGGTACTTACTGGTGACTTAGCATGGCGGCTTTCGGATTTCCCGTCGTTCCACTTGTAAATTGCAGATTGCAAACATCATGGCAATCGAATCTACCGGCGCACGCAGCTAGTGGCTCGTCTGGCTGGGAATGACCATCCTCTACCAGCCGGGCGTAGGGAGCAAATTGTCCTGCTTGGCCGCGAAGGATAACGACCTCTTCGACCGTGCCTGGGGTCTGCAGAAGCGAGTCTAGCAGAGGCTTGTTGTTGTGGTGTCCGATTCGAGGTGTTGTAAAAAGCATCTTACATTCTGGAGCTGTCAGATGCATAGTCGCCGTGGATGGGGTTTCGTAACTTACCAGTGAACTTCAGCGCGTATTGGGCTTCGGAAGACGTGTAAGTGTTGTTGAGAATCACCAGAATGCAACCTATTCGCATGGCTGCAAAGAACACTGACACATATTGCTCGCAGTTTCCAGCCATGATGCCGATTCTGTCACCAGGACGAATGCCGCGTCCAAGCAACGCCTTGGCTAGGCGAATGCTCTCCTGACGAAGGTGATCGTATGTCCATCTTGCGCCTGTCCACGGCACGATCAGACACTCCCTTCTTGAATATCGTCGGCATTGGAAGTCCAGTAGCTCTCCAAGCGTAAAGTCAAGTAGAGGGGCTTCAGTCGTTCCATGGACGATTGAAGGCTGCTGAGTTGGAAAAAGCGTTGGTCTTGTGTTCGCCAGCGCCATTGTCACGATACTCCTATGAAGTGGGATCCAGGGCGACGGTGATAATGATGGGAGCTTCCGGATAATGTGTTCAGACAATTCGACGCACTATATCAAAAAAGCACGTGCATCGACTGATTTTCGGACTCTGTGAAGCGGCTCCAGTCAAAGCATATTAGAATGGCCATGGGCAGCCATGAAGCTTTTCCTTCTAGCGCATCGAGGACCTATTTTCACAGAGTGACCGCCGAAGACAGGGCCACTCGGTACCGTCGGCTGTGAACTCCATGCTCAGGGCCAACCAGAGTGATCCCTGCAGCCATGCCCAGCCGCATCGCGCTGTTAGGGGAGATGGACAAGCATTCTGCGATGATCTGAGTGTGCTCAAAGAGCGCCGATATCGACGGGCAGGAAAAGAACGTCGACTCCTGCTCCACCGGTTCGTTAGCTGAGGTGACAGCGTGTAGCACACACCGTACAACGGGGGCACAGGGAACGTGGTCAAGGAGGCACTGTAGGTGCCAGGTGGGTTGTTTAGTTGGTCCGCAGAAACGCGCTAGCTAGTAGGCTATGTTTCCTGGAATGTACTAGGTATTTCCCGTATTTCTGGTGCGTAACAATACGGTCATTTGATACCTGCACGATACCGTCAAAACATAGCTGTCCAGGAGACTCTGCCCCACCACCTCTGCTGCCCCTCCGAGGACACATGGTGCCGGTTGACGGACGGTACAATTGCATCGTGTCCTCGTGTCGCGCTCACTAGTCGCCTTTTTTCTTCCGATTCACTTACCGAATGCTGATCGTGTGTGAGATCGAGAAAATTTCTGTGTGGCGGGCGTAGCGCAAATCCGACGCAGACCCAACCTTGTGGTTGGGAACTTCGTCCCGACGCAACTCAAGCATCCTTGCCTTCATCCTGCTGCTAGTGAGCTGTGAAGTTGCCCATTGCTCTCCACATGACACCGACTTCGGTTGAGAAGACTCTGCTTTTCGTAATGGGTGTTGCATCGGAGCAGGAAGCTAAACGAGGAAGATGCTGACATAAGTCGGGACCGTCCAATGCTTACCCAAGGTTGTACACACCGATTAGTGTAATCTCCAAGGCAATCCTGAAGCTTTGTTGACCATTTGATGAAGTCCGAAGGATTTATTTGTGTTTTTGACGCCCTTTGATGACAATTTCCAAGGTAAAATAGGCGCTCAGAATGGGCTCTATTCAAGATCTCCCTGTTGAGGAACATTGTGTGGGAAACAATTCACTCAACCTCTCGAGCAATGGCGGCACGAATGGGAGTCTTCTGCGGTCTTTTGAGGTCGCAAACTTGGCGTCACACCATGGACTCACCCCGACTGGTATGAGGGACGAAGTTTTGCTTCTGTCGTGGCTCTTGGTGCTGTACCGCACCCGTGAGCGAGACCAGGTTCGGTGTCAATGGGCCTACCGACTAGAGCCCCATGGCTATGAGAGTGTACAACCTCCTCAGGACCTCTCTTTAGACGACTTCTTAGAAGGTTCTCCAAGCAATATCCAACAAACCACATCAGCTGTCTCCCAATATCTGGCGACAATTAGACGGTCTGTGGATGTAGCCGAACCTGTATCGCTCCTTCTGAGTACGGGTCCTCTCGACTACATTTCTCAAGATCTCGAAGATGTGAGTTCCTTGCATGCTGGGTGGAATATATCTGACCTGGCTCGTACAGGGAATACTCCATCTTCAAGTCACTTTTAGGGATGATCGACTAGAAATTGTGCCTGTATGGCAGTCTGAAAATATGCTCCCATACACAGTTACTCGACACATCGAAACATTAGTTGATATTATGAAAATGTGTCTTGCTAATGGCGAAGCGACGATAGAGGACTGCATTCAACCTACAGACCATGATATGCAAACGATATGGAAGTTGAACCATTCACTACCGCCTTCTTACCAGTTTTGTATGCACGATCTCATTTCAGAACGGGCTCGGAAATGCCCTGACAAAGTGGCAATATGTTCTTGGGATGGTGACCTGACCTACGCCCAGATCGACCAATTCTCAACATACCTTGCTCATAATCTCAGGGACATGAGTGTCAAACTGCATGATGTCGTACCTATCTGCTTCGAGAAATCGAGATGGACAATCGTGGCCGTGTTGGCGGCAATGAAGGCAGGTTCCACTTTTGTGCTCATGGATCCGACATTGCCTCTTGCACGCCTACAAAATACCGCAGTTCAAGTTGGTGCTAAACTCATGCTGGCATCTCGACAACAAAAGGACCTATCAAAGTTGATTTTACCTGAGGGACGACTCCTTGTTGTGGACAGCCTGGCGTTCGAGGGTCTGATTGATGTTGAGAGAAGGCCAGAACTTCCACCTGTTCCACCGTCTGCACTGATGTACATCATATTCACTTCTGGAAGTACCGGGGTTCCAAAAGGTGTCATGCTCTCACATGAAACCTACACAAGTAGTGCCATCCCCCGGGCCGAGGCGGTTGGCTACAAAGAGCACTCTAGGGTTCTGGACTTTGCCTCTTACGCTTTCGACGTCAGCATTGATAGCATGCTCTGCACCATATCGCAAGGCGGTTGCCTCTGCATCCCATCCGACGAAGAAAGGATGAACGATATCAACGGGGTAATGCGCAAAATGAAGGTCAACTACGCAGGCTTGACGCCTTCTGTGGGCCGCATATTGGATGCCGACGTGATAGAGTCACTCGACATGCTAGGTCTGGGAGGAGAGGCTGTGACTGCGAGAGATGTCACTCGTTGGGGGAAAGTTACCAGAATCGTGATCGGCTACGGGCCATGTGAATGTACAATCGGCTGTACAGTCAACAGCAGCGCAGCCACCGGCAGAGACTACATCTCCATCGGTAACGGTACAGGTGCTGTTATGTGGATCGTTGATCCCAGTGATCACGAAAAGCTGATGCCAGTTGGGGCGACTGGCGAACTACTAGTGGAAGGCCCTATCGTGGGACAGGGCTATCTCAACGATCCCGCCAAAACTGCTACCGCTTTCATCGAAGATCCAGCATGGCTTGTCTCAGGCTACAAGTCTCATAATGGTCGACGTGGACGGCTGTACAAGACTGGAGATCTTGGGAAGTACGACCCTGATGGTTCTGGAGGCATCGTCTTTGTTGGACGAAAAGACACCCAGGTCAAACTGCGTGGCCAGCGTGTCGAGCTCGGGGAGATCGAGTACCAGCTCAACATGATTCTACCCCCTGCTACTAATGCTATTGCAGAGGTCGTCAAATCCAACGGAGCCGATGGTCAAGCTACATTGGTTGCCTTTGTTGCACCACATGCTCCAAGAAACAATGAAGGGGACTTGCAGATAGTTCAACCAAGCGACAAGCTCCGCAATGCGCTCTCCAGGGCCGACGATGAATTGTCGAAAGTCCTACCGCGCTATATGGTCCCGACGACATATATCCCCCTAAACTACATCCCGGTTCTGATCTCGGGAAAGACCGATCGCAAGCGGCTTCGACAATTTGGCGCCTCTTCGGATTTGCGCATACTAAGCCACAGTTCGTCCAGTGAGAGCAATCGGGAGCTCGACCATGTAGAGCAACACCTCCGCAACGCCTGGAGCCAAACTCTCAAGGTCGAAGCTGAGTCAGTAGGATTACAAGACAATTTCTTCGCTCTTGGTGGCGACTCTCTGGCTGCGATGAAACTAGTATCAGTCGGTAGAGCCAATGGTCTTCGCCTCACTGTTGCAAATGTATTCCTACATCCAACGCTCTCCTCCATGGCGAAAGTCACAAACCTTATCGACTCCGAGGAAATATTCAATACGGCGACATTCTCGATGATATCACAGCCAGTTGAAACAGCCCGGCTCGAGGCTGCTCGTGCTTGTGGGTCAAAGGAACTTGATGTCGAGGATATTTACCCTTGTACACCTACCCAAGAAGGGCTATTCACATTCTCTCTGAAGTCAGATACGCCATATGTTGCTCAGAGAGTTGCTTGCATACCAGAGAACATTGATGTCGCCGCTTGGAAAGAAGCCTGGGGGCACGTGGTTCAAGAATGCCCTATCTTACGTACTCGTTTGATCCAGTCCTCAGAACCCGGTTTATGGCAGGTGATTCTCAAGGAGAAACTTACGTGGAGACACTCCGATGATTTATCGCAATACCTGGAAATTGACAAGACGGAAAAGATGGACCTTGGTCAAAGTTTAGCACGATATGCCATCGTTACTGATGCACAAGCAGGCAAACACTATATGGTCTGGACGATTCATCATGTTGTGTATGATGGATGGTCAGAGCCATTGATACTGAAGAAGGTCAGCAAAGCTCTCCAAGGGCAGTTTATCAATTCCCGGGTACAGATGCGGGATGTTGTCAGATATCTTCAGGATATCAATCCCGCCGATCTTCAAAGTTTCTGGCGTAACGAATTGGAGGGCGCTATCGGACCTCACTTCCCCTGGGCACCTTCACGAGATTTCCTCCCGACTGCCAATACCATGCTTGAACATCGAATTCAGGTCGACATGAGCACTATATCACGATTCACGTTGGCAACCATTATTCGAGCAGCATGGGCTCTCGTTGTATCCTGCTATACGAGCAGTAGCGATGTTATCTTCATCGAGACTCTGACGGGACGGGACATTGCCCTTCCTGAAGTCGAAGAGATCGAGGGTCCTCTCATCGCCACCATCCCGATTCGTGTTCGCATCGATAGAACAGCTACAGTGGAGGCATACCTACAAGCCGTGCAGGAGGGTATGCTTGCCCGTACTCCTTTCCAGCATTTTGGGGTGCAGAATATCAGGAAAGTGAGTGACGATGCTCAATACGCCTGTGAAGCACGAACTGGTCTTGTAATCCAGCCCGAACCTGAGTACTCAACTGCCGCTCTTGGGTTTGAACAAGGAGATGTGGTCAGAGAAGCGCTCCACTTCAACCCATACCCACTCATGCTGGGATGTGGCATCCAAAAAGATGGTTTTAGAATATGTGCGAGCTTTGACAGCACTCTCATCACTGCTGTGCAAATGGAAAGGATATTTGCACAGTTGGAGACAGCGTGTACACGACTGACTGAGAGTGTGTCTACACGATTGGATCATATATGCATTATGCCTGAGAAAGAACTTGACCAGATCTGGCATATGAACCGTCTTGCTCCCATGTCCTTGGAGAGGTCATCGACTAGACTTCGTGCGAGAACAGACGTTGAGCCAGACTCAATCTATCCTCCAGCAGTCGTTTCCTGGGTGTGCAATATCTGGAACCCTTCCTTTCTGTCACCGATCGAATGCGCGGGTGAGCTTTGGCTTGAAGGAGATTTTTTCCCAGGCGAAACAGTCAACTCTCCTTCTTGGCTTGTCGCTGGAAGCACCAATCATGCAGGCCGGAATGGTAAAGTACATGCCACAGGTGATATAGTCCGATTACGAGAAGATGGCAGTCTCCTATATGTTGGACGGAAAGAAGATGTCACTTCCTTAAATCACTTTGCGGTGAATATTTCCGAAATCGAAGCCCATTTGAGGAAGCGTTTACCACAAGGATACCATGCTACAGCTTCGCTAATCCAGAAAGGGTCAGAGAATGAGGTTATAGCGCTCATAGAATCGGAGCCTACTCAAGACACCAGTGTGCAGCTGATGTTTGCAAACCTCAAGGTGACCTGTGACGGTCCGGCTTCTCAAGAACTGACCATGACACTATGCGCAAGGATATCTGCAGGTCTTGCCGTGATCCTGAAAGAGCTCAAAAAGTCACTCTCTGATACCCTTCCACCGTACATGGTGCCTTCTGCTTATGTCGTGGTTGATAAGATCCCTTCAGAGTCAGACGGAGCTGGTCGTTCTGTGTTGAGTCAGTTGGTCTCGAAAATCCCTCAAGATATGCTCGCGAGCTCACAAGAAAACCTGAAGAGTGAATGGGCGAGGATATCAGGACAAAGAAATTTGACTGATGGCGAAAGGATCCTGCAGTCATCTTGGGCGACTATCTTAAGACTTGACTCGGATAAGATTGATCTCGACGATAACTTTTTCCGTCTGGGCGGGGATTCTGTGCTCGCAATGAAACTGGTTTCCGAAGTCCGTTTGCAGGGGTACATGTTGACAGTCGCTGACATATTTCAAAATATGCGTCTCCGTGATGCTGCAAAAGTCTTAAAGGTGGCCCAAGCAACAAAAGACCAGATCCAACCCTACAAGCCTTTCTCGACACTGAAAAACCTGAACATAGGCTCCTTCCTACTCAGAGAGGTCAGGCCAAGGCTGAGTAATCCTCAGTGGTCTATCAAAGATGTGCTCCCCTGCACAAGCTCACAAGTTCTGGATATCAAGGCGACAATCCAAGTGCCGCGGGCATCTGTTCAGTATACTATGCTCTACTTGGATGACTGGGTGGAGCAAGAGCGCCTGATGCGTGCAACCGACGAACTGGTCAAGTCTCATGATATCCTGCGAACGATATTCATCGAACACGAGACATCGTTCTATCAAGTGGTCGTGGATGACTTCGAGACGCCCTGGAGCATACAAAGTACGACAGAGAACCTCGAGCGGTACGTATGCAAGCTGTGCGAGCAAGATATCGAGTCAGACTTCTCCCTGGGCTCGTCTTTTCTGAAGATCTTCTACGTTCCAGGCAATGAGGGCAAGGCATGTTTCATCCTTCGGCTATCCCATGCCCAATTTGATGGAGTCTCTCTGCCGTTGTTGCTTCGGGACTTTGAAACACTCTATACAGGATACAAGCAGCCACTTACCAAACAATTCACCTCATACGTCGCACGAACGTATGACGAGACTCTTCGAAGCGCCGCTAATAATTACTGGCGTGATCTTCTGGAGGGTTCTTCGCTGTCACTATTGGATTACGGACCTGTCGAAACCACAGATAAAGCATTGTTTTTGACTTTGCCCGTCGACATAGCACAGCGACTGGAGGAGACAACCACTGCAAGCTTGCTTGTTGCAGCTTGGGCCCTGGTGTTGGCACGTCGTCTGCAGATTTCGGACGTAACGTTTGGCAATGTCACTTCAGGACGACTTCTGGATCTCGACGAATCCGATCAAGTAATAGGACCCTGTTATCAGTTCACGCCGGTTCGAGTCACATTTGAGGAATCGTGGACTGTTTATGATCTTTTGAAATCAGTGCAACTGCAAATGGCAAAATCATTAGTGCACGAATTCTTGGGCTTCGATGAAATTTCCAGAAATTGTACCTCGTGGCCAGCATCGGACAAGTTCTTCGACTCTATCGTACATCATCAAGACTGGGAGGATTTTGATACAATGCCGTTCGCCGGAGGTACTTGCACCGTGGATATCAAGAACCCTCACGGCGACTCAGCGTATCCGTTAAAGGTTGTATCACTTCTTCGCGATGGTCAGACCCATGTCGGTGTTGTGGGAAGTGAAAGAAATTCACAGGTTGTGCGTGGAATCTTGGATGATTTGGTCAAGGTGGTAGAGAACCTGGCCGATCCAGACGTCGAGAAGAAGAAGATTTTAGTATCGAGTTTGAGATAGCTTTTACCATAGTACGACATTTTGGTATAATCTTCCGGTTCTACGGACGTTGATATTTGAATATGAAAAGTTTCATTACCACAACAAGCTTGATAGTGAATGCCAATTATATATAAGTATATAGAGGGCGAGGTACATATGTAGGTCCCCTCCGAAGACCGACTTTTTGTTGGGGAGCAGGTAAGATACTTCTCAACACGTATATTCGAACGCACAGTGAAACAAACCTCTCGACTACCAACTATAGCAAACAGGTATATAGTACCTAACTAAAGTTTTGCTTTTGCATTCCACACCGCACGATCTGACGAACTAGAGTTTTGCATTCCATGCTGCACGGTCCGCCGACTCTAATGGTCGTTCCCTTCCGTCCCAAAACAGAGGACATAACTGAAACCACTTTTCGCGACTGCATACCGAGTGGACCGACCTCTTGTGGCCCAGGTCGACGTACTTGCCAATCACCAGGCCCTGCGACTGTTCGTACGACAGAATCGTGGCGCCGGCGGCCTTGGGCTCTCCGACGACATTCGCCGTGCGCGGGTCGTCCAGGAAACAGTAGTGGATGCAGCTCGAGTACCATGCGTTCACCCTGCGGGAGCCGCGGAACGAGGCGTCGCCGACCAGCGAGTGGCGTCCACGATCGTACTCTCCTGCGTCGTAGTGAGCGCCGTAGTGGTCCTCCTGTTGGAAAGTAGTGTTAGTATAGGACCAATATCTAGTCCAGTTGTACTGCATGTACGACGAAAAACTTCAAATGTGTAGCCGAGATTGTGAAGTATGAATCTACTTGTTGTCGAAAGAGTACAGCTCCGATAAACATGATCAACATGATCGGGCTGACGAAATCATGGAGTACGACAGACAGAAAGGGTTCCATGGTTGTGTAGTCGGGAATATTTGATTGTTGACTCACCTTGGCCCAATATAGTTCATAGTACGAAAACCGCGTGTCGTCGAACCGTCCAAACAGGCACAGGACATGAGGATCGAACCACAATTTTCTCAAGTACTCGCGGTGCTGGTCTAGTGTGCCGGTCTCATTCCAGCCCTGAGCAACACGGGGGTCGTTCTGCCACGTATTGAACAACTTGAGGTGCTCCGCGTTCTGCCAGTCTACCACCTCGAGCGAGAAGTGTTCGTCGAGTTCTGGAATGTAGCGGCTGTAGGCGATCGAGCCAGGATGCGGCTTTGGTCTACGGATAGGGTGGCGCGTGTAGATTGGCTCGTCGGGGAATTTCATGGTGAAGTGGTAGTTCTCAGGCATAATGGCGTACTGGCCTAGTGACTCCCGCAGAGCGCCGTCTGTGCCGTCGCCGACTGCCCAGATTGGACGAGGGCCCAAAGGAGAACCGGCCCCCTGCCAGAACGAACTTCTCAAGATCAACAGCTCGTCAGATCGGAAATCTTTATCGTCGCCGGGACGCCATGCCTTGGGGTACTCGATCGCCAGTCCGGTTGTGAGTAGTTCCGTTCGAACGACGTCTTTGCCTGACCCGTTCAGACTCAGCCGGAAGTACTCGTTGGTAGGGTGACCAAGGTAGATTGCGTGAACCACGTTCCAGATCTGGCCGAGTGACGGTGGGCTGCTTTCGGTCCATTCAAACACTGTCCCAGGACTTCGACGTGCTCGCGCCCAGGCACTGTTGTTGGACAAAGGAGGCCACTCTGACTTTGGGCCAAAGGAGAGCTCAGTCCAAGTGAGTGTGTCGGAGTGCAGTGGCTTGGGCAGAGAATTTGTCCCCGAGGGCTGACCTTCATGAACCAAGGTGAGCTTGGTGGGTGATGACGGTTCAACGACGTGAACTCGATATGCTGTGAGGTATGGGTGTGGTAACTTAACAGGCGGATACTTGTGCGGCGGTGGGGATGGTGTCGATGCTGAGGACATTGTTGCGATGCTTTGTTGGGATGATACTATCGCATGGATAAATTGAACTATCACAGGGATGAGTGAGTTGGTTTACCAATTCAGAGATCGATGGCAGTAATAGTTGATCGTCGATGCCAACTGTGACACTTTGTGGATGAAAATGCAATGTCAAGATGCAAGCTTTCCCAAGACCGGGACAGCCATCATGGGGTGCGGGAGTGACGGTTGACAAAGCGACATCGCACGACGAATCGAAGTGACAAAGTGGAGTGGTCTGTCCCGGGGGGAGGGGTGTGAAACCAGACTTACTAGGGCACGCACTTGGGTCTGTCAGTTCTCGTCGTGGAAAACATAAATAACTGTCTTTCTTTCAGCCAAATGAACTAGTCGTGCTGTAGGTGCACTCCGTCTATCCCGAGTCTCACGTTCATCCATGTCTTTGAGATCAAGGCCTCTGGGCTTCAAGAACTTCCAAGTCTCGTTTCCCGAAGAGAGGATTCTGCTGATCACGCTGAACCGGCCCGAGAAGCTGAACTGCATCGATAAAGCAACAAGCAAGCAGATCCAGAATGTCTGGGAGCTATTCGACGAGGACGAAACTCTGTGGGTTGGCATCATTACCGGCGTAGGGCGGGCCTTCTGCACTGGCGCCGATTTACAAGGTAAGTTTTCTCACTGTAATAATCAATCCTACCTCGAAAACGTTGGCTAGGGGCCATTTTCCCTCCCATGTTACTGACTGTGGCTCCACAACTTTTACAGAATGGAACGAAATGAACAAGGCCGGGGTGGTCAACAGCATGAACCCTCCAGGGTTGGCTGGTCTGCCCCGCCGAAGCGGGAAGAAGCCGATCATCGCGGCCGTGAACGGCATATGCATGGGCGGGGGCTTCGAGATGGTGGCGAACTGCGACCTCGTCGTCGCCGCTTCCGCAGCCATCTTCGCACTCCCCGAGGCGAAACGAGGCATCGTTCCTGTGGCAGGGTGTTTGCCTCGCCTGACGAGCACCATCGGACTCCAGCGCACGACTGACCTCGTGCTGACAGGGAGGAGCGTGGGTGCCCAGGAGCTTCATGACTGGGGTCTGGTGAACCGAGTGGTGGAGTCTGGTGCCGGCGTTGTCCAGGTGGCAATCCAACTCGCGCTGGACCTGTGCAGTAACAGCCCAGACGCGTTGATCGTTGGCCGTCAAGGGATCCGGCTGAGCTGGGAGTCCAGGAGCGTCGAGGATGCCGTCACCACGCTCGCCGATCAGTGGTATCCGAGACTCATCCAGGGTCCTAACTTTGCCGAAGGTATCCAGGCTTTTGTGGAGAAACGTCCGCCAAGGTGGAAGGACTCGAAGCTTTGAGGAGCAATGGAGGACACAGTAGGACGAGTATGGGCAAAGGAGAGAGTGACCACAGGTCAAGTGTCACACTAGGCAATATGGAGTGAGACCTTGCATTTAACCGAACTGTACTGTATGTGCTCTCGTAGAGGCATGGAATAGTTCTCTTCCACAAACCCCCCTCCGCCCCACCGCAGTGAAAATTTTTATCTTATCAGATCCGGCAAAGAGCGTCTCATCGCTAACAGGAAAAGTGGAATCCAGAACAATCTCATCTTATCAGATTTCCACTTTTCAGTGACTCCTCCCCTCCTCCCCTAGCGTCGTAAGAGCCTGTACAAGCGCGAGACAATACGAGACGGAACAGTAACATACACAGTGGCGTAATAGTTCCCAATCTGAATTACACTCGGCTCTGAACACTGATCAGGTAGAGTCTTGCTTCATCTTGGTGACATTAGCATGATCTTGAGTGTCTTGTTTGCATCCCGTAGACTCCCGTCTGCGAGTCGCCTATAGATCCTTGTAGAATCTGGTTGAGGACGCGGCATAAAAGAAAACTCGGTTGCCATTTACGATAGTTGACTGCTGTGTTTCCTAGTCAATAGTATCAAACGATCTAATTTTGCTTTGGGAACGACCGTCTCAAACCCATTCATTGGGGTCACCAAAGCCATTGCAGAACTCCATGCTTTTATGCCACTTGTTCTACGTCCCCCAACGTCTGGTGCAGTACATTGTTTCTGTAGCTCTCGGACCGTTGGAACAATTCTCCGTGTGAGCCACTGTCTACACATTTGCCTCCCTCGATCAAGAAGATAACATCTGCTTGCTTGATCGTATGCAAGCGATGAGCTATGGCGATAACCGTTATTCCCCGTGCCGCCTTGGTGAGGCCTTGCTGCAGCAGACTTTCAGACTCAGCGTCCAAAGCGCTTGTTGACTCGTCAAGGATAAGAAGTCGAGGTTTGCGAACCAAAGCGCGGGCGATCGAGAGTCGCTGTCGTTGTCCGCCGGATAGTTGACTGCCGTTAGGCCCGCAAAGAGTGTCGTATCCTTGCGGTAGGTTGACGATAGTGTCGTGGATATTTGCGAGTTTACATGCTTCTTCGATATCAGCTCGCGAAGCTTCTTCATGAGGCCGGGCACCGAGTCCAACGTTGAAGGCAACGGTCCCTTCAAACAAGACGCTATCCTGGGGAACAAGGGATATCTCATCTCGGAAAGAAACGTCCTTATGCTTCGTGATGTCGTTGCCGTCGATCAAGATCGATCCGGACTGTGGTCTGAACATGCCCTCCAAGAGTGCAATGATCGTAGACTTGCCAGCTCCACTTGGCCCAACTAACGCACAGAACTTCCCACGTTGGATGTTCAAGTTCAACTCGTGGAGGACCTTCATATCGGGTCGAGCAGGATACGAGAACGTGACGTCCTGAAATACCACGCTTGAGCCACCCATGTTTGAAGAGCTCGGTGAGAGCTTTCCATCCCCGAGAGCTTCAACATCCTTCTCCGACGGCTGTGGTAAAATCTTGTCAACCTCAGAGCCTTTCAAGTCTTTGTTTGAACCTAGATCAATGAGGTCTAGTATTCTGGCAACAGCGGCGCGAGCATTGGATAATTCCGGAGCCAGTGCGAACATTTGACTCCAAAGCATGGCACTCACCAGAAGTGAGAAGACTACGATCAGGAATTGAGTCTGAGTGTAAGTTCCGGATATAATTTGCTTCGATCCCCACCAGTAGGCCAAGGCATTCACCATGTTACCCAAAAAGTACATGAGGGCTAGCCACAGACTAGCGTAGAGACTCACTGTCGTAGTCTCCTTCCTCGGACCTTTAAGCGACCGGCGGTAGGTCATGAGAGTCTCCTTCTCGAGGCCAAGTGCTGCAACAGTTTTGATGCAAGTAATTGCTTCCACGCTGATGTCGACTGACTTGGCGAAAGCGGTTTCATGTTTCTCCTCGAACTGTACCAGGACCCTCAGTTCCATCAGGCCGGCACCGAGAAGAAGAGGCACTAGAGCCAAACATACCAGCGCGATCTTCCAAGCGATGATATGGGTGAGGACAATAGCAACCACCAAGTTGACCGAGATCGAGAAGATGGTGCCCAACACTGATCCACTCAGTCCCGCTAGAGCACTGCCATCTCGCGTAATGTATAAGAGTAGTTTTGCAGGCGTTCGCTCGTCGGATTGGTGCCACTGAAGGTTCTGCTCGAACAGCGACCGGAATGACAAGACGCGGACAATGTAGAGAAGTTTTTCTGACAGCCAACCAAACGCTGTCCAGCTAATCATGTTGGCGAAGAATTCGATTATGGCTAGTACAAAGAACATGAGGCCAAAGAAGTTACCCGCAGATCGAATACTTGATTCAGTCTTGCAAGGGTTGAGACGGCCGACTGTGTTTCCGAAAATGACCGCTTCCGCCGAAAATGAGCCACCGACAATGCTTGATGCTAATAGCGCAATCAAGATGATAAGAACATACGGTCGGACTAGATGTGAGAGACCACTTATCACTGATGCGAGCGATCTCGCCGATGGAGGGAGCTCTTCTTCCTCGGTGTCGTCGGATTCGCCCTGTGTGAAATCCAAAGGCTGTATCTCTTGCTGAGCTGTATGGTCCGGCTGTTTCTCATCGATGCTGTCACTCGTTCTACTTGATCCGCCACGGTGGTCCTGTAGCAACTCCTGTTCTTCAGCAGATGTTGGCTTAACATTTTGCATTTGCACCAGGCTGGCGTAGGCGCCACCCTGGGCAATCAAAGTGGCATGATCTCCTTCTTCCAGGATTCTGCCTTCTTTCAGGACAATGATCTTGTGAGCGTATCGGACGGTCGCCAACCGATGTGCAACTGTGATCATTGTTCTCCCAGAAGCCACTCTTGAGACTGCAGACTGAATCCGATGTTCACTTGCCGAGTCCAGAGCAGACGTTGCTTCGTCGAGAATGATTATTTCTGGGTTCTTCACCAGGGCCCGCGCAAGAGCAAGCCGTTGCTTTTGACCTCCACTCACAAGTCGGCCACCGGAACCTACTACCGTTCCAAAGTTGTCTTGGAGCGAAGAAATGAAATTGGTAGCATCAGCCAAACTGGCGGCGCGTTGGACGAGTGCAGCAATCTCTGTGACAAGAGGGCCTTGCTTCTGGGCTGCTACGAGTAGGTCCTCGCCATTCCGTACGCATTCTGCGAGGTCCGATAACTCTGGCCCGAGTAATAGTGGTTTCAGTCTCTCATGCTCTGCATGAGGAGAGTTCACCAACCCATGAGCAATGTTTTCAAGAATTGAGCGATTGAAAAGGGCAGGCTCCTGTTGAACCAAGCCAATATGGCCCCTTAGCTGTCGCGTATTCAAGCTCCGCAAGTCTTTCTCATCAAGCAAAACCTGGCCTTCATTTGGATCGTAGAGTCGAGTTAACAACCCAGCTATAGTTGACTTTCCACTGCCGGACATTCCGATGATGGCTGTGTGCTTCTTCGCTGGAATTTCGAGGTCCAGTTCTTTGAGGACATATGTATCTGGCCGTGATGGGTACGCAAAAGAGACCTTCGTAAAAGAGAAAGAACCATTCACTTCGTCTAGGGAGTCGCCATTATCCTCCGAGGTTGCATCGATCGTTGATTGATGCTCCATATCGGCACGGATCTTTTGGAAGGAAGCCGAGGCTGCACCGAACATTTGTATGAAAGGGGCAACTTGACTGAGAACAAGTGTGGCTAGCAAGATCTTAGTAACTTTGACTCCAAAGAGATGAATAGGCCGTACCTTCAACCATGACGAATATCACAGTAAATACTTTGCCCACGGTAGCGCCGGAAGCATCGAGTTGAACAACGCGTGCAATTTGCTTGCTGCCTTGCCAGAAGGCGAGGGCATTTCCGCAGTATGCGATGAGGTACATTACGCCCGACTGTACGCCAGTTGCAAATGCTTTCTTCACGCCTTCGCGTTCCGAAGCCTTTTGATGTTGGGCGAAAATCTTTTCAAGGCGAGAATTGGCACCAAAGGCATGGACAACAACGACGTTGGAGAGTGCTTCTGCCGAAATGGAGGCTGCGGAAGCAGCATGCGTTGAGACCAGCTCCGAGTACTTCTCAATGTAGTGGCTGCCCACAAATGACATGATAAAGTAAGCTGGGAACAGCCACACCAACATGCCTGCCAGCTTTGTATCCTTGATGAAGGCCACGATATATGCCGTCACAAAGAAGGAGACAGCTGATATGCAAATGCCGACCTTCTCGGAGGTTCCAGATCGAATGGTGGAAATGTCGCCGTTGAGGCGAGACGCAACCTCGCCTGGAGTGACATTGTCAAAGAATGAAGGCTCTTGTCGGAGTAGGTTTCTTAGATAGCTCTCTCTTAATCGCTGTGCAAGTCGTGCGCCCGTCAGACTCCAACATGATAAATGAGCATAGATCAAGACGAATTGAGCAATGGCCAAGTATAATATGAGTAGGATTCTGGAGTCAACGTTGCCTTGATAATCGGTCGCATCTCCATTGTGTTCTTGTACATCACACGTTGCTGAGTTGAAATCGTCGATCAGTTGACCAAAGATGATGCCAATCAATGGGAAAGGAACACCAGAAGCAATGGCTGAGAGTGCACCTGTGACCAGAAGTAGATAATCAAGCCTGGTCGGTTCGGCGGAGATGAGCAACTGAATGTAGCGAAACGACTTGCGAAGCAACGACATGTTGCTTCATACCCAGGGACGTTCGAGTACCAAGGTGATCCTGATCAGATCACGGTACTATTGTCCTCGGACTGCAAGAAGTGAGATTTCCAGGAGCTTTCTAGCCGATTGATTCTTTGTGGGATTATCTACTTCTGGTCACAGGTGCACTCTCAGCCATTGCTGCTGTTCGTCCCGAAATCCCTGTCAAAGAAAATTCTGCCGTTGAAAGATCGCGCTAGACAGACAGCTTCTCTCTGTGAAGTCCTGCAGCACTGTGGAGGTGGTATAAGCCCGCCCAGCCCGAGTCTACTTGAGCTTACAGTAGACATCGATTCATTCTTAGGGCGAATACCGTATCGTGACAGCCTGGTACATGGTTGTCTGACAGCGGTGGATATTTCTGGTAATTTTCCGCCTTCAGCTTCGGTTACGAATCGAGCGGGCACAAACAGCCCCAGTGGTTGATGAGCGGGTACCGATATCGGCTTCAGGCTCAGTACCTAGGCCAGCCAGCTCGATCCATCGGTTTGATCGCCAGTACGTGAAAGGAGGCTAGGGACGGGCATGACGAGCAAATCTTGTGTCGGAAAGGGACACAGATGTCGATGATGAGAGATCCAGAAACTGCATGCCGGCTTTGTATCCTTGACTTGGTTGTGTGAAGAACTCAGTCATTGGAAATCCATCGCCGGTTTTGGGCCATAATTTACAGTCCAAAAGCAGCAAGGGTATTGACCTATTCCACGCCAGTGTGCGTTATGGATCGGAGATACTTCTCTCCGGCTGTTTCACTGACTTACAATGCTCTTTGGTACTCGTACGTACCTGAGGTATTCAGGCTCTGCATCCTTTGCATGCTCGAGAGAAATCAGCCATACGAAAATTCAAGCTTATCAGATGGATCCTATATACAACCCTTTAAGGCACTGACTTGATAACGGGCTCGGCAAGGCTTATTCTGCATCAGGGTCAATGAAGCTCCCTGGCCCGAGAACATTTCCTACGGGCAGATTGTTTCTGGTTTGGCAGGTCTGCAAAGGAATGCTCATCTCCACAACCTGTTTGTTCTCTCTGCTGATGCCATATAATGTTCCATCGCCTCCTTGCTTTGGGCTCTTACTTCGGTCCCAGGCTATTCCTTGTCCCGCAATATCTGGTAAGTCTATTGTTGCATCCCAAATGAGGACACTCCCTGAAGATGGGATTTTCACAGTGAATGCAGCACTTGCACCATGGCCAGTAACTTATAGCAAGCCGTCAGGACCAAAGCTGCCACCCGAGTTCGACATTGGCGCGAAATTCTCAGAGACAAACTCCTGTTGGAATATCCATGATTGTGAGATATACTCGAACGAAGATTCTAATCCAGGGGAGAATTGCACGAGCTGTGTGTTCATACTGAGCCCATACGGTTGCGTCTGCCCTTCTTGCACCTGGTCATAGTTGGCAAAGGTTCCGTACCATGTTCCTGTGCTGTCTTGGTCCATCCATGCCAGGCTTCCTTGGGTAACCCCGAAGGAGTAGCTTCGGATATGCTCCATGGTGGTCACATTCCATCCTCGAACGAGGATGTTTCTGGCGAGTGGGGATAATTGGAATGCGGCGCATATAGCGTACCATTGATGACCACGCCCCCATCCAGATGGATGATGGGACCATCAGATCCTCCATACCATTGCATGACGGCTAGTCCAGTTGTCTTATTATGCTTGGTTACGGAGAAGTTATCAATGGAATAAAATGGGTGGCATCGACGGCAACACCTTGGCCCGCATCTGAAGCGTTGAGGGACCTGACTGTGGTGCTAGATATTTGTTGCTCGGAGCCGACGGTGCCGTTGAACGTCGTGTAGCACCGAACGGGCCCAGCACTATGACTGGCAGCTGAAGCACCGAATGCTACAACCGCAAAGAACCCGTTGAGCTTCATATTGGAAATATCGAAGGACTTTTGATCGAATCTTTCGGCCTCAATTGCTCGCGGTCACTCGTGAAAGGAAGTATCTTGATATCATCCAAGACGTGTCGAATATATATACCCATGCATCGCTAACGATATACTTCGTCATTTCCATGATGAGCCATCCACGCATACACGATTGGATTTCCGAGAACTCGGAACACTATAAAAACGCCAAGATGGTCTTTGGCGTCGTATGGAATTTCGAGATACCAGCACGAGCTGACCATATCCTCATATTGATCCAACGGCACAACCCGAGGGAATGCGGGTCGAATGGACAAACAGACTGCTCCACCGAACGGTATTGCCCACGAAGCTTAAGGAATATCCTCAGGTGAAGTGCAGGACAACGATATCAGACTCTCATTGCAGCGCGCAAGTCCGATGAGGAGTCGTTTGACCATGAATAGTGACACACAAGCCACGCCGAAGCGAAGCTGCAGGGACCAGAGGAGAGACGTTTGGATGTAGCGAAGCGGAGACCTGGCAGGAGGGCCTTGAGTGGGACTCGACATATTGAGCGCGAAGAAAATCATTGTCAAGCAAGTATGAGCTGTTGAGAGGGACAGAAGTTCGACCGGCTGGCCGCAAGAACGATCCGTAGTTTTTCATGGGTCTCGACGTACGATTGGTTGACACAAAAGGCTTTGAAGGTATATACCCAAGGTACTCCGTTCCTATATAATATACTTATCGCATTCTGTCATGGTCATACCTCGGAACAACCGCCTTTATCTGTTGTCAATGTGAGCTGCCAGCGACGCGAACTCTCCACGACGGTCGCCAGGGTGGATACATGACGGATTGAAGCAACCACTGATGGCTACGTGTAAGGGACTGAAGTCATACGGGTTGATCTTGACAGAAAGATAGCATTCATGGTCTGTGTAGACGCAAGCGGCCGATATAGCTGAAGATTCAGGTCATCGTACGAAGAGCTTCCGCATACAAGTCATCGGACTTCCTCCTATTAGTTGACCTCCAGTTTGGATCATGCGACAGAACCCTCAAGGTTGGTTCGCCGTCGGTAGGCTTTTGGAACAATTGATCGCCAAAATCGCGACTATTCACCCAGTTGCTTGGACGATGTTTTGGGCCACCCTTCTCACCGGTTGATGCCGAGCTGGTAAACTCTCGAGAATCTATTACTTCTCCGCGTATCTCTGACTCTGCCTGTCCTGACAACGTGGTTGGAAGGATCACGTCCAGTGTCATGGACCTGCTGATTGAATCGTGGTTGACCAGGTCTACCAGCTTGGATAGGATATTCAATTCAAGCTTTAGCTTGACACTGTAGACGAAGGCCTTGATGCTTTCTTGGTAAAGCTGGAGATGCTTGTATTCCAGAACGATCAGTGCAATCTAAGTGCGAACATGTCAGTAATCGCATCAAAGAGGGAGGGTGAACTCACATCCATGCCAATAATGACGACGTTGATGGTGAAAAGCTGCCAGACCAAACTGCGTGAATTGGCTTTGGAGATGACTTTCAGCAAATTGGAAGTTTTCCACAGGTAGAGGCTGGAAATGGACAATTCCTGTATGGTGATGCCCGTCATCTGGATGTGTTCCATGTAGAAATATGCCTCCGAGTATGACGGGTACTTGGAATATGTAGAACCAAAGTCCAAGACAATAGTCGGCACGAGGAAAACGAAACTGCTGACCACGATCATCCATTTGACGCCCGTCAATATTTTAGCACTATCAACGATCAAGCCCAGCCGCGAGTACAGCACGAGAGACTGGCAGACAATCATGCACACCCATCCCACATCAAGCCAGGTTTTACTTAGCCACAAGACACAGAGTTCGAAGTAACCCAGCATCACGCCGATGGTATAGGCAAAGACGCCAAAGTTGCAGAGACTCAGGCTCCAAAAGTATAAGCCTCTCCACCTTTTGAAGGTTGTCAAGATCAACAGCACCATTTCCAGACAATTGTAGAGGGCAAGAGCCACGCAGATGGTGACGATAACCGAAGAAGAATCATATCGGCCGTCGAACGACTGTTTCTTGATCGCGACCGCATAGTGGGTGATGGATTCTCGTTGCGTTATCGCAGGGACGGCCATTTCATGAGGAACTGGCGTGAAGAACACATGGCAATGGCGGACAGAAGCTGTGCATAATTGCCAGAAAGCTTTCCCTTCCTAGTGATCGAGGCGGTTATATGGAAACGAGGTCGAGACGAGGTCAAAAGGTAATGAAGTAAACTGCACCTGATCGTCCACAGGAAAAAGCAACCACACGGAACGGGTTTGCCTTGCCGAGTTGATAACTGGCGCCCGCCTTATCAACTTCAGCCGTCTTCCAGAGCTTCGATTGCAGGCTTCTGTTGCATAAGCGAGTTCCCTCTTATCGGCTGCTCGTCGGTGGTTGGTGAGAGGATGGAAGTCGATGGAGTCAATCCCTGCCATGTTGTAAAGTTCACTCACGTAGATCGGGAGGCTGTGCAAGGCCGAGTCGGCGACAAGATAACAAACCCATACTGCACCGAAGCAGCAGACACTCGCCATTAGTTGAGATGACATTGCATCAATGAAACTCGAACGGAGAGCGAGTCTTGCGTGGGCGAGACGGAGTGCGACACGTGACGCGCACCAAAGGCATCAAAGTTCAAACACTCACAATCTCGCGCTCACTTCTATCACTCTCGTCCCACTGCAAATCTCACTACCTTCGCACTTCGCATCTCCCGCCGCCGATGATGAATACCGTCACTAGCAAATCATCGTTCTTCGACAGGCATCTCGTGTCGTCCCCCGTCAGTAAATAGCTGATCGTCCTCGTTCCAGCAGGGTCATCCATGATGCGAATATCAGCGTGGTGAGACGGGTCTGCCAGAAGGTAGTTGCAGTATTCCTCACAAGACGCTCCCACTTCTATCGTGCCTTTCCACATGAGGCGATGCTCTACGACCATCTTCTGAAGCAAACATGACTGCGGCGTGGTGGCAGGGATTGGGCAGACTGAAGGACACCCTGTATGAGACGACTCCTCGTGAAGGGCTTCATCCCATCCCGGGCAGCAGACCGCTTACTTTCCTCGCTGCGCTTCTTCCACCACTTCTCTACTACCTTGCTCTTCTTCTCCTCGCCCCTTCGCCTCCTCCCTTCGTTGAGCGACCGCTTGTCAAAGTGCTTCGCAACATACTCGCGCTTACCGCAGGGATCCTTTTTTTCCGCCTTCCCCTTGTCTACTATGTGCCTCAAAGCATTGGACTTACCTACCAGCTCGGCCTTGTGGGCCTATATGGCGGATGCCGCGTCCTCGATGCCTTTTTCATCAGTCCCTACCTTTTCGATCACATACCACGCAGAGTAAGATACCAACACAGACCGAGGCTGGTACAAAAAGAGCTAGAGAAGAAAGAGTGGGACAAGGAATGGACAAATGGAGGAATAGACGACCCCTTTCAGCCTGGTGCGAAATCCCTAGTACCCGCTGGAAACAACCTGGACGATGCTGGTGCTTCCGTCTTGAGTGATCGCAGGTCACGACAGAGAGGCAAGGTCCTGACCGATTCCACGATGCGTGTTTTACGGAATTCAATCTCCGGACCAGCTCCTGTTCCTGTCTACGAGACGGCTTCATCCGAGACCGGCTGGCCTACAACTCTCCCGGATCGTGCTGCATGGGCCCTTGAACTTGAACTCTCAATGCGAGGTGTTGGCTTCACCTGGACGACCGCAGACATCAGGCATACCAGGAAGACATGGCTTCCCACTGTATCGAACCGCATTCACAGCATTCTCGTCCATGTCTCTCCTGTTCTGCTGGTGAGCTGGGTTACCATCAGATCCATTTACTCTCGTTATCTTCTACCCATTCAGGATGATTCCTGGGAAGCGTATTCTGCTTACAATCTATTTGACGATCGTCTTCCTATCGTGGTGCAGCTACTACTCACTGGTGCGCTTGGGGCTTTCTTGATGGCTGCCTTTTCTTTTGGACATTCCCTCTTCGCCATCATATTGCACCCACTGCGACCCAATCCAGTGGCCTTTTTCCCACCTCTGTACACGACGAGACCATGGGATGTTACCAGTGTCCGCAAGTTTTGGAGCTTTGGCTGGCATAGGCTGTTTGCTAGACTGTTCCTGGTATATGGTGTCTGGCCAGGGGAGTGGATCGAACGGAAATTGTCAGGGAAAAGTGTCCAGCAGTCAGCAGATGCTGGTAAGGTTATTGGGGCCTTCCTGAGCAGTGCATTCGTCCACAGTTTTGCCGTCCGGGGAGTACTGGCTGGGGATTGGGTGATGGCTACCGGTGAAGCGAAGTTCTTTACTTTGAACGGGATTGCGGTTGTAATAGAGGGTGCCGTGGTTCGCGCTGTCAAGAAAAGAAGACAACTTAGAGGCACGCCTGGGCGGATGTGGTACGATCCAATTGTGGGAAGAGTCTGGTGGGTGACTGTTATCTTGTGGACTGGTAGAAGCTTCGCCAGGGGTTGGGTCAAGTCGAGCCTGGTTCGAGAAATGTCTTTCTTGTGAATGTCACAGCATTGGCCGACTGCAATCATCTAGCTTTGTTTTCGGCCTCCCTTCAGAACACGATTCGCCGCCACGGGTTGTTTTGTCTTTAGCCACCTTGTCGTCATGGCAGGAAGGTATCTGACAAATGCATCGGACAATCGTGCAAAGAGTACAGCTTCGGAAGCCATTGAGTTGCCCAGTACGGGTGCACCTGGATACCCACTGCTGCCACGATTGCCTTTACGGCGAGTACCATGATGGTGGTCAGCCTTTGCACATAGTATGCTGGCACTGACCAGAGGACGAGAAGAAAGAACCCTCGGGTTATTGCCGTTGAATTCCAGAGATTCACACGCGCGAGCATTTGTTTCACCAATTGTGGACTGGCCCCGGGTCCTTGCTGCCGGTACCATACTGCCCAATGTGGGTAAAACCACCATTTGAGCAATACTCCATTGTCGAACAAGAAGAATCCGACCGCCGACAAAGCCCACAAGAGAACACTGTGTGGGATACTCAGGAACGAGTTTTCAAACGCGCAGATCGACACAGTACACAGGACAATGCTTGCCATATGAATGTTGAAGAGAATGAGAACAATCCAAGGTAGCTTGGGCTCGCAGCCAATGCGGCGAGCCACACTTTCCAGGAAGGCATTATAGTCCACCAACGTGTTGAGGTCAGGGCTCAAGAAATAGTATTCGCGCTCGGCTCTTGCGTCGATTTGTGCTCGAGCCCTGTAGTCGATGGGAAGTCTCCTGTCCCCGGTAAGCAGCAGAGCGATATAGCGGCTCAGGATCTCTGCCATCACCGGAATGCCACCTTGATGAGGTCTCGTATAGCCCACGAAGAAGAGACAGTGACCCAGTTTTGGTGGAAAGCAATGCAGAAACCATGACCGCGGGTTGAATGAAAAGCAGAACTCCTCCGAGAGCCGAATCCAGGGGAATTGTACTCCGTACCCAGTACAAAGTACTATCGCATCAAACTCTCTGGTCTCCGTTGTGCCATCGTGCATTTCAAAGGTACAATATCTCCCTGCCGACGAAATGTTGCGACTGACTATCACTCCAATTTTTCCGTCGTGTAATGCTTCACACATACGCTGGTTCTTGGTGACATACGTCGCTTGATCATTACGGATGAAGGCTGATTTGGTGGAGTCCAAGCACATGCGCGACAAGGTGTTGTTAAGTACCGGAGCATGCCATAAGAGTCTTCGGAAAAGACCATACATGAACACATTCTGCCCTGCACTCATCCTCGACGTTGTTGCTGCCTCGAGAAATCCGTTGGCAGGAAAGTCGGTCGTCTGGTTCCTTCGAATCTGTTCCAATTCATTACGGTTGTTGAGGTAACGTGGACCAACACAGAGTGGCCGTCGCAGCCAAACGCTCACATTGGGAGATACCTCACCTAGTTCGGCTGCAATATCCGCACCACTTTCTCCTCCCCCGACCACCAGGACCCTCTGCAACTTGTTTGCGACAGACCTTTTAAACTCTTCGCCGTACTGGAACGAGTGGATCATACGACCATTGAATCCACCGAGTTCAGGAGGTATTGGCTTCGGACATTGACTAGCACCTGTGGCCACGATCAGAGCATCTACTTCGATGCTGACGTCGGTCACTCCTTCATCGGATGATCGCTGGACATGCAGAGACCATGAGCCTTCGGGACTCAACTTTGCAGCAGCGACACTAGCCCGGTATTGAATGTGACGCTCGAGGTCGAAGTGGTCTGTATAGGCTTGCAAATATCTAAGATACTCTTCCGCCGTTGGATACTGCAGCCTTGAAGGATCGGGAAAGTCAGAGAACGCCATTGCCCAATTTGTGATGGTGAGGTGAAGATTCGGGTATGCTGCAGCACTGGCGAAAACACCCCCTAACCTGTCTGTTCGCTCGTAGATCGTGGCATCGTGACCCTGTTCAAGCATCTCCTTCAATGCGACCAGACCGCATGGCCCAGCTCCCACAACCACCACACGCTTCGTGGTCTTGGTTGACATTTCTGCTATGTTTCTTGGATCAATCACCCGCGGCCTCTAGTCGCTCACCTGGACTTTTTGTTTACTGGCGGCCAGGTCTACCATGGCAAATCTGGTATTTGAAATCATTTGACTAAAAAGCACTGCCTCGCCATCAGACCGGACACTCGCCGACCAGCCGGACACTTTCCGAAAACTCTATGCAACCTGTGTCTATCCACTTACGACAAGAGGACTGGATTTAAATCACGGCAAGTACCCGATCTTTGCCAAATTGGCAGGATTACCAGTTTGACTTTTTTTTAGATCTAGATACCATCATGCACTGAGTTTGCTTGGCTCCCTGATATGGCATTCTGGCCCGATCTAGCCTCGTTCTCTATGCTTCTTGGCTGTAAATGTAACATGCCTGGACGCCGCGGGGTCGATCTATGAACCGATACATCATGGAAGTGCTTCTTCTGGTCATTGCTGCTTCTCTTTCCTGGTTCTTAACCTGATATTGAACCTGTTTCCATTAATGCAAGATCTATTTCGGGCTCATGAGGTTTCCAAGGACGTATGGCGGCACCATCTCCTAGCTCTGTGAATGAGCTTCGAAGAATTCTTAGATTGCTTTCAACAGCTGTTGAAACCCTGATTGATGACCGAGATAGGGTTAATCGAGAAGAGATCGACGGCCATGGAACACCCCATATTACTGGCTTACAATCACGCACGCAATACGACGCCGTCAAAGTCATACGCTCGGCGGTGGGCTCGTTGGAGAGCCTGATCGTTGATCCATATAACGTCCTGCTGGACTTCTCTATGTCTTATTTGCAATCTAGAGCATTGCATATTGCTGCAGAGAATGATATTGCTGCAAAACTCGCGGAATCTGGCCCAGAAGGACTCTGCAGCAGCGAGCTTGCCCGAATAACCGGTATCCAAGATGAAAAACTGCGTACTGTCCCAGAGGTTCCTCGATTAGGAGCCGAAGCTTATGAGTTGTAGGTAGAATCATGCGGGTGTTGGTTTCGAATCATATCTTTGCAGAGGTCAAGGACGATCATTTTGTGAACAACCACATATCGCAAGTTTTGGCAAATGATATCGAATTCCGGGCTTTGATTGTCACAAGGTACAAAAATAGATATTTTGATATCAGGGCGAATGTTGATCTTATGTAGAGGCCAGATTCAATACGCAGCCAGCGACTTCCTTCCAAACGCTCTGTCCAAAGCTTCAAAACACGCTGCAGACAGGCCAAGCCCGAACGCATTTCAGCTGGCAGCAAGAACAAAGTTGCCTTTCTTTGAATGGCTACACCAAATGCTACCGGAGCGTGACGTGGACTGGCGTTTTCCAAACCCCGAGCAGTATCAACAATACTACGTGGGGAGTGAACATGTGAGCTCGAATGATGTTGTGATAGCTCGTCCTGAGAAAGCGTTGTTCAACGTTGCAATGGGGGGACTGGGCCAGACTCACGACCAGTGTTGCATCGAAGGCTACCCGTGGCTTGATTTGGCTGACAAAGCCACCATCGTTGATGTGGGAGGTGGAATCGGTGAGATCGAACAACCCGAGATGTGCCTTTCGATAGATTGACCCTTGTCCAGGAATGTTCTGTATGCGACTGCATTCCGTGCATCCAAAATTCAACATCGTGGTTCAAGACAAGGCACCTGTCATAGAACACGCAGTCAGCGTATGGAAAGACAAATGTCCCGATGCGATCGCCTTGGGTACAGCAAAATTGATGGCTCATGACTTCTTTCAAAGAAATCCTGTCTACGGCAGATATATACTGGCTACGACACATCCTGTACGTTGAGACTGCTGAAGAATATTGGAACTGTCCTAACAAGTAATCTTGCCAGGCATGACTGGCCGGATGAACAGGCAGCTGCTATACTGTCCAACATCCGTGAATCGATGACCTCGAGCTCCTCGTTACTCATTGCTGAGATCTTGATGGTCAGTACGCTGGGCAGTGACAAGGTTCGCGCAGCTCCTCAACCGCTCCTGGCTAATTACGGTCGTGCTATGAATACCGCACTCGCCATGGATCTCAACATGATGACAATGACCGAAGGAAAAGAAAGGAGTCCGGAAGATTTCGACCAGATTGTCCGAGCGTCTGGGCTTAGGATTGTGAAAATTTGGGAGTGTCGTGGGCTGTTGAGTATCATAGAGTGTCAGAGGGATTCATCATCCTCATCCGAGACAAAGCATATGTATTGATCGGACTCGGTTGCCTTGACCAATGGTGAAGGCAGCCCCGATGATGCGGCAAGGCTACAGGTATCTCCAAGAAGCATACAAGTGTCAAGATATCGGCCCATGCAGAAATCGATTTCTATCTGTTTTAATGATGGGCCACCATCTAGTATCGACCATGCAATCCATCGACAGAGGGCGCCCTCTGTCGCAAAATTTGGCCGATGAACCCTGGTTCCTCATATCAATGGTGGGCAGTAGGCCTTCTGAGAATTAGGAATGAGGTTCCACCATCAGTTTTGACGACCATTCTTCCCATGTCTTGATTGTAATATGCTTCTCTGGAAATCCAAGTACGAAATATAGTAAGCAGCACAGCTCAGTAGGCATCATTTTGCTGCTGCATGGAGGGCCGAGGCTGTCCCCACTACAACGGGGGCCGAGCATAAATAGTCCGCTCGTACAGTCTGGGGAGTGAGCACAAGGTTGCATTACAAGTGCACTCTACGTAAAAATAAAATTACCTTGGCAATCGATCAGACACTGAATTTGAATTTCTGGCTTCTGCCTCTAAGAAAATTCCAACGAGTGTAGTAGACGCAATTGCTGTCAGCTGTCTTTATCTCAACATCAGGCCTGGCTTCACATGCGATGACACAGGCATCCAAGGTCACCGTCCTCGGCGACGGGCAAGTAGAGATTGCGACACCGCGTCTCCTCTTGCGCGCGGCCCGAGAAAATGACGTCGACTCCTTGCACGAGGCGTTTTCGAATCCGGAGGTCATGAGGTACTGGTATGTTAGTTCTAATCGCGCCTATCCTCGTTTAGTCAAGATGTCTACGAGGGCGGGTGTGGATGGTCTTGACTGTGACCGAGGCTCACTGGTATGCTGTAGGAGCACTACTCCACACCCTTCAAAGACAGAAACTGTCGAGTGGCTATCGAAGATGATATCGTCGCCTCAGAACGGCGTCACGGACTTTGTGATTGCTCTACCTACCAGTCATGCCATTGGCAAGATCGGAGTCTGGCAAGACAGCGAAATTGGTTTCCTTCTTTCACGACAAAGCTGGGGGAAGGGATTTGCACGAGAAGCTATGCTTGGGATATTGGAGTATCTATTCGTGGATCGAGGCTTGGTGGAGATCACGGCCGACATAGATCCACGAAATCGTCGGAGTGTATCGGTTCTCGAGAGTATGGGATTTGTGAAGACCGGATTCAAGGAGAAGACATGGGAAGTTGGCGGCGAGTGGGTTGATAGCGTCTACTACGGCCTGGCAAGGACAGCATGGGAGCAAAACAAAACTGTGTCTGGACGGTAGCCATCGGTCTATCGGTGTTAATTACTGGAGTCCGCAAGAATCTAAAATTACCGACACACCTACTCCAGTTCGTCTATCCCGCCATGCAGGACAGGGTGAAAGGTTCTCAACTCTTGCAGAACCGCACAGACTCTCTCAGCGACCAAAATGTCCCTTGAATCGTTGGTGGACGCCGCTCACTCATGATGTCGCTTGCTCCAGAATGCCGCAGCACCCAGCGTACTCCGAAACACTTTCCACCCTGTGGATAGATTCTAGTGGCGATCGCCGTCCTGCTGTTGACGAAGACCTCGAGCACACTGGCGTCGAAGAAGACGTGTAGGTCCAAGGTTTCCGATGTTCCATTGGCGAAGGAGAAAAGCGTATGCTTCGCTCTTTCTGGGGACGTGTTGATTCCGGGATCTGTTGTAGATCGACCTCGGTCTATTGTTACGATCTCCTCGACGGGAGAGAAGAGAATTGAGGTAAAAGTTGCAAAGTCTGCACTCACATCAGTGTCTGTGGCACAATGTTGGCGGGTTCTATACTCATCCTTACCTTCGTCATGAGCGATCTCCATCCCGACGATGGCAGACTCCTCAACCCCAAAGCTTCCTTCAAACTCCCACTGCCTCTTCATGCCCTCTTCAAACCAGACCACTTGATCTGTGGACCTGGTGTGAAGTTCATGGTTTCTCAGCAGGGACAATCTCGGATCGGGTGAAATGCCTAGAACCTTTAGGTTATAAATGCCATTAGCTTCCAAAGAGCCAACACAGCCAATATCGCAGATCCTACTCCTGAGGGCACCAGTGACATTGTGCAGGGATCTCATGGAAATGGCCCGTGGAACGGATAGACATCCGCTCCAGCCTTGCTGCGCAACCCGCCCTGACGACAGATCTTCTTCAAAGATCCACCCAAAAGTCACAAAATTGCCAGTGACAGGGTCTTGGAAGCCGTTGGAGGCGTAGTAACAGCCATGATCGAAGTATCCGCCAAAATCGTAATGCATTCGTACGCCGCCTTCTTGTTGACCTAACGAGCCAGACATCCACATTTGTTTATGCTCTTTGATCAGCTCACTTCGTTCTTGGCCTTCAGAGGAGTTTCTAACGCCCTCGACACCAACAATCAAGATTGAGTATGCGGTGCCATCCGAGTCTACCAAGTCGACAAAGTTCGCAACTTCCCAGTTGACACCGAAGTCTCCTGACCAAGGCGATGGTGAGAAGTTGACAGAGATGTCGTTCATCGGGCCTAAATACTCCCATCTAGTGATGTCCATTTTATCTAGCTCGTATAGAAACACCGTTGGCGATCGTTGGTGTATCGATCCCGAGATGATGCCGTACAATCCAGGTTTTGAGTCATTTTTGCCCAAGGCTCTGTCCAACGCTTTCCATGGTGCCACGAAAGGGTCTCGCCAGCCTCTGACGGACGATCCAAGGTCTGTGGGAGGTTCAGAGAGAATGGTGTTGTTTGCTGTCCTGATCCATGAACGGCCGTTGTCGGTAGATATCGCCAGATGAAGCTGCTCGCTTCCACGGGTGTAAGGTTGCTTGTATGTTATAGGCAGTTTCTGAGCAGACGTGTAGAATGCCACTGTGGTTGAACGGTCACTGTCGGTGGCTTCGGAGGTATCGTTTGAGGCATGGCCCCTTTGCAGCATGCATCCCGTGAAAACGCCACACCGGTCCATGGTTTTCGTAGGCTCCATGGCTGGACTGTCAGAGACATCCCAGTTCACAAAATCGAGGGACAATGCAGACCCCCAAGACATGTTCCCCCATTTGTAGTCATAAGGATTCCACTGAAAGCCCAACGAGTAGATTCCTCTTTGGGGATCGTAGCCCGGAGCGCAGGGGTCATTGAGCCATCCACGGGGAGCAATGAGATGAAAGCCTGGTCGCCATCTGCGGAAGCCAGCTTCTGAACGCGGCGTTGAAGGCCTGGAGCTGAATGCGCTTGACGTTGCAGTTGTCCCAAATTCCTGATCAGATAACTCGGTGCTTCTTACTGAACTCGCTGTGTTAGCGTAGTCATCTACTGTGTTGGGTGAAGGAGTAGAATTGCTGATTGCACTTTCATCCAGAGATGAAGGTTGTTCGACAGCGCTCATAACTGCCTACTTTCTGAGGCTTCGGGTGCCTGATTCGACTTATAACTGGCTCACTCAGACAGACCACTGCTTCAACGAGTGAGAATGCACCTGACCTTCGAATAGTGGCCGCAGGAGAAGTTTTGGAACATGGCGAACGAACGTAGAATGCCCGTCTGTTTAGACTAAATGCCGGCGATTTGAGCTCGCTTGGAGGTTGGCAATCATGAGCATACAACACAAATTACACGGGATGGCTCACCGAGATACCAGTCCATTTGCACAGTGGTCGGAAGGTCGTCGGACGCGCTCGGGCTGACTCGGCAGACTGGGGCCAAACTTTGACATCCTTGCGGACATCGTGGGGCCCCTGGAGTTCGTTCGGTCACTCACGGACCCGGCCTCTCAATAATGTGGGAGTGTGACCTAGATGCCACGCCACTAAGTAACTAACTAGTGGCTGTAGTGTGGCTGTCGTGGGATGACGGATTTGCTGTCCTTCTGCCCTCCATGGTGTCTTGATCCATCAGTGTGCTGATTCGTAGGCCCGTCGCAGCGCAGTGGTACACGGATGCTCATCGCCTCCTAGTCGACAGAGAAGCTCCAGATATCGGTCGAGAACCATTTGTGAATTCTGGGTACTGATTTGTGTCGATGTCGCAGCGTAAAATTGCAAGCTCATTAGTACACCCATCGCAAGGTCATGGAGACGTTCAATCTGCGGATGTCAGTAACATGTTGGCGCATCGTAAGGCACCTATTACTGCGTACCATTCCATTGCCGTGTACTTCAAGAACAAAGTCCCCGACACGGTTACACTCGTCCAGCACGCGATCTGCTATCACTGTCGCATAAGACGGTTGCATGAAAGTCAAAGAGGAGCTTTCTGACAGCGCATCGTGTGTCAAACAAGCCGTCCACAGCCTCATGAGCAGCCATTGCTGGAGGACATAGCAGTCACCCCATTGCACGTCTGTCAGAAATGGTGGTTGGGAGTCGGACTTTGGGTTGTTCGCTTTAGAACTAACTGGCCTGAGGTTATTACGAAGAACGCGGTCCTCGGCTGGCGAGTGAAGGGCAGCTTCGATGGCCTTGAAGACCCTTTGTACTCGGTCAACGGTGAGTCTATCACAGTTGGACAATGATGGTGAACAGCTGTTATTCCAGCAGGGGATGACTTGCTCGTCGACAGAATCAAATAGTTTCATAAGCTGTTGTAGACCCAGCATTGTTGATAGCACACTGTCATCATGGATTGTGATTCCACCTGCTGACTTGTGTTCTATTTTCTGCACGTCTTGGTATATATCGGCCATTCTCTCCGAAGTTTGACCCGTGAAACTGATATCGTGGTTTCTCTGCAGGGCGTAGCCACTAAACATCCCTATCAGCTTCGGCTTTTAAGCAATGGCGCGTCATGTATGTATCAACGTGCGAGACTCACCGTTCGGTCACCGAAAGTATGAGGAATATGCGGAGCCTTTGCCCTCTTTCAATCGGGCTGTATTGTTTATAGGTTTCAGGCTTATGCACTCCAAGAAGACGCCCACATTCGACTGCTTCTCTTAATCGCAACCATGCTGCCCTCTGAAAACCCATGGCAAACAGAGCGGCAAACCATGGGGTGATCAGTCTCACCCATCTCATAACCGAACGAAATGATACGTACCATGAAGAAGCTTGTGACTGTGGTGGTCTCGAGATTCTGCTGTTCGCCAAAGTCATAGCTCGTTCTCAGATTCGCGGCCGAAGCCAGCATATCCTTTGCAAGACATGTCCGCGCCGCCATGGAGTTTCGTTCCTTTCGATACACTGGTCCAACCACGGCGAGTGAGCACAAGCCAAGAATCATGGCAGCGAAATCCTTGTCCGTGTGGTGCCTCCGGAGCATGAAGTCACGATAGAGACCTTTATCGACAATGGGGAGCGTTGCATGCAATCTCTCAAAAAATACTTCAAGCCATTGCAAGATGTCTTTCTCATCATACTGGAGCGGCCATTTGCTCGATGTGACAGTAGATTGCGGTGAGTGCAGGCTGGTTTCAATGCCTAACGGGCTTTGCGGAGACGTGTGACTGCCAATAGCAGTTGCAGCAACTGTGTACGAGTTAAGTCGCTCTACATGGTCGAGCGACTGCTGAGGGACCATTGCTGGTACATCCGAGGAGAGAAAGCAATCTGGCGTTGGTTGGCCCCACGCCGGAGCGCGGTCGATTGTGACGGCAACGTGGTTCAGGCTATCATTGCCCAGATCGAGGATGACTGTATCTCCGGGCCTATGGCTAGCGTCTGACTGATTTCCCTGAGTATCGGCCGAACCTGTGTAAAGAAGATTTGTGATTGACTCTTCTGCATCAGGTGATGAAAGGGAGACGCTGGAAGATGTTCGGAAGGTTGGTGGCTCTCTTTGTGAGCTTCCGGCCTCTTGGAGGTCTTCATCATCGAGAGTATGAGCTTGCGCAAAGTCTTGCGTCCCGCGAAGCAGTTCCACTCGTCTGCAAACTACGTTAGGCGGTCTGTTCGGCTTGAGAAGGTCATAGCATGCCTTCCCCGGGTTACCCTCGGAACCCTGTTGTGCGCGAAGGAACAACCGAACTTCATTCTCAGACATCTTGAACAAGGGTGGCTCCCATCGCACTGAAGATGAATTAGCCTCATGCAAAAGGTGAGTACTTAGGCAGATATACCTTCATCTTACGAAAGCGACATTGATCGCATGCGAACTTTGTCCGGCTCTCGCCTAAAGCCATCCTAACAACGTCCCAACTATCTGGAAGGGCTCTGTACCACGCATATCACAGCTTTTGTTGTGCCTTCATGACCACGCCTCGTAATATTTGGTATGCACTGCGCCAGGAGCCGAGAAGCGAGGGTTCTCAGTTGAAGAGGGTTGGACACGAAGGAAGCCTTGTGAAATTGCTGAAAGCGTTTAGATATTGGCACGGTTAGCGTCAAGCTGTAACCTGACGTTGTGGCTAAGACAGGCGTACTCAAGTGAAATTTTCAGCTAGAAGACCGCTTTGATAGACGTCCCAGGTCAACCCCGCCGTGGTCGGATGTGGGGATCGGGTGGCTCAGAAGGCTCGCGGAGGCAACCAAACTAAACAACTACTCGCGTGAATCTCTCCTGAGTTATACCATCTGCACGGCCTATGCTGCAGTCTGTTGCGACCAAATCTTCAGCATTTTCAATCACGAGTCTGTCGCTTTTTGTGTGGGCTCAAGAAGCGGCAGAGAAATATCACGTAGCCTCAGCGGTTTTGTCGCCATCTCACTTTCGATTTCTACCGCAGTTGACACGAAGCTGGACGCTGCTCACGGCAATACTCAACTACCCGGCTGTGAAGAACAGGAGAAATGAATGTGGGTAGACGGAGGGAAACGCTTGCGATGTGTCCCTCGCTCGTGTCTAGGCACAATCTCGTTGTTGTTCTACCCGCATATGCGGGAAGGATATGCCGCGTGGTTCGTCTGAAATCCCCAGTCTATTAGTCTCATGTGGCAAATGAGCAGATACTGAGGGTTCTGGGGTAAATTCGACAAGGTGTGCAATCGTCCAAGTAGTGGGTCAATCGATGGATCTCTTGACCATCCGAGCACAAGCCGAGCATACCTATTCCGGGGAGAGCGTCTAAATGGAACTGGCCTGTTGAACTGGCCTGTTGAACTGGCTAATATCAAGCCAGACACTACAAGTATTCCGAGGTGTCAGCGAAAGCAACTTTGATCAATGCAAAATGAAGTAGAAATCTATCATTACGCTTCTGGATACCATCAATTTTGAAATCTCGCCAACAGCACCTAGAAAAGACAAAAGAACTTGTCCGATCAGGGTGGTGCTGGCGCAGGGTTTTATCAATACTCTGACTACTCGAAAGTCTGAGCATGGCGTCAGAAGTATTCGTCCATCCTGCACTTGGTACTCTTGTGGGTATATCGAGGGGCGACGACATCGTACAATTTCGCGGTATCCCGTACGCTGAGGTCCCTGCCCGTTTCCGCCAGAGTATATTGCGGCCACGACTTCCCAAAGAGCCCTTCGACGCGCGTCAGCCAGGACCTTCATGCCCCCAGACAACAACCCTTCCCTTTCCCCAGTATTGGACGGGACCGTTGCCCCCGGATGGAGTGAAGCTTGATCGGCCTAAGACAGACGAGTTCAACTGCTTGAATCTCAACCTCACGATACCGCGTGCGGGGATAATAGGTACCCAGAAGCTTCCTGTACTGGTTTACATCCATGGAGGCGGGTTCATGGTGGGCTCATGTAGCGCGCAAATAGCTGGCAGGGAGGTATGGGATGCCACAGACCTTGTTCGCCGCAGCTTGACCACTGGAAAGCCCATAATCGTGGTCAGCATCAACTACCGCCATGGTCCACTGGGATTCCTCGCATCGAATGAGCTGACTGAATTCAATCGACAGCACGGTGAAGCAGTGGGAAATTACGGACTTCACGATCAGAGACAAGCGCTGGAATGGGTTTCAAGGTTTATAACTGGGTTTGGAGGAGATGCTGACAACGTCACGATCGATGGCGGCAGTGCCGGTGCTGTCTCCTGCCACTTTCAAACATTCTTCCCACATCGAAAGTTCAAGCGTGCAATGCTGTTCAGTGGTACTTGTCTCGCTCTAGCGGCCATGCGACTTGAATGGCATCAAAAAATCTTCAACACGTTCGCTCAGAGATTCCCTGGAGCCGGAAGTCCCGTGGAGCGTCTCCAGAAAGTCTCTCCCGATGTTCTGACGCATGATGTCGTTGGAGTCTGGTACACTCCCCTTATTGACGGAGAATGGATAGCAGGCCGAACGCTTGCAGAACTCAAGAGCATCGAAGTCCCTCCAGAGTTTCTCATCGGCTCCTGTTCTTTCGAACAAGACCTTACTCTAAGCATATTACGCCCGCCGCCAATATTGTCTCCTACAGACGCAGACAAATTCATGCGGACAACTATAATCTCTATACTCTCTACCCTCGGCCTCACGACATATCCAGACACTCTTCTTTCACAAAAGGTGCTAGAGCTCTACAGTATTGCGGAGAGCGAGAGTAGCCCAACCAAGCAGTTCGCGGCCTGGGCTCAATTTGTTGCCGAGTTGGTATTCAGAATCCCACCGTATCATGTGGCCCTCAACCACACCGGTAGCAAGACATACGTTTATGAGTTCCAGGCAACATCGCCATTTCCAGGCTGGGACCTCGGGTTTGGCAAAGCAGGCCACGCGGTCAATGAATTATTACAATTCAACGCGGGGGGAGATCTGGTCGAACAAAAGCACCAAGCGGCACTCAGCGGTGCTGTTCAGGAGTTACAAGACGTAGTGGTTAACTTTTGTCAGGGTCAACTGCGGTGGGAGCCGTTCGATACGTACAATAAGGAGAGATTGGGTCCCGTTTATACACTTACGAACTATGGACGGGGAAGAAAATACGGGAGCATTGGCGATGTTGTTGGACTCGATGTTTTGGGGAGATGGAAGGCCATATTAGAAGTATCTGAGAGATAAACATGGTATCTGGCGATACTTATCGGTAGATTTCAATACAGCTTGTCATCTACTCTCAGACTGTTGAACGGATCTTGCAACTGCTTTCTTTAGCTCCTACGATGACTGTATGACGAGTTCTTTTAAAGGACATGCCCGAATCTATAATCGGCTGTGCTGTTCAAGACCAGGACACGCAAATAACTCCACATGCAACATTCATGAATACCCGGTAGGGTACCAAACCCACACAGGGCGCACATGTATTTTGAGAATCTCGGGTCTCGGCCTCGTCAACCAATACTTAATAAGTTTCATCTAGAGGCGTGGACTGTCTGTAACCCCCAAATTATTGGCTTTGTATTGGGCGCACGGAAGCATCTCGGATGCTGCTCGGTACATGCGGAGCTCACTTTTCGCTCATCGCCAGGAATCTGGGGCTCCAGCTCACCCACATTTTCCTTTCACACCTCCATCCACCAAGCGATATTTTGCAATTTTCACAAACCTGCTCCGTATACTAGGCCGAGCTCATTCCGACTGCCTGAGTGTGGTTTCACTTTGGAGAGGCTGCTCTGGCCAAGTGGTTGCTTCGGTCATGGAGATACATAAAGACCCCTGATCAACCCATGTGGAGTGGGAGTTCCCAGACCATAAGCTTCTTTAAACTCCAAAGACGTTAATTAATATTTGTGTATCCTCCCTGCGCAAGGCGATTCTTGACCATGGACAAGAAGATATCCCCAGAAATCCAGCATGTCGACGAATATGGTCGCAATGTTGTCTTGTCATCTGAGACGGCGTCGGAGAAAGTGTGGAATCCTTTGCTTATTCTGTCTTGTGTTGCATTTGGCTGCACGTCTATCCTCTTCGGCTTCGATGACAAGGTTATCTCACCAGTTGCCGCCATGGAGCAATTTGTAAGAGCTGCCCGATCTTGCAGTGTGGTATCTTGCCCCTTGCAATGATGCTGATTCAACAATCGCAGGTCGAAAAGTTCCAAGGTGGTGATTCCAGCACAGGGGCCCTTGTCTTGACTGCCAGAAACCAAGATCTTGTCTTTTGCCTGCCTTTAGTAGGAGCAATTCTTGGTGCTATAGCAGCATCGCCCTTGACCTCACGATTTGGCCGGAAGTGGGTTGTAGTGGGTGTTTACTCGCTCTCTTATGCTGGCACTGTAAGTTTTCCTGGCGTTTGCCCTTGCTGTGGATATCAATTGATATCTTTCTCTCCCGTCAACCCCTCCATGAAGCTCATACGTATGTCAGTTCTTACAAACCTTCGCACCGGTTCTGGGAGCATTTGTTGTTGGCCGCTTCTTCAACGCCATCATGATCGCAATCGGGACGACAGTCTCATTGCTATATCTCTCGGAAATCGTCCCCGCCAAGTATCGAGGCTTCGCAGTGACGTCCAGCAACATTTTCAACCTGATAGCCGGTGTGATCGCGACCGTTGTCTGCAACGCCACATATACACGATCCGGCAGCTCCTCTTTCCGGATCCCTCTCGCAGCTCAAGCAATCATGCCCACCATTCTGATTCCACTGACCATCTGCATTCCGGAGTCTCCACTATGGCTACTGGGCAAAGGTCGCGAAGAAGAAGCTCGTGCCAACCTGAGGAAGATTCGTGCTTTTGGTGACATACTGGTCGACGATGAGCTCCGGGTTATGAAGCTCGCCCTGCACGAAGAACGAGAACTCTCATCTGGAGTTAAGGTAACTGACCTGTTCACCAGGGCCAACATCAAACGTACTATTGTTGCCGGATCTATGTACTCAGTCAACCAGGTTTCTGGGGTCATTCTCTCGACAACCTACGCTACAGTTTTCCTTACAGCGCTCGGTGTCGGCAATCCATTCCAATTGACGGTTGCCGCATCATGCTGTACTCTTGCAGGTACCTTGATTGCACCACTGATTGTTGATCGAGTCGGCCGCCGAACCATCGCAATCGGGGGCTTGAGTGTGCTGTTGACCATTGATTTCATTGCCGGTGGATTGGCTTTCAAAGCACATGAGTCGACCTATGCCCTGGGTATTGCTGCGCTGTCTTTCATCTTCAACGCCTTCTGGGGCGCCTCGTTCTACTGCTTGTCTGTTACTCTTCCCACAGAAATTCCTACCGCAAGACTCCGGAACATGACGACTTCATACGCTTTGGCGTGTGCCTACACAACCGCCGTTATCACTACCTTCGCTGTTCCTCAACTTGTCTCTGCGGATGCAGCCAATCTCGGAGCGAAAACCTATCTAGTTTTTGGCGGTTGTGTTGTCTGCATCTTGATCTTCTACTATCTGTTCCTGCCCGAGACTGCCGGCCGAACGTTTGCGGAAATTGACGAAATGTATGAGCACAACGTCCCAGTGCGCACGTGGAGGAAGTATCAGACATCAGCCGCTGCACGTCAAGCCGTCGTGGTGAAGACTTCAGTTGATATTGTCACCAAGGCTGACGAAAAGGATGAGGCGGCAGAAAGCCGATTGTAATCTATTGCCTGCAACAAGATGTCTTGATTGCTGGCTTCAGATGTAAGTCAGGTCATGGTAGCCTACGCCGTTACAAGACGATCTCGGTGGTATCCCAGGTAGAGAAGTCTGATTGATCTCAAATCTGAAGAGAGGTGGTGAACGGCAATGTGGAAGACACCACAAGGTTAGAGCATCGCCGAAGAGATCTACATAGTTTTTGGAGATTGACTTTCATGGGGTTTATCTAACTTTATCATTTGGATCGAATGTTTCCTTTGATCGCCCAGATCTGGTGTTGCGCGCAGAGAGAAAGGCAAAGAGGTCGAAATCGATCTTTGGTAGGTAAACTGAGAACTTTCTTGCATTGTGCGAAGGATTGCCGACGAGTGGAGTGCCTTTACGTGAGTAAAATGTGCAAGTAACACCTAGTCAATATCTGCTGTCAGTAGTGCATGAACAGCCTCGAGGAGGATAGTTCGAGGCTCCCGGAAGTGCATACCCGAACTCGAATGCATCTACCATAATGCAATAATAAAGTTTCCTCGTGGCAGCTGTGGTGAGCACGGACTGTTATCACTTTTGTGCACAGATCCGGCCTCTGATCGTTCTAGAACTCGTTCGCGTGTCTGGCTAGCTGCTCCGGACTATTCCGATGCCAAAGGACATAGTTCACCGGGCACTCATCAAAGTGTCGCACAAATCAAGAGTGTGAGGAAACTTTTGCTTCCTGAAGCCCAACGCATTTATTTTATTGACCAGATTTGAATGAAGGCGTCAGGACGGAAACCTTGAGAGTGCGTAGCTCCTGCACATACTAATTTACTTGAATCCTCACCCGAACGATTAGCGGTTGGTGAGGTATAACTGAAGTAGCCCCCTATGGCGACCCATACTCTTCGAGCTCTATATTACCTGTTTACTGTCTACACAGTGACAAAATGCAACAGAATCTCTATTGCCTCTTGAAAGCTCGGATCGCCAACGGGAATCTTTTCACCTAGGGAAATGAAAGCTGCCCACACTCTTCGTCGCATAAAACCGGCCGTCCGTGCGCTGAGACCGTTGAAGAGCGAGTGTGCGACTCTCGCTTCTCCGGTTTACGTGCACCATGCACCTATCTGCGAGCCGTACCGTAACCACGAGGCATTCAGCGAATGGCAAGGGGTTTCCGACTCAACTTGCCAGAAGCGGCTGCTTGATCTCTGGCTACCTTCCGGTTGCAGAGTCCCGGAGCATCTGCTAGAGCCCAGATTGCCCACAGCCATGTTGTAGTGTCCAGTCCATGCATCGATAATTGGTCGACCCAGCTTCTCGGAACGTCCACTCCAGGCGCGATGACGACCGCATTCTCTATTTTCATCGCGCTGCTGCAGACCTTCTGTCCTGAGCTTGCAAAGCTTGTCGGACGAGCATAAGCTAACTTATGCCAGCGCCAGGCCCACGGCCTCGAGGTTGAGCCCTCTTAGATTCATCTCAAGAAAAATTCTTCCACGAGTCTTCCTGTCCGGTAACTCTATAAAGTGAGCAACATATCTACGCTGTGGCTGGTCAATCACAGTCACCAAAAAGCTATTGTTCCACGTTTTGAAGTCTTCTCAGACCTCCAAAATGTTATTCAGCAGAACTGCGTTGGTTGCTTCGCTTCTCGGCGTGGCTAATGCTGTCCCAGTTGCTTCGTCCTTGAGCTGTGTCGACGACGCCAGTGACGGCCAGTCTTACAATGGCTTCGTTGTGCAGTGTGGCATTGATTATAACGGCAACGACATGGGCCTGGCTTGGACATCAACATTCGAGGATTGTATCGATACTTGTGCCTCAACCAGCGGCTGTGTTGATGTCTCTTACTCCGGCACTGCTTGCTACATGAAGAGCGGTATCGGCGTGTATACCATCAACGGTGTTTGGGGAGCGGTAAAGGCAGCCACATCTACCCTAACATGTCCCAGTGCAGATGGCCAAGTCTACGACGGCTTCACAATTGCGTGTGGCATTGATCACGTTGGTGGAGACCTAAGCAACTTCTACGCCGGGAGCTTGAATTCGTGTTTGGATACCTGCTCGACCACTGCGGACTGCCTTGGTGTCGCCTATGCCGCTCCATATTGCTACATGAAAAGCACTATCAATGAGCCCTCCAGCAATCCCGCCATCATTGCTGCTACGCTCCCTCCCTCTAACACTGGCCTTTGTGCGAACGGCAACACTGGAACGTCGACCTATTCGGCTGGTGGAAAAAGTTTCAACGTTGTCTGTGGCTGGGATTACTATGGCTACGATATCTCGAACCAGCAGACTAAAGACCTTGAAACTTGTATCTCGGTTTGCTCCTCCGATGCCCAGTGCAATGCAGTATCATGGACAGGTGCATGGTGCTATCTCAAGAGCCAAGCGTCTACTGGCTGGGCCAATTCCAACGTGATGGCCGCAGCTATCGCATCGACCAGCTCGACCAGCTCAACCAGCTCAACCAGCTCAACCAGCTCGACCAGCTCGACCAGCTCAACCAGCTCAAC